CGGACTTCATGCAATATATTTCCATTTGACAATGGCTAACTACCCGTCTGCGTTCCAACTCATCTTCACTGTCCAATCCCTTCGTATCAAAAGCAAAACGCCAAATGTTGTTCCCTAAATGTCCTCTGGGGCAATGATGCATTCACACCCATAATAAACCATGGTATCTGTTCCCAAAACCCGAGATTTTGTACCTGTAAACGATCGTCGTGAAACGTATGAGTATCCTATGTAAAGCGATTGTGACCTTTTATGAACTCCGATGAACCGCCGTTCTATCTGACTAAGAAAATATGTGATTAAGAAGTGAAAGATGAAAAGTCGTAACTGGCTAGGTTTAACCGTAGAACCAGTAGAGGGTGGTGTAAGAGGTGCTGTCAGTGCCCTTGGCCTTGCAGCCGTGGGAAACACCACCAGCAGTCATGACGCGGTAGACGTAGGAGACACCGATGCTACCACCAGCGTCACCGAGGTAAAGCCAGTCAACAGCACCGGTACCATCAGGGCCAGCGGAGGCAGTAGAAGGGGCCTTGATGCCGTCGAGTTTCTTGCAGACGAGAAGTTGGTTGGCCTTATCGAGGTCAAAGGTAGGAACTCCAGCAGCGTTGAAGAAGTGATGTCCAAGGTAAGGGAGCTTCTTCTGGAGACCTTGAACCTTGAGGTCTTGCTTCTTGGGGAAGGGCTTGGTGGTAGAAGCTCCGACGCCGTTTGTGTTGAGGTTGAGAGGGACCTTTCCGGTGCTGAGGACGTCGGCAGTGAAAGATGCCCATTTATCGGGAGTCAGAGATGAAGGACTTTGGCCCGGGAAGAGATGAGTGATATCGTAGAGAACAGCCAGAGCACCAACGGCCGCGGGAGTAGCAGCGGCATCAGCGCAGGTGTAGTTCTGAATACCAAAGCCAAAAGCGATGTGCTTGAGAGCTACACCTTGAGGAGGAGCAGGGAGTTCAGAAGCTTTAAGTAATGTTAGTGAAACTGAGGATCTATAAGTTGGTTGAGTTAAGACTTACGGCCACCATTGACTGGGAGGACAGGAGCAGGCTTTCCGGGTTTGCAGCTAGAACCAGGTCCAAAGCTAGCAAGAGGAGAAGCCAAAGCCAATGTAGCAGAGGCAAGGACGAGAAGGGAGTTGGCGAGCATGGTTAATGTGTTGATGTAGGAGATCGAATGCAACTTTCTGAGACGCCGGACTATGACAATGCGTTTAAAGAGGTAAAAGATGGTGTCGATCGTGTGTAATAGGAATTAAGCACTAACAACGACTAAAGAAGCAGTGATAGTAGAACAGAAAGGGTGGTAGAGGAAGAGCAGAGCGCGGTCTTGTATACAATCGGCGGCAACAACGAGTACAAGGGCGGCAATGCTAATAATAAACGCAACGAGCAAGGGGTCTAAGTGGACGGGGCGTTTCCACCTGGGCGCTTATATTGAGAGTTGGTGTGGTGCGTGCAGAAGAAGAAGCGGGGATAAGAAATGCAGTGGTTACCAGAACCAGACAAGACTTATCGAACAAGAATAGAAGAAGACCAGAGAGAAGTGGAATTAGAATTGTTGGTGCTGACTGTGGTTGACGAGAGGAGGTCGTGATAGACTTTATATACAAAACAGCTCAAACTCTACTGCGCCCTATCTAGGCAGATTTTGAGATAGACACGAAACCCAACAAACAGAACAGAACAATACAGTTTCTCCTTCGTTTCTGTTTCTTCCCTCGCCAAAAAGTCAGACGAAGAGATGCAAACATGGACTAGGCCTCGAAACGCGGGCGGAGGCGAGAGCGAGACCCTTCCAATCCTTGTAAGTGGAGGGTGTAGGGATCAAATCTAGTGCAATGCAACGCTTTTCGCTTTTGGGGGGGGAGGGAAATAATCTAATGGAAGGGCGGCCGCGTTGAGAGGCGACCCTAGCGCAGGCGGAAGCGTCGTTTTCTGGAGGTGTATTAGCAGGGATCATAGTTGTATTCGACTTGGTGTTGCCGTCAGCAAGAGTCTCAGTTGAGAGTCTGAGAGTCTGAGATGTCAGAAGAGGCATGAATAGGAAATGGCTAAAATGGTTAATTAGACAAACTGTTTGATGTTTACGGTTTGGTTTGGTTCGGTTTGGTTTGATTTGGTCTGTTTTGTCTTCATCCTATTACTACCATAACGACAAGAGGATCAGTCGCTGTCGATGAAACGCAGAATCACCCACCGTCGTCTGAACTTGTAACCTCTCAGGTATCAACTCTTGTAATCCTTGGCTCAGATCGGACAGAGCATCTTCCGCCCTGCGCCCCGCGGGCCAAGACGTTTAGTTATCGTCTACGTAGTATGCTACTAAGACAAGGACACGATGTTATAAGCGGGAAGGGCAAGGATGCAAGAATCGTAAGAGAACAAACATAGTTATCCAATATTATAAACAAGGTCCGGGTTCAGGTCCGGGGTTAACCACCTGCATCTAGAATGTAGTATCAAAGCATGTACGGACTACGAGTAATGCAGGAGATACAGAGTAGGATCTAGGTAGGAATTCGATAGTTTCTACAAGTCTCACCTGAAGATGAGAAACGCAGATAAAAAGTAAAAAATGAGAGAAATCTAAAAAGCCATTTAATTTATCTCAAACATCGGGCCCTGGCAGTTTCAGCTATGTTCTAGTGTACGCTACTGCACGAAACGACCGAGTCACTTTATATCTCATTTCCACTGCATTCTCCTCACATGAATCCGTGTTAAAAAATTAAATTAAATCCAATATTTAAAAATGCAACATGGAGATGGTTGAGAATACAGAGGAGAGACGAGAATAGAGACGAATTGGGGAAATTAACCGCTCACAACCGCTTCGAGAGTTATAAGTGGCTCATTCCGCGCACCCTTCCCTTGGCTTGCGGCACGGGAAGAACTGCACTTTTTTAGCGGGAGGTTGGAGTCCGTTTCTTTTATCGTCTGTAAACTAAACTGTTTGCGTTTAGTTCAAAGGATTCAATTCCTTAGCTTACGGTTAGCTTATGGTCAGAGTATCATTGGCTGTCCAATTCGAGGAGTTGAGTTGAGAGGTTGGTGTAGGACAAGACTCAATTGGAATAAGTGTGTAAATTATTACAATCTTGTGACACACTCTGGATGTTTGTTATATGCAGGTAGTAAAATATGGAGATGCTTGGTGATGTATTGGTCGGTAATCTACTGATTGCGGTGGGCAAACACGTCGCTTGTTGGGTTTACCTGTTGTTGGTCATGACGGCGCTTGAAAGGCTATTCAGTGTTGGTTCTACCGTTTTTCAAGGCTCAGTAAGGCTTTCTTTGTTCTGAAATAGCATCATGTTGGTAAGATTGGGCAACAGTACCTAGTTACTAGTTACTCCCTCAGTTATCTCTTTACTCAACCATTCAACAAAAAATTAGTTCATGTTACACGGCATATCATATGATTCGATAATTACAGCCTCTATTTACTTGGTACGCGTTGCCTTACCTTGGCTTTACTGCATCTAATTGAGGCCCCCGTCGCCTGCGTAAATGCGGCCCCACTTGTCCATGACATCGGCCTAGCGACCGCCAAAACAACTCCAACACCGCCCGATCTCTCCTCCATCTCCGTCTCCGCCTCCGCTCCGGCCGTCCACCGGCTTCAAGAACCGCCCATCATGTCTCGCCGACCTCCCAAAGGCGAGTACATCGAGACCGTAAGCTCCCTGTTCCCTCTGAAACGGTTCAATGCTAATGCTGTTATAGGACACAGGTAACAAAGTCGCACGCAAAGCAATCCTCGTTGGTACCCAAAACATCATGCTCGGCGGCAAAACCGTCATCCAACCTGAAGTCATGATCCGCGGTGATCTCGCTCGAACAGCCACATCGTCATCCTCTGGCAGCTCGCCAGCGAACAACACAGCCGTCGCAATAGGCCGATACTGCTTCCTAGCTCGAGGCGTCCTACTGCGTCCACCGGGCCGCATATACAAGGGCGCTTTTACATACATGCCACTACGCATAGGAGACCACGTCTTTGTTGGCCAAGGGACAGTAGTGCAAGCTGCAGCTGTGGGAAATCATGTGCAGATCGGAAAGGGGTGTACGATTGGTGAGTTTGCTATTTTAAAGGACTACGTCAAGGTGTTGGATGGGACGGTTGTGCCGCCGAGTATGGTCATTCCGAGCTTTTCTATTGTTGCAGGACAGCCGGCTAAGGTTATTGGGGAGATTCCTGAGGGGGGTTATGATGAGTTCGAGTTGAGGGATATGTATAAGACGGTGGGAAATAACCCTCATCCTCCAGCGTCATGAGAGTATCGCGACCAAGTCGAGTGCTGTACGGGAGCACACGCGGTCGGTATATTGGCAGAGGGCAACATATGCGTTATACGTTAAGAGGTGCCCCGAGGTTGGGATGCAGGACGTGGTGGAATGGGCCATATCACAAAGCAAGATCATTCACAGCACATGCCTACGACTCTACCACACTCAGGACGACGCGGATGATGCTCCTAGGTAGGATTCATTCCTGAGCCTCAGCGATTATCGGATCAAAGGAACCTGTCGCCATTCTGTTCACCTTGATGGCTAAAGCCAGGCTTCCAAAAAGCCGCCTGGACCGCCAGAGCATTTAGACAAACAGGGCGATATTCAAAGGAGGATTAAGTTAGTTATTTAGGTAAATGTCAATGATACCCTTTTATACGTATTTCTTTTATTGTTGGTAGTTTTTGTCTTCTATTGTTTCAACGCTCCGGTTTTGCTCTTCCCAAACGTCATTTGACTAACAGTCAACAATAAAGAACCACATGCCGTGACCACGACGATACTGTTTGAATAGTGACAATACCCCTATTGTCCTTCTGCAGTGCTTGGGTTTCACTCTTCTGCCTCGTTTGTTTATTCACCCGCATATGAATTTACGCACTCCCCCCTCCATCTCCCATCATCGACTCCATCCGGACATATATCTCAGCAACATCCCATTATTCTCTACCAACGATTTCTCACTCAGCATCACTACCTCATCGATTATCAATCATGTCTCCCCCCGAGCTCCCCTCCAAGCTCGTCACCGTCCCCTGGTGCGAGGGCCTCAACGTCGAGGCCTACTCGCGCAGATCCGAGCCATCTCCAGACCCCTTCTCTCTAACCGTCCCCCACGCCATCATCCGAAACACTCATCTCTTTAACCAGCTTCGCTACGCTGAAGAGCTCGACAACCGATCCCTCAAGGACGTCATCGGTCCCCTCTGCGAGGAGATCGCCCAGTATCAGAAGCAAGACAACAATGAGATGTACGGCCTCTCCAAGACCATCGTCATCAAGTATGGAGAGACTTCTCTCCGCGTCATCCGCCGTATCTGGGACCTCAACCTTGTCTACAACTCTCGCCCTGAGATCCCTGACGATATTCCTCTTGTTTTCAAGCAGGGTACTTGGGCTGGTACTCTTCGCGACACTGTTCTCTACCGTATGCACGTCCGTCTTCTTCGCAACCAGCTCAACAATGCTCTCGCCGCTTAGTATGCCGAGGACTTCAAGATTGCGAACCACAACCAATTCATGAACGGCGTCTACGTCACCGACGTTCTTACTCAAGATCACCGCGACCGAGTCGAGCGTGTCGCCAAGGAACGTGAGGTTCTGTCCGCTGTGTGGCAGGAAGTGACTGAGAACTCTACTTTCGAATGCTCCAGCTCTACATCCCTTGGTATGACAAAGGAGTCTGCCCTAGAGCTCTGCATCAAGACTGTCGAATCCTTTCACGAGACTTCTGATAGGATCGCATTTGACACGGAATATGGGCTTCAGGAGGGTGATGTTGAAGAAATTCAGCACCGTCAGGCTCGTCAGCTATTGCATGTTGCAGCTCGGGCTGCTGCGAATTGGGAGCCTCGACAACCTGGATCTTCGGATAATATTCTGGTTGTGTACTGTGAGGACATGCTCCGACGCCGTAGGAACGAGATCCGCAAGCAGAATGCGGAACTGCGAAGGGAGCTTGAGGCCATTCTGGGAGATACTCGTGGAGGTCAGGTTGGCATGGGGAGCGATGGTGAGAGCGAGTATGACAGTGATGATGAGTCTGAGGAATCTGATGATTCTGATCTTCCTATGTTTGATCACTACGAAAACTAAGGAACTCATTCTTTTACGGTATCTTGGTCTTGGTGTCTCATTTGTATTGCACGTCACTGAAGAGTGATCCATTTCTTGAAAGGGGATCAATATTGAAGTCCAACAAAGTACTTCGACAAGGATTTGAGAGCAGATGGCAAAGAACAGAGTAAGGTTCTGGAATTGGGGCAGATGAGCGCAAATTTTATTTAGTTGCTATATCATAGATGGCAACACTGGCTAGCGAACTTTCATGGTTTTCGTAGTATATTCCCAGAATTGAACAACTTCGCCATGTGTTCCAGGACTAACGAATAGTATTGGGTGATCAAAGGAAGTACCCTCTCGGCAAGATGCGGTTGATTAAATACTCTGTTTTCAACACGCATTCAGACCACTTCTTCAAAACGGAAGTCTTGTTCCAATGCATCTAATACCCAAGTTTGAGAGTTATGGATAATCTGGCTAGGGGAGACAAGAAACGTAAGACCTATCCTAAGTGACAAAAAGACTTGGGTGAATTTAGTATATATTTAGTAGACCTTTAGACTAGTCCATTTTGGCACCCTGATACGGTCAGAAGTTTTCTCGTTCCCTGGGGGCTGGCTATATGAATTAATCATCCCCATTAGGCGCAATCCTTTAACGCCTCTGATATCATGACAGCGACAGCCATTGGAGCTGGGCAGCCTCCTTGAATGTATGCTTTTGAGCCACAAGAACTCGAAACAAGCCTGGGTTCTTAGAAAGTAACAAAGATGCCGTGTAAATTGCAGTGTAAGACTACGGGTATATTAAACACAAAAACTGTCACTACGTGTTGACTTGAGATCCGAAAATTAGGCAGTTTAGTGATCATTGAATATAAATATCGCGATATCTCATTCATCTCTAGTAAGAAGTCCCAAGCCTCAAAAGTTTCTATGATCTGAACTTCATGACACTCAGGAACTTTCCATGATTTACTTTCCCAGTACTCGGACCAACACCGAATTCCGTCTTTATTCTTCAAGCCACACTCAACTCACAAACTATAGAGTTTCATTCAAGCCCAATCTAATCATGGAACGAAGCATCGACTTCCGACAACCCCATCTTTAAACTTCCCTAGTCACCCACCCCCTCAAAACGGCTGCTGCGGGGATAAAAGGGTCACGAACCACCGAAGCTCGGCCGGATGGGAACGGAGAGGCAAAGGTGTGAGCCATTCGGCACTAGAAATAGCGAATGCCGGGCAAAGGCCGTTGAGAAGCGATCAAGTGTGGGTGAGTGCATATGGTGTGTGAGATCGGTTCAGCCGAAGCGGCTATGCTAGATTCTAGTACCAAGGATAAGAAATAGTAGCTGAATAGTCATCACGGTAGGATTGTACATTCTAGTAATAGGTTTGATGATTAAGTATTCTAATCAGTGACTCTATCAAGAAGCCCGTTCTAGGCGATGAACCCGAGGCAATTCCTCGGGGTCCATGTGCTCTCGACTGTCTAATAGACCGGGGGTATAGTCCGAACAACTCCAAAACGCAAGGCATTAATGTATCATGCCCAAATAAGCAAAATCCTCTTTTTATGTATAACTTTTGAACAACCTTCTAAACGCCAATAAAATGCTGCAAGTGTCATCTACTCCTCTTTTTTAATGTCGCGCGCCCGATTTTATGCCGTGTCGTCGTTAAATAGTGTAGCGGTGAGTAGTGGAGATTGGTGTCGTGTGCAACCCTTGGAGATAAGGATTGCTGATCGGAGATAAGGCGTAATTCATACGTGATGGTAAATTCATAGAATCTGGCGCGCCTTCTCCTCGGCGAAAGCCTTGCGGCTCATCATCAGAACGCGCTCAAAGCCCTCGCGGCCCTTAACGGCGTTCTCGCGGAAGCGATGCACCATAGTATCCTCGATGCTGTTCTTGATTCGCTGCCAGCCACCGCAGAGGGCAGTGATGTTGGCGTTCTGGATGAATTGTGTTTGGTGGTCGCCGAGAGGCTTGTAGACGACCTCCTCCTGAACGTTGACGAGATTGCTCCATGTCAAGTTCTGGCTAACCATCGTAACGGTCTTGTTGACGGGGTCGACGTAGCTAGCCTCATACATGAAGCTCTCGTCGCCAGTACCACCGATAATTGTCTTGATCCAATCGGGCACGGTTTGCTTGCAGGTGATCAGACGCTCAGTGCGAAGGATACCGGTTGCGGGGTCGACTTCGCGGGAGAGGGTGTCGACTGCAATGACATGCTCTGACTTGTTGTTCCAAGGGCCGTACTTTGTCCAGTTGGCTGTGGACACCTCGTCCCAGGAGTAGTTGTATGTGACCTTGTTGCTGAAGACCTTCATTTTGATGGGTTGAAGGCTCGTCGGGTTTGTCGGAAGTTGTTGCGGAAGATAGAAGTTGCTCGCGTGGGAGTCAGAAACTTTTTTTTTTTTTTCACGTGTAGAAGCTAAAAGCTTTTCAAAGAAAGAGGAGACTCGTTTATGTGAAGAGTCGAAAAATCAAAGATGTGAAAGAAAGTAGACGCCTCTCTTATTATATCAGTCGCAGAAAACGAAGATATACAAGATGCTCCAGTGGCGATGGAGAGTGACGGAAGTGAGGGTAAAGATGAGCACTCGATGGAGATGGATGGCGATGGATGGGATGCGGCCTTTTTAATTGGGGACACCGCCCTGACTCCTCCTTCCACAGCCTCTAAGAAAAAAATATTCCATGTGAAGGAGGGTACTCGCTATCGCCGGCCATCGGCTCTGGGCCCGAGCACATCCGCGTTCAGCCACTAAGCCCGATATGACACAGCACTAACTCTACACGGCAAAGCCTCTCGATCGCGATAAAGCCTCGGGTTATTAAGAGGCTGTGATTGGCTCGGTCTGCAGGAGGAGGTCGGAGCTCGATTTCTGGTCTCGTGCATTGCTGAAAGAGTGACTGTGCCACAGAGTGGCGAGTGCGTCAATGATGGGGAAAAACCGGAGAACGATGAAGCTAAGCGTTGGTGATCAAATGTCAAGCATTGGTCAATTTGTCACCGTGAGGCTCGATATGGGGAAGGGATTAACGCGGGTGTCAAGGGTCTTGGTCTGTGGAATGTACAAGAATCGATACAGAAGCTCAAGATAGCATCAATCATTTCTGTGGTATTCCAAGATTAGATAGATCGATCGATCATCTTGCAGCCGTCAAAATGGGCAGTTGTTGCATTTGGCGGTCATAACTACGCAATTTATCAATGTAGCAATGCATAACTTGCCAGATTCTTGCATAATGATGTTACTGGTATTCAGGCTATTGACCGCTGTAATGCTTGATCATTTACGCCATGAACCAAACAACAAACCTACATAGTTAACAATGCAATAACGGTCACATATGCTTAACGTAAAATCATATTTTGAGTTTATTTACATAGTCAGACGTGTTCGCATCGAAAGAGGAGAGTCGTATTTCAGAGTCCATCTCACAATTCACTCCATGACATGCCAGAAACTCGTCTAGTAGTCATCTCCACGACTGATGACCTCCTTCACGGTGGGTCGAATCAGAATGGTCTAAGATTTATTAGTCACTGTCATCTGTAAAGCATTAATGGTTCACTTACATGCTCAAACTGAGCAGTGTACGAGCCCTTCTTGTCACACAAGGGCGGGTATGCTTCGACGATACCAGCGTTGACCAGATTATTGAGCTTTGAACTGTTAGCAATAGCTCATTTCAATGTGAACTCCAATACATACTCCAAGTAGATACTTGTCCTGGCCAAGACGGTCCAGGTATCGACGGCAGAACGGCAGAGTGCCAAAGTTCTTGTTGATCACGTTGAGCAGCGACTTGGCCGAGCTCAAACGGAGATCAACGTGCTGCGAGTCTCCTCGCTTAGCATAGTGCGACGTCTCCATATCATCGCGGACGTATCCGTTACCAGTGCTTCCAAAGGTCTCAATGGCAAAGACATCGCCTTCCTCCATCTTGGTCTGATCGTTACTCTTGACGATGGGCACGGCCTTGGTTCCGTGGATGCTGTAGGGCAGAATGTTGTGGCCTGTAAGGTTGCGAATACTCTTGACGGGGTAGGTGGTTCCGTCGATCTCAACCTCGAAGCTCTCCATGGTCTCCTGGATGACACCTCCAATTTCACCAACGCGGGCATCGATACCGGCCTCGCGAATACCTGCGTTAGTGGCCTCCTGGACGGCTTTGAGAAGGTTGTCGTACTTGTTGTCGAAAGACATAGTAAAAGCAGAGTCAACAATGCGGCCGTTGACGTGGACACCGAAATCAACCTTCATGACATCCTCCTGCTGAAGAACCATCTTGTTACCGGCATTGGGAGTGTAATGCGCGGCGCAGTGGTTGAGACTAAGACCGCAAGGGAAACCCATACCAGCCTTGATGCTGTCACCCTCCTCCAGTCCAGCATGTCCGGTAAGAGCACGAACACCATCCTCAATACCCTCGGCGATCTGAGTCAAGGTCTGTCCGGGCTTGACATTCTTCTGAGTCCACTGTCGAACTTGGCGATGAATCTCAGCGGCCTCACGGTAATCGGCAAGGAAGTCGCTGTTCAGGTTGTCGAGGTGGCGCTTCTCCTCATCGGTAGTACGGTAGTTGTTCTCGTCCTTGTATTCAACCTCCTCTCCGTGAGGGTAGGATTTGTTAGGGAACAACTGGCTGACCTGGACTCGAGGAGGGTCGCTCTGGCTGGTAGGGTTCTTCTTCTTCTTCTTGGGCTTTCTCTTCTTCTTCTTTTTGGCGGCTCCCTCGGCAGGAGCAGCGCCGTTGGCTTCGTCTTCGGAATCATCTTCGCCGTGATCGTCTCCGGCAGCGTCGGTCTTTGACTGTGTGTTTGTGCCGGGCTTCTGAGAAGCATCGGCCACTGCGGGGCAATCGTTGTCAGTCTTTTTGGCTCAGACGTTTTCACATGATAGTTCACCGCTGAGTGAACGATATACGTAGGAACTTACCGTTGAGCTCCTTGAGAGCTTCAGTGGGGACTTGAGCTGCCATCTTGGCTAACTGCGCATGAGTGAGAGCTGCAAAAAAGAGAGAGAATTTGGTGGGAGGGTTGGATGAGTGGGAAGATGTCACACCCCACCAAGAATCTGACTTATATCGACAGAAATACTCGAACAGTTCTTTGCATTGATGGGGACGAGCATTTCTGTCTGGTCTAGTCCCCGCTGACAGATTTTTGACATGATGAAAGTGGATTGGACATCCATGCCAATGATACGCGAGGCGGTTAATTGTCAGAGAACAAGTGGTGCCTCGAACATGGATTGGATCACAATTGCTACCGTTGATGTTTATAAATAACGCTCAAGCTGTCGTAATCGGCCATCACTTACACTCATACCTTTACCAGACATCAAACTCTAGTTTTTCTTGTGACGACTTATTGGATATGAATGATGGCTGATGATCTGTGTTACCTCATGGCTTGGTTTCACTGTATCGGCGTAGGTAGATGCAGTAGTCATGGCCGTCAAGTGTTTCAGTGAATTCAGAAGCACTTCTATTCCTGTGACAAGACGCTGATCCTTTCTCACGCCGCGATCCTGCAGTACCCAATTTGTACCAAGGGACCATTAGAACCACTCATAATTTATTCCACAATAGAATTGCTAAAAACGGAGATATTTTTCATGCCTTCAGTACAAAATCAACGGTTTTACAACATCTCTAGGGTATCCAATCCCCTTGCGACTGGTCCAATGTATGACCTCACAAGCAGCCAAAAAATCAAGCTAAACCTACCCTGCCGCTGAAATTCAGGGCATCGTCAGCCAAACAAGGGTAGCCACCAGGTCATAAGTCAGTTTGCCGCTTCATGGACAGGAAACCTGACCCGACCTAAAACGCCACGTCTCCCCTCTTATCTCAGAACCAGGAATCTCGTGATAACTTCATAAACCTCCCTCTTCACAAATCTAAGCCACTGCCATTCCGTTTACGCTTACGACGCAGTGAAACTCCTTCTCCACTGCGGCCGGTCCCTTATAAGCTGGAGACCGTTCTCTTAGCGGCGCCACTCACGGGCCGCTTGTATGCCCCTCTGCGATTGGGTTTCCTCACTTGATTAAGCTCAACTTCTACTGTAACCTTGGTCTTTCACGACTCGCGATTTCTCTTAGTTTTTGAAGATCTTCTTCTGGACCAAGATGACGGATAATCACACAGAGGCTAAAGCCTCAACCACCACGAAATCTCCCATTGAGCGCAAGCCCGTGGGAGGCATCCCTCCTGAGAATCCTTCCGTCGAACGAGCCCCGACTCTTCCACCACGACCAGCGCAAGACTCCGACGAAAAGACCTCTGAAGCTCCAAAATGCGATACTTGCTCTGTACCTCAAAAAGCCGCCTCTACCAGAAGCAAATCTCCTCCTACACCGATCAAGGTCGACAAGACGCAACCAGAAGACTTTGAAGGCGAACTTGCGACCAACAACGATCTACCCTCCGCCGAAACCCTCAAGAAGATCGAAAACTACATCGTTCTCGACAGACATGGAAAATCACACCCTTTCAAGACACTTTACACTGGTAGCAACGTTGCACGACGCGTGCTCATCATCTTTGTCAGGCATTTCTTCTGTGGCGTATGTCGTGACCCCTTCGTCTCGTGGTCGTTTCAAGTTACTGATATTATCCTTCTAGAACTGCCAAGAGTTTCTGCGCTCTCTGTCCGAGGCTATAACTCCCGAAGCTCTCTTGCGCCTACCAGTGAGCACATTCATTGCGGTCATTGGATGTGGTGATCCTGCGCTCATTGACATGTATGTCAATGAGACAGGATGTCGCTTCCCTGTATATACCGATCCGACAAGGTCTCTTTTCGATGCCCTTGGCATGTCAAAGACGCTACAACTAGGCACCAAGCCAGCCTACATGCGCCGAAGCATGATGCACAGCATTGTGGGCAGTATAGTCCAAGGAGTGAAGCAAATCCCAACTGGAAACGTTCTCAAGATGGGCGACCAGCGCCAAGTTGGCGGCGAATTCCTCTTTGAACCGCGAGACATCCTCACACCCGTCTCAACACCACGAAACGAAAAGGCGCAGCCCATTAGCGCATTTGAGGAGGCAGAAGAACAAGGCCCAGACCACGATGGAAACGAAGAGAAGAGAGTCACATGGTGCCATCGCATGAAGACGACGCGCGATCACGCTGAGATTCCTGAGCTCATTGAAGTGCTGGGCCTGGATCAGACCGCTACCGCTGGACGGGATGTGAGTCGTGGTTCAATCACTTCAGCGCGCAAGGGCAAGGGACATAGCATGGCGCAAGAGATTCGCAAGCTGAGCGCGGAACGATCTAGGACATCGAACGAAACATGATGCGATTATCATCTGAGTGTGCCACCGGATTCGAGCGAATTGGAGCATTGCTGGTTCTTGTTACAGCGTTGGAGTAGGTTTTGGTTATTATTTGGCATAGCTTGCGTTTTGGAAAGACTATGATGATATGGTTAGAGAGACTTAGATGAGATATCCTTGATATTGGTCGATAGAATGCATAAAGTATTTATCACTTCTCTATTCAGGTCTTCTATTCATGGACCCAACTTCCGTCTTCACGACTTTGGATCACCTCGTCTACCTTGAGTCTAAAGTCAATGATCTCTTTACCATTGACGAGATCATTCTCCATCGCTCTTCGATCTCCCTCTTCCAGATCCTTCACGATGCCTGCTCTTACATGCCTCTCCCTAAGCCGCCTCCTCGCAACCTCAAAGTCCACCTCAACGAACCACACCTCATCCAGAAGCTTCGCTGCATCTCGCCAGACATCCTGATCTAGCGCAAGATAGTTCCCCTCAAGTACAACGACGCGATGCTCCGGCTTGACGACAATATCACCATCTCGAGGATCCTTCAGCGCATGATCAAAGGATGGCGCAAGAATAGGCTCTGATGGAATTGGTCTCTTGGAGAGTGCTTGGACAAGGGTGAGGAACTTGGGCGCATCGAAGGTAAAGGCTGCGCCGCGGCGGAAATGGGCTGTATCGGGATCTGGCATGGCGGAGAGGGCGGCGCGGGTGAGATGGAAGCCGTCCATGGGAACGAATGTTGCTGGAGGAGGAGAGGAGGGATCTGAAGAGGAAGCTCGGGCGTTGATTCGATCGGTGATGATTTGTGAGAATGTTGTTTTGCCTGAAGAGTGTGAGTAACGAGGTATTGTGTCGGATGGTTTGACTTACCTGAGCCGGGGATACCAGCAACGCCAATCACTAAGAAGTTTAGCCAGATAATCCATTTGTTTCAAAGTGAAGTATATATGTCAAGAAGAGTAACGTCTCAGCTCATGAGAGCTCTGTTGAAAGAAGTTGAGTGTTGACGGGTACTCACATAATCTCTTATCCTTTGGCGTTTCCTCATACTTCTTCCACGCCTTTTCGACGAGCCTTTCAACCTGGCTCTCCATTTTTGTGAATTATGTTGTAAAATGAAAATGGATTGAGTTGAAGAAGTGATCAAGAGCGAATGTCGTTGGAATATGCCCCGCGTCAAAGACGTTGCCCCACGTCGTTACATCACAGCTATCCACCCCTGTAAATCCAGGGATTAATAGCAGTACTGTACTTGACAATGAAGTGTAACTTATCTCATACTTATTCCCCGTTACTCAGACTATGATATGTCACCTTTGAGTTGTTGATTGGCTGAAGGTATTCCGTTGCCTGTAATTGATTAATAGTCTTCTGTCCTGATCATTCTGGTCCAGGCCTTTGTTAGAATTGTGTCAACGAGGCCCATACCCCATCCTGTTTACAAGACTAGAAATGGTACTCAGTTGCACAGCATATATATTGTCATAGCGGCCTCCTCCATAAAAAGGAAAGAGAATCTGAATTTATACAGAGATTGCTTGATCAACAACAGTCAAGGCCTTTGTCATCCAACCACAACATCACAAATCCAAGTGGGTCCTATCATCAACCCAAAAACTCAGTCTTTACTTTCTTTCCTTCATCGTCAGTCACAGCCAAAACTAAACCACAAGATGGATGAAGAAGATCCTCTCGCCAACTTCGCCTTCGCAGATGTATCGTCAGATGAAGCCGATGAAGCAGAGGCGACAAAGTCCCGCCGCACAGGACAGTCAGAAGAAGCTTGGCGAGTAGTCCAGAAGGAGTACAGGGCAAAAGTCGAGAACGGCGATGTAAGTGACTTTGGGCGTAGACATGGATACCTGCTGACTTGGAAAAGATCTACCAGAAAGTTAAGCTCCCACTGGGCCCTGACGCTACCAAGATGGACATCCAGGAGGTTATCCATGCCGTTGAAGAACACTACTTCTTCCACCGCTATAGAGAAGCTGAACAACTTGCTGGCGATGCCTTGAGGGATGGCAAAGGACTCGACCGTGACTCTAGACAGTTGTTGGAAACATATAAAGACAGATGTCACAAGAAGAACGAACAATTCTAAACACATTCACACAACCAGCAGTGAAAAGGATCCAGACAGTTTGCTTAATTACGCTGGGTACGCTGGGACTATCTCACTTTCTACAAACATGCCCATTAGTCGCTTTCATTGCCTGTAGATAGGTAACTCCCCAAAACTGCCTGTGAAAGTCCTTGTTGAAGAACCTTCATCGCAACAAATGCCCCAATTACCAGGCCCAAAAGAGAGATCCTTTACACCAAACTAAGCCACCAGCCTTCCCCAAGCTTTCTGTTCTCATACATAGAGGCATCAGTTTCAGTACTTGATCGGGCCGGTAAAGTTGCCTTCGTATGCCACCTGCTTTTTGGCGAAACGTGAAGAGCCCAAGCCCTTAGGCATACCGAGCTCGGAGCGGTTGGTCGAAACCTCCGCCTGCTTGGCGGTTGCTCCCTGACGGAGACCAAGATCAATGCCATTGCCAGTATTCCCGATTGCCTTGTCATCTGCGAGGCCTGGACCAAGCTCACGAGAGACGAGCTTACACCCCACGTCGAACATGGAACGGATAATGTTCAGGGTATCGTTGCGAACTTTCTCATCGCACTCCTGAAGAAGACTGTGGCTGAGAGACTGCTCGAGGATTTCATACTCGACCCCATTCATTGTCTCGCCAGAGTGACTCTTCAGGGCACCGAATTGCTCCAGAACCTGGTGGAACAACTGACCCAGGTGTTCGGTCTCATGTCCCAGGCCGGGGATATTGTTATTAGCTGTAGTTCCCCAGTCATCGTCCGCCATGATTAGGGGCACTTGGTCCATGGTGGTCACTTGTTGAGATGTACCGTTGGAGTCGAGAATGGAAGCATTAGATGCCGTGCTCGCAATGGGGCTGGCGGCCATTAAGAGGTCGTTTTCGTCCTCCGCCTTGTTGCTTTCCTCAGTCTTGTTAGCAACCTGAGACTCGCCGATGTCTTGTTCCTTTTGTTGCTTCAGTAGACACCTCTGGAGCTTCGCCAGGCAAGTCTTGAACTCCTGCGCGTCGTCAACCGTGGCGAATCGAAGATCATCAGACCAGGGCCTAGATTTCACTTTGATTGTACAGAAGACGCTGTCACGGACAGGTGTCTCAATGTCAAGGGCATTATGGCTTCGGAGGCCCTTAGAGTCGTTTTGAAGCTCCAAAATGCCGTCGTTATATGCGATTCGGATCTTGATGGCGACAGTTGTGACGATACTAAGTGCCTCAGTCTTCCCAAGGTGGCACTGGTTGCTGTACAGGAGGTGCTCCGATGCATTGAGGCCCTGATCGTGCGCATCCTGCTTTTGGACGACCAAAGGTGTGCGAGAATTGCCGTTCACAGAAGCAGCATTCGCAGAGGAAGAACTGCCATTGTTAGTAGCAGCAGGTATGGGCTCTTGACGATTGGCTGCAGAAGCTGTCTGTGTAGGTGGTGGGCCCCATTTCGCTGTGGCCATATTAATATTGTAATGTTTTATCAAACTTGTAACACAGGGCTTCTAACCAGGTGTTGTAGGTTTGAACTCAACACGAGTTCTCTGGGACTGATGAGAGGAAAATGTTCCGTGAGAAGCAGGGATAGCCGGAGCAGCTCTATCGAAAGTGTTAGAAGAACTCAATGTTGTAGGCAGAAAGACTTACCTGTCAATCATGATGTTCGAGAGTCTCTTTCTAGTCTGGCCTTTTGCCCAAGGCCGTGAATCTTCGGGCTCCAGGCCTTCCATACTTTGGGACTCTCCATCGTTAATCTTGGCAGACCATTTGTTCTCGAGCATAGCCTTTTTAGCATCCGAATAGTGGTCGGTTCCATTCTTTCTGTTTGGTGCGTACGTGCTCTTTCCATTTTTCGATTCAACGCTTAGAGGAAGTTCTTCCTGGCGAAAACGAGAGAGGTCGACCTATCAGGATTTGTCAGTTATAGCGTCGCCATATGGCATTGAGAAGTGAAAAGGAAGTCTTACCATTAGGGCCGCCTTGACGGCATCTGGGTCAGGCTTGTCGCTCATTCTGATGAACGTGAACAGAACGGATTGGAATATGTTGTAGAAGGGTGAAGAAGGACTCGCGTTTCCACGTAGCGCTTGATGCAACGATGGGCCGCGATGGATGTGTGAAAGAAACTGAGACGTGTTGACAGATGGCGCTGTAAAAGCAGATAAAGTGCAGCGACTCTAAGTTGAGTCAAGAAAAGAAAGCAAACAAGGTAATAGAAGGAAAATAGAAGAACAAACACTCTGTAACTAGAGAGTGCTGAGTTTTGCCTCCCCAAGTTCTGTTGCTTGGTGTTGTGGAGGAGTGTTGAAGGAGAGAAGGCGAGAAGTGGGTGGGGGTACAATTTATATGCACAGAAATGTGGCTAGGCCGTGAATCTCTGCAGTGGCAGCCAAATGAGCTTTAGGGAGGCCACAGAATGTAATGGCCTGTATTTTAGTAGCTTAGGGATCATTTATACAAAAATGATGTCAGTGTAGAGGGGAGTGAGTCCTCGTTTCAGGGGAGGCCATTCATACCCGCAGGTGTTTGGGCTGCTATATGTGTGCGGGTGATGCTCAAGTGATGTGGCTTAGCCAACCTGCCTCTCCTATCCCAAATCTTCATCCCAGATTCCTGGTATATGCATGATCCATCTTTGTTCCCCCTTCACTCATCCAATAACGATGTTCCACCGGATGCACCCACCCTTACAGCTGGCTCATCCTAACGGGAAGCTGCAGTTCGCACCCTTAATTTTATCTACCAAGCAAGCATGCATGAAAGAATGCGCTATGGCCGCCATGATATGATATACCAACAAGTCATGAAGGTATCGACAAATGATGAATATTAAATTTGAGCACCAGCACAAACTACCTGTGGTCAAAGACTTACGACGGACTACTACAGATCAAGGAGTAAGCTCTCCTGAGTCAAACCGTGTTCACTTTCATCCCAGCTGATCTAAGTTGCCGACGATCAAGAAGCGAAATACTTCTTCCAAAAGCCCCCAAGAGCCATCAACTTGGCATCGCCCGACTGCCCCTTAGCCTCAGCCGCCTTCGCCTTTAGCTCAGCAGCAGGGCTCAAGTCATTAGGTACTCCATAGTACAAACCGCCAGAGTGCTGACAGAAACCGAACATGTACTTGACAGTCTCAAAGGATTGATCGCCGTAAGTCTCCATGGTCTTCCAGTCCTCGATGGGTATAAATCGAGCCTTCTTTCCCGTCACTGACAAGATATTAGCCAGGAGAACACAACAGTTGAAACCACATGGCGCTCACCATTTTCAAACTCAGAAACAAGCTTCTCAGCCGTTTCGCTGGCGCTGATTCCTTGGACGAGACGTCCGTTGTACTTCTTGGGTTCGAGGAAGATGCCATGAACAAGATCACCATAGTCGTCTCCAATGGAGATGAAGGGGATTTCTTCATTGCCGCCCCAGCGGGGAACATGAAGAGTGTAGTAGTCCTCCTCATCAGAAGTGAAAGGGAAACCGCCTAACGCTGGGGCAAATTCTTCAACGAGATGGTTCTCCATGTACCAGCCTGGGCTGACAATGTTGACGGTCTCAAACCCCTTGCTCTTTGCATACTCCCCAACAGCATGTTTTACTGGTTTAAGTCAGTATGCAGATGTTAAAGGAAGAGAAGATAACATACTGTCAAAAGCCTTGTTGGGAACCGCACCTCCAGTGGTTTCAGATGCAGAGGCCATACCGCTGTACACAAAGTGACGAACTCCTGCCTCTGCGGCCGCATCCACAAGGCTCTTACCTACATCAAGTTCAGTAGGGCCACCTTCTTGGTTCATTGACTGCAACTGTGTCAGAGGAGAATCAAATACTAATCTTGGTAACTCACAGGATCATCCGAGTTGGTGTTGGCAAAGACTCCCCAGCTGCCCCTGAAAGCTTCAATCACCTCTTCCTTGACCACACCGTCAGCCTTGACGATCTCAACGCCATGCTCAGAAAGAGACCTGGCTTTTTCGGAATCAGGATTGCGAGTGATTCCTCGGATCTTGAAGGACTGGGACTTGTTCTGAAGCAAGGACTGCACCACACTGCCGCCTTGAGAGCCAGTGGCACCAAAGACAGTAATGAGCTTGGGAGAAGACATGGTTTTGATTTAGTTGGGGGAAGAAGGGTATGTTTCAAGTATTGTTTCTTATGATTGAGTGTTGATGATCTGGGTGCTGATGATGGGATATTTTTCATTTTCACAGATACGATCCATCCTTATATATCTGAACGATACCCTCGACATCAAAACACAACTCCGCAACCCACGATGCCATTGTCGTCACAATTTTGTGAATAAGTGATCTCGGGGCACGCGGCCACCGTAAGGGTCGGCGATTGAAGATATGTATTACCCCGATTGTCCATTTTCAGCAGCTGTGACAGCGAATTGACCAACCAGAGGACAGCAGGCTGGAATTGGAGTTTCTCATCATTTGTCTTGGCACTACTTTGCGGCTGTGGCTTGCACGACACCCACTTTGTGCGGTGTTGGTAGGGCGTGGATGTGATTATTAATTCCGCTTCAAACACTTACAAGGGAGATTCTTGCGGAGGAGCGGACTTGCACAGATGGGCTGAAGATTGATCTGATGATTATTATCTAATGGATACTGAGGGGATTACTGAGGGCTGGACATCTCATGGTAATGTCTGAATGACCTCGGCTGTCTTTCAATTGCTGACCACCCCGTATTCCAGCTCAGACATAATCATTCTGCTGAGCTGAGGCCTCATTCTCAGGAGCCTCTGCTCTTAGACCGCATTATTGATCCTGGTGTTCACTAACAGCATCATCAAATGTCCTGCTCTCAAACTGGTCTGGTGGTCTAGTGGTATGATTCTCGCTTAGGGACAACCCTACAGCACAGCTTGCGAGAGGTCCCGGGTTCAATCCCCGGCCAGACCCTTTCTTTTGCACTTTTGGCAGTTGATATAGCTTCTGAATGTTTCTTTTTGTGTTGGCGCTCTCCTTGGTGGCTGTGGTGTGAACCTGGGAATGTTGGCGGTGCGGAGTGGTTCATGACATCTTGATCTCGAACAAGTGTGTCAGTAAAGGCGTTGGTTGACTGCGTTGATATTCCGAATTGCAGGGGATAGCAATGTCTGAGAGCAAAACTCCGTTCCTCCTTTGGGTGTTAAAAACGAGTGTTAGCTCAATCACCTAAACTATTCACTCGAGTTAAGCGGCTCCCCTCGTTCAAAGCCAATGGACGCTCGAGTTGTTCCATCAGTATACTGGACGGCCTACTACGAGGCAAGAAGCAAGAGAATGAATACAGCGTCCGCTACCGTGACAAACCACGATGTTGATTCTTAAATAGACACGCAGCAAATATAAGCAAGCACATACCATAGTAATTAATTTATTCCTCTACACCTATCAATAACATCCAGCACAACTGACCAGGCCCTAGATACACCCTTCCCTCGCCCAACTCCACCGCCCGAAAAAGAACATTGGCCCTAATGACACGATAACTAGTAAGAAGAGAATACAAGACAACATATACCAGCCATCAAGCCCACGGTCTATCTCTGTTGTGAGTTGTCAGGCAGTTCCCAACGCTGCACAGTCTCATGAGGCGTGTACGCATTCGCCGAATTGGTATAGCCTGGGAGCTCAGGAGGCCTTGCTTCACCAGACATTTCCACACGAGCATCACGGCCATCCATCTCCAAGTTTGGCCTCCATCCTTCACCCGACATCTCATGTTGTCCTGCGACTTGGATCGGCGGGCTGGGTGTCATGTTTGGGAAGGGATGAACTTCACGACCAGAAAGTTCACGCTGAACGCCGATACCGGATAATTCGTTGGTCTTGGATAAAGAAGAAACAGAGGAAATTGTTGAAGCGCCGACAGGCTTTCTTGGTAGGGTGTCTCTCCTCTCAGGTGTTGAAGGGGAAACAGAGGCCACGACAGCAGGGCCGCCGCCAGTTGTAACTTCGCCGAGGGGTTGAGTAGCAGGGGGGTATTGTGCCTTTTGTTGTTTTCTTCGTCTAATGAACCACCAAGCAAACAAGCCAGCAGCGATAACCACCACTGGTACAGCGACGCCCACGCCAATCTTGACAACAGAGGTGCCATCATCCTCGTTCTTTGATGATGCTGGAGACCCGTCCGGGTTAACCCAGTAAGTGGAAGTTGCTTCGACGATTACTAATGGCCAGAATGTTAGCAAGAGATCTCGGTAGAGTACGCACAGGAACAGTACCTGAAGCAACAGCAAAGGCACCATCACCATGAGCAGCAGGAACTTACCCTGCGTCCTGGAAGCACCATCCTCTGCCGTCTGTGTAACGATGGTCATGTGAGTTGAGGTCGCATCACCACCTGAGTTGGCAGTTCGACTGGGTTTCGCATCGCTGCCACCACTGCTCTCTGCAGTAGGCTCATTCGTCGACTCCTCTGTAGCTTCAGCAGGGTTGTACCACTCAGTAGCACCAGGCTGTGTGAAGCCTGCACCCATACAGTAAGAAGCGTAGTAGGATTGCATGGAAGTCAAGTCTCGAGAGCGATCACCAGCTGAACACAACGAGGTGGCACACTTGGACATGAAGCCATCGGCCTTGTTGGCAGATGCAGCAGCTGTAGCGCAATAGCAGTTATTGTCATAGGGGTCATCGCAACCCATGGCCCTGCCCATATCGGACAGGAGAGTGTAGTAGAGACATTTGCTAATACATGTGTGGCCAACGTTGTCGAGATTGGCACTGATGGTCACGCTTTCGAAGTCTGCTGAGAGGGCAAGGGGTAGAGACAGGAGAATGACTGAAAGAAGTCGAGACATAGTTGCTGGCATTGCTCCAACTCAAGACTGCGGGAGAATGTGTAAGTGAAAACAATGGGACCCGACTTGACTAACAGAACGAAGACTACTCGCACAACTGACAGCAGGGCATCAACTCTATAAGAGACCACCGTAATTGCCGCATATCTTTACACCGTATCTGAACTATTCTCGTCCCTGCTTGCCCTCGGGAACTGGCCTAGCTAATTTGAGGAGATCTGCATCGAAGCCATACACGCCAATGCATGTCCGTTTATGTTTATGCCAGGGGTGGACCCTTTCTATTGGTTCTTCTGAGAAGGCAAAGCTCTGATAGGGCCGTGAACTGCACAAGCTGTATAGAGTTGGCGGGTATATGTGAAGTCACGATGGAAGATGAAACCGCCATGTCTGCAAGGTGCCTCAGCGAGTGGGAGGATGTTTGAGTGGCACTTAAAGATGGCGGTGGGAATTTGGACAAGATGCAAGGGGTATTTAGATAAGAAACATGATGTATAGACCTTACAGTAAAGTCTTTCCTACCATTATCCACTAGAATGTTACTGTTGAAGTTATCAACTCTCAAAGGCAAGACTCGAGAGAGCGGAACTGGACAAGCAACTTACATGACTGCTAAACTTCCATTGGCTAACGCAGTGACAACGTTCGACTCTGGTGCGGAAGAGGTTATCTTGGCACAAGGATTAGGTATGCTAGAAGTTCAGCCGCAGTCAACAAGGGACGGACCGAAACCGCATTGTATTGGTTGACGAGAGGGTCTCTGAGACCTCTCGTGACCGTGGCACCCTGGCTAATTTAAGTGTTTTCCAATGGTTGCATTAGTTTATTGCCTAGTTGATTAATTATTCGTTATAGGATATTCGTATATTGGACGGGAATTAGTCGCCTGGACGTGAAGAGGAGGGCGCTGCGGCATTTAATAATAGGCTGCTGTTACTACTTGGCAGGGCTGCCAGGCGAAAATAGCTAAACATTGCTTTATTTTGAGAAATACTATTATTGATTCAATTTTGAACGGCTACTATTCATATCTAAGTTGGTGCTGGATATTTGCACCTTACGTATTTTTCGCTGGATATATGACACTGACTGGATTAAGAATTAAGCTTAGACTTCCCCGCACCACTTAGAACCTGTTCAATTGTGGCCTGCCTACTCAGTGAGATACATTTCGTTCTCCTCTATACTACCTATTCTAGCTTCACTCTTGAACCTGTTTGAATCGACCTACTTATATTAGAATGCGACTCTCTGACCGGGAAGCTGCGTATGCTATCCGGGCCAGACTCGAGCCGCTCGGCCGAACAGGTCTAAGCATCGTGTACACAGAGAAAGGCAATTCCAAGTCTGCTTTGAAGGCAGCTGGGTTTTGGCTAGACGGTGAAATGTACGACCACGCCGCATTTGCTGAAGACACGAGCAACTTGTTTAAGCGTGAAGCTGCTATCTATGAAGCTCTGGGCTCACACCCATGCATCCTTAAGTGTATCGGTGTCGAATTGATGCCTGATGGAGAGGAAGCCTGGGCTTTGCGTCTTGAGCGGGCGCCGCATGGTAACCTACGGGAATATATTGGGAAGAACGAACCCCCGACTATGGTTCGTCGCTTGCAAGTAGCAATCGACTTTGCGGAGACATTGCAATACATCCACGACCGCGGAGTCATTTGGGGTGATGTCTCACCTCGAAATGTTCTTGTCTTCGATGATCTTCACATCAAGCTCTGCGACTTTGCTGGATCCATTCTGAAGGACAGATTCCCCGAGCTTCTCTTTACATGTGAACCTCGTTGTTGGGTGCCAGGACGAGAAGAGGACTCTGCTACTAGAAGTATACTTGAAAAGGAGTTATTTGCGCTCGGTACCGCAATCTGTGAGATAACAGAATGGACTGTTCCTTATGGTCCAATCGAGATAGAGGAACTCCAGCAGAAACTTATGGATGGGGAGTATCCTTACGTTGGTAACAGTAATCCTGTCAAGGGTGTTAGCCAGAAGTTATGGCATTTTGAGTACAACTCTGCACAAGAGGCTGTGGGAGCTCTAAGGACAGCTCTCATCAATAAATAATGCCGAGTTTACGTGCAATGCTGGTACATAAAGCCTAAGAACCAATAACGTCGGATTTCTAAACCTGGCAGCACAACTCTCTGGCATGAAGTTGATGGCTGCAATGAGATGCCCAAACATACCTGGATTATCACCAAGTTCCCAGTCAAGGACAGGCGTGACCATGAGAATGCTGGGTACAACTTCAGGCCCTAACCTCAAATCAAAAGCACTACAAGATATGGTACAACTCGCACGAAGAGGTGTACCTCTGATAAATGTAAACGAGCTTGTTTTTCTCGACAAGCCCTCAGAACTGTACCAAAAAATATAGGTACTGACGAACACTAAAAGGCCAAGCCAGATTTATAGTCATAGACCTTTCCCGCTGTATAAACAAGAAGCGGTACCCGGAGCAACCAAATTTAGGGCTGATGGCTGACGAAAGTGCCGAGCTTATTGAAAATGACAATTTTGTTGTTTATGATTGGGTTCTTACGTTGCTAATTGTTTATTTAACTTTCTCCCGTTCCTGTCCCGCATCCCTTATATTGAAGGGTTGTCATGGCGGTCGTGGGAGAAGACAAAAGGTTTGTCCTATTGGATTAAGCCTCTTTTGAGTTAGGTTGGTCATCTCCACCTCTGGAGGGGGGTCATTTTTTCAGCTACACTGCAAGCATTACAGGAAGAGTCATGTGCTGTATTTGCCAAGGTTGAACGGAATGAAGCACACAGCCCAACAGTTCGGAGAGAAAGCCAAAAGGGAATATGAGGAGGTGATGGCAAATCCGAAAATACAAATGAATTCGTAACGATTTGAATCCGAGGCCTTGGCGCAGGGGTTCTTATTGACAGGTCGTGGCGCAGTTAATTACTGTAAGACTGCGGCATTTCTAAACCTGACTGATGAACCAGCCAAGAGCCAAGAGCATTCAAACTGTGGCGATTCATGTACCGTTGGAGATATTTTTGGATTTCTGCTGATCAGGTACTGGCTGCATCAGTAACAGAACAGTGGAGGGACGGGACACAGATGTGATTACTCCATCTAGGGCTGCATGCGTCTGTAAGCAGGTTAACGCTGTTCGGGCGAGAGAGGATGATGGAGGCTTGGCTAGTCAGCATTGGCGATTGGTTCATGACCTGAAATTCAACGGCAAGATGCGATGATGTGTTGCACGAGAGAGCCTTGTGGGTGCAGCTGAAAGGCACCTTCTATCTGGAGGCTTGAAAGGCGCGAGGTTAGGCCTGGCTGGATGTTTCTGGGTTGGATATTTGGCGGAGGCGCGGCTTGAGACTAGACTGTGAGAGGAATTGGAGGATGGATCTAAGCTGCGCCTGGGCTGACAGAAAGTAATCGGGCTGAGGTGTGATGAGACAGGTCAGAGGAAAGGAGCTATTGTGCAGTAGCTAGCTTACCTTGGAAGCTTCAGCTGCAGGACTAAAGTCAGCCTCTCTGTATAACCACTTGATCTGCCTCTCGTCGATATTGATTCTCATTTCTCTCTTGCACTTCATCATTTCCTCCACGATAACAGGACTGGACAGGCAGATCCAACCCCTGTCACTTGCAACGTCCTATCCCCGCTGGCGGTTCAAGCCGAGCCCCCCCAAACCAACGTCACTCGCTCATTCATATCCTTATCCGTCACTGGGTCAGTGGAGGATCATCCCCTACTATCCCACTCGGGGAGAGTCTGAAACACAGGGACCGTTGCCCTCGAGCACGCCAAGCTGGACCCTCCAACTCCTCGGTCCTTGGATTTAACGGAGTAAACGGATCTGCCAAGACAAGGACGAGGGTTTTCGCCATTCATTCGCAGACTGGGACGCGCATATCGAGCAGCCGAGCCACAGATCCAACGCAACTGTTAGCCACCTACAGACTTGTTCGCTCTCTCGCATCTTGAGTTGGAGGTAGCTAGCGCCTGATCCCTGTCTCTGCGGCTGCAGTCAGACATTGACAGTGACTGACATTGGTTTTCGTCAGCTTTGGAACCGACCAAGATCTTTTTTTTCTTGTCCAACTTTTTTTGTTCTCTCCTCTTTATTTACTGTGCATTCGTTTCACAGTATCATTCGTTGGTGCATTTATAACCGCTTCTTCTGCGTCTGTGCATCGTCGCATAACGTCACTCAAGCCTCGCAAACACTTCTCTCCCGCCCGTGGTTCCTTGGTCTCTGGTGGGAACCGAAACCCGGGGCAACCACCAGCGCAACAAAGAATCAACCATTAACCATCTTTTGCGCAGCTGTAACCGCGCTCTCAAAATAAGACCCAACCAAATACTTCAAAATCATATGTGTATAGCGCCTCTTGTGCGCCTAAACAATCGCAATCATGTCGTATAATCGCCTAGGCAAGTACAGCACCTCATCCCTTCCCGTTTCTTTGATCATCGTCATCTGCCCCTTTCTCCCTCAATATGAGACAGTCGAGACATACCCCTCCCTCTTAAACACCCCTGGTTAGAATTGCATTACATTGCGACTCGGCATCTGTTCACTTTTTGCTCTTGATACTCGGCAAACAAGCAAAAGTGGCCATAGTCTTATCATCATCACCAGCAACAAGCTTCGGTTGTGGTGATAAGGTTTATTGCTGCTGCGTCTCGCCGCCCATCACCGAGGCACCATTCGCAGGTTTATTTACCTGCGCCCACTCGAATTGCTCTTCACACCAGTTGCCAACTCAATCAACAAACATACTCTTGAACACATAAGTCTAACTGCAATTGCCTTCAGACGACGATTACTATAACAACGAAATGGATCCTCGTTATGGGGCACAACCTCAGCAACATCCACACCCACACCGGACCCCTTCGCCAGGACAACCGCTCCAGCAAGGCTACCAGCTCGACGATAATCCCTTCGACGATGGCCGATATGGACAGTATGGCCCTTCTCAGCAGCACCTTGCTATGCCCTCGGGTCCCGACCAGCACCGATTACCTACTCCAAGCGATCATCTAAACCTCAATGCGGCTGTAAGTCTTCTTCGCCACATTGAACGTTGCGCACGTGGAATCAAGAATTGAACTGACTTTGTCGCAGCAATCCGTCGACAATTTGTCTGGCTACGGCCCTCCTGGTGATTACGCCGTAAACCCTGAAGCGCATCACGATGCCTACTACAACCAACCCTACGAGCCTCGTCCTCAGCAGCAACCCTATGATCAGGGTTATGACCAAGAGTACGACCAACCCTACGATGACCACAGGCCTATGCTGCAACACCAACCATCAGATGCGCCAAGCGAACCATACCAAGACCAACCGCAACAAGGTGGTGGAATTAAACGTTGGAAAACCGTCAAGCAAGTTCTCTTGTACCGCGGTAACCTGGTTCTGGACTGTCCCGTTCCGCCAGTCCTTTTGCAGCAGAATCCCCACGGCGAGCGTGATGAATTCACACACATGCGATATTCTGCTGCGACTTGCGATCCCAATGATTTCTACGATCACGACTTTACACTGCGACAGAGGCTCTTCACAAAGCCCCGCCACACTGAGCTGTTCATTGTCGTGACAATGTATAACGAGGACGATATTTTGTTTGCCCGAACCATGACCGGTGTTTTCAAGAACATCGAGTACATGTGTAACCGTCCTAACAGTAAGACATGGGGTAAAGACGCGTGGAAGAAGATCGTCGTCTGTGTAGTCAGTGATGGTCGTTCCAAGATCAACCCCAGAACCAAGGCTCTACTGGCCGGTATGGGCGTTTACCAAGAGGGTATCGCCAAGCAGCAGGTCAACGGAAAGGATGTCACAGCCCATATTTACGAATACACCACACAAACTCACCTTCAGATCAAGAACGACGTTGTTCAGCTCGTCCACCGACGCCAGCCAGTTCAAATGCTGTTCTGTTTGAAGGAGAAGAACGCCAAGAAGATTAATTCACACAGATGGTTTTTTACGGCCTTTGGTAGAGTCCTGGACCCTAACATTTGTGTGCTTCTCGATGCAGGTACTCGACCCGGTGGAAGCTCAATTTACCATCTCTGGAAGGCCTTTGATCTCGAGCCCATGTGCGGTGGTGCCTGTGGCGAGATCAAGGCCATGTTGGGTACTGGTGGAAAATACCTTCTGAACCCGCTTGTCGCTGCTCAGAACTTTGAGTACAAGATGAGCAACATTCTCGATAAGCCATTGGAATCTGCTTTTGGTTTCATCTCTGTGTTGCCCGGTGCCTTCTCAGCCTACCGCTATGTAGCTCTTCAAAACGACAAGAACGGAAAGGGACCTCTTGAGAAGTACTTCTTGGGTGAGACGCTCCACGGTGGAAGCGATGCTGGTCTTTTCGAGTCCAACATGTATCTCGCCGAAGATCGTATTCTCTGTTTCGAACTTGTTACCAAGCGCAATTGCCATTGGATTCTGCAGTACGTCAAGTCAGCTACTGGCGAGACTGATGTTCCCGATACGGTTACCGAGCTTGTTCTTCAGCGTCGTCGTTGGCTCAACGGTTCCTTCTTCGCTGCTATCTACGCTATTGTTCACTTCCTCGACTTTCTCCGATCTGATCACACTTTCCTGCGAAAGTTTGCCTTCTTCATCGAATTTATCTTCAACACTATTAACATGATCTTCGCTTGGTTTGCTATTGGTAACTTCTTCCTGGTTTTCAAGATTCTCACAACAAGTTTGGGAGATGATACTCTACTTGGGCGGACAGGAGAAATTCTGGGTGTCGTGTTCACCTGGCTCTACGGTGTATTCTTGATTACTTGCTTCGTTTTATCTCTGGGCAATCGACCAGCAGGTTCTGGTAGGCTCTATACCGCCATGTGTTGGTTCTGGGCTGTTATCATGATGTGAGTTAACTGACATGTTTTTGCTGCCTGACACTAACAACCGACTAGCTATCTATTGTTTGCTGCTATTTTCATCGCTGTCAAAGCCATCATAGCTGACGTTAACGACGCAAACGGCTTTAATTTCGCAGACATCTTCAAGAACAAGGTCTTTTACATGCTTATCATCTCAGTCATGTCGACATTCGGTATCTGGTTGATCGCTTCGCTAATCATGTTGGATCCCTGGCACATGGCTACTTCTTTGGTCCAGTACATGCTTCTCACGCCCACATTTACAAACGTTCTGAACGTTTACGCCTTCTGCAACACGCACGATGTTTCTTGGGGTACCAAGGGTGACGACAAGGTGGAGAAGCTCCCTTCGGTCAACACCAAGGATGGTACTGGAAAAACGGATCTCCCAGACGAAGGAGATTTGAACGCACAATACCAGCGAGAACTTGCTGTCTTTGCACAGAAGCACGTTGAAGTCAAGACTGCTCCTACTCCCAGCCAGCTTCAGGAGAGGCAAATGGACTACTACAGAGGTGTTCGTACTGGTGTCGTCCTTATCTGGATGGTCACAAACTTTGGTCTGGCGGCGCTTGTTCTGAGCTCTGCAGGTCTGGATCGAATCAGCCCGAACAAGGATAAGGACCATGAAGCGGAACAGCTGAGCCGATCCAACATCTACATGTCTATCGTCCTTTGGAGTGTGGCTGGTCTGAGCGCGTTCAAGTTTATCGGTGCGATGTGGTTCTTGGTGGTGCGCATGTTCCGAGGTGTCTAAGCTGAGAGGCGCAGCGCAACTTAGCTCGAACTTTTGAGGTGCAGGGAACGAGAAAGTTCTTTTAGCTCTTCACATTATACCCATTTATGACGAGGAGTCCCTGGGGATTGAGGGACTTGATGTTGTTGAATAACGTACGTGTATGTAAACAAACTTTGATGTTGGTCATATCATGATGTTCTGACTCGGCTGCGGAGGATACGATACATACCAGGAAGGCGTTTTGGTTTGCTTAGGCTAGGTTTATATCCTTAGATGTGCACATACGAGGATGGATTTTACGTTAACTACGCTCTATACCATTTTGCCTCTGTTTTCTCGTGATGTGGTTGTGTTTTTCATCGGATCCATAAAAGTCCGATCGTGATATCATGAACCTTCTCACTAACGTCTCTCAACACCACCCTGTACCATCATGTCACGAACACCCTCACTCTTCAACTGTCTAATCCGCACCCACCATATAACATCACGCAAAAAGCTCTCTCGCGTTCGCCGCGCAGCACAACAGCTAAACGTGGACTGGCTGTACGTACGAAGCGGCGGATCGCCTGGGATAATGTTTGCAGAGGGACGTGACGAGGCTGGCTTGACAGAGTGGGTATCTACGGTGCAAGCGCTGCGGTATAAAGACTTTAAATGTGTTGCGAAGCCTGCGAGGGCTGAGGGCGTTGGGGGAAAGACGGGGTTTGATGAGACGGAGTCGGTGAGGGAGTTTGGTAGGGTTATGGATGAGAAGGGCTTGGGGGGTTGGTGGAAGAGGGGGATGGGGTATGAAGGGGAATGATTGATACAGTTTACCCAGCTGTGATCATATTGGGACATGAGAGAGGAGAGGAGAAGAGTTGTTAAGTGGTTGAGGGTGGTGAGAGACGCGTCGTACGCGCGGCCTGGAGGATCATGATGGAGGCTAAGATGGTGAGTTGAGGCGATGGATTGGTAATGGACTAGTACTAATGCTTGTTCAGCTGAATCCGAGTCATGACGAGCCCTTGATCGTTGATATCATCTTCGGCTTCATTGACCTCACATTTGCAACATCGAAGCACAGGCCTTCGTCGGCAGTTCGATCTCGAGGCTCTTGATGGACATGGTATCCATGTGTTATATGTACTACTCAAGCCTCAGGCCATCCACCTTTGTTGGTATCGATGGCAGTCGCCATGCTATCACCAGCCTTCTCATGAACGACCACTCTTCCACAACTCGGCAGGATACACAACCAAGCAGTCCTTACACTCTCCACAACCCTCACAATCCGGTCCCCATTCTCCAGTCTGAAGATTTAGCCTCCACGATGTCGGTCTTTCGCCGCAAGGACCAGTCTTCAAGTCAAACCTATCCGGCTTAGCAGGAAAGTTCCTCCAATAACCACCATCATCTCTGTTCATGAGCGTACACACATGCACACCAGTCTTGCACCCTGCAGCGACAGACTTTTGCAGAATGAGTTTCTTTAGACCCGCGTCGATGGATCTCTCAAGAGCGATCTCTCTATCATCCTGAGCATGTCGCTTCTCGACGTCCGCAAGGTATATGACCTTCAGGTTCTCATAGACGCCAGATTCGATGAGTGACGCAAGTGCTGAGTCGAGGGTATTTGTTGGTATACCATTGGGCTTCGAGCCATCCACAAACTCATCCGATCGTCCCCAAATATAAATAGCTTCAGTACTAGCAGGGAATGCTTCAGAGACGTATTCCGCAAGTTGCTCTGCATTAGGGTCACTCTGCAGCTGGTAAAGCCCATCAAGTTCTATATCAGAGGCTGCCATCGTGAACAGCCTCAGCTTGTTACCAAACCTTTCTAGCTCTTCGGGTCGATAGTTGGTACATCGGTAGCCGTGCATACCACCGGGATTGTAAATGATGAGTTTCTGTAGGGTTGCCGCATTCTCAGTCGCAAGCCAGCCCACGAATGCATCCACATCGTCAAGATCTTGGCCAAATTCAGTACCAACCCTTAGAACCACTGATTCCAAATTCTCTGATACTCCTGCTATGCCTTGGTAAAGGTCGGTAGAGAAACCTGAAGCCCCATCGATAAAGAGGTGCTTGACGCTAGAAGTGCGGTATGGAAAGTCATAATGATCACTCATATCGAAGTCCTCATCGTCTTCTTCATCGCGGTCGTAATGCAAATCGTTGAAGTAAATGCTTTCGAGATTCGGTATGTAGAGAAGCGCTGCAAAGTCGCGGCCGTCGCGATGGACACTTTCGTCGTTCCACGAACGTTGATCTGTCTCGATACCAACTGAGATGCTGCGTATAGACGCAAAGCCTTGTGGCCAGTTTTCTGTATGACGGTTCTCTTTAATAGCTTTTGTCATCCATTTCAGAGTTGTGTGAGGATCGAGACCTCTTTTGACGAATCGAAGACTGTCAAGACGAGGACATGATGCGATGAGGAGCAGTTTAAGGAATGCATCGTGGCCAGACTCGAGATTTCGTCGGATTTCATCAGAGTCATCGTCTGAAAAGGACCATAATTCTTGTCCAGTGTGGATATATCTCTGCATGTCTCGTAGATCCAGCTCAGACCTTGTAGGGAAGCCCTCAGCAAGGCCGTAAGTCCCGGGTAGTTTTGGAGCCCATGGCCTCCAATCTTGCCAACCTTCTCGGCTACCCCAGATCTCCAGTCCACGAATATGCCATCTCTCTATACTGGCTTTTGTGTTATCTTTTAGCAGATCAATCACAGTCTCTGGTGAAAGGTCTGATGTGATTCTGTATTTGGCGTGAGCATCGCGGTGAAGATCCAGGAGATTGTGGCATTGGCGGTGTAGGGAAGTGCAAGTGAGGGCCATATCAAGATATGCTGAGGGAGGACTGTAGTCCATGATTTGAAGAATGAGCTCCGTGGAGAGGCGTAGGAGATGACATTTTGGTTCTGCCATGGTGTTGTTGGCTCAAAGTCTGGATGAAGTTGTGAGATGAAGGTGGAGTGGCAGCTGAGCCTTTTATAGAGACAGTTAACTACCTGTGAGGGAAAGGCGCTGAGAGGAAATCGCCGAGAGATTGGATGTCAGAAGCTAGGCAGAACACTTGTCGCGGACTGTTCATAACCACAGGATTGAGCTGACATGCTGCGTCAAAGATACACACACCTATTTCACAAAATCACCGAGGAAGTCAGGGTATGGTAAAAGTAAAGAGTCTATGAACCATTAAAATATATAATCTAAAGTGCAGTATTCTGCACGGGATATCATACAGAAGTCAATCCGTTCTATCCATCATCTAAACATGGGAATTCCGTAACGTGTATATTCATCCATTAAGCATCCATCCATTAAAGCTTGAAGCCAAGCCCTTAAGCGGCAATCATGAAACCAGCGACACCGACAGCGGCAACAGCAGCGAATAAGTTGGCGCCACGAGGAGCAGCAGCGTTGGTCTTGTCGGTGTCATCAGAGCCACCAGCGCTGCCAGTAGAAGAAGCACCAGGAGTAGCGAAAGTCTCGAGAACAGTTCTGAGCTGGACTGTCTCTGTGCTGGTGCCAGTAGTGAAGAGGATCTTTCCAGGAGTAGAGCAAACACCCAGTCCGCCGGCGTTGTCGGCGTCGTCCTCATCAATACACTTGTCAACAAGCTCCTGCATATCATCGGCCTTCTCATTAGACCAATCAACCACAGCGGTCATATAGCTCAGGAGGTCAGAAGACAGCGAAGAGGGAGCAGTGAGAGTGCAAGGGTCGGTGGTCTCAGCAGTGAGAGCCCAGGACTCGAGCTCCCTGTTGGCAGTGGGTGCGCTTCGAAGGATAGAGATGGCAGAGCTTTGGCACTCCTCCTTGTCGTCACGCGCAAAGATGGCGTTGACAGCGCGCTTGTTGGGAGTGAAGCTGGGGATGTGCTTGCCGACGTGGAGAGTCTCGAAGATGTGAACGACATCGACGCGCTTGACTTCAGCGGCAGAGACGGTGGTAGCAGCCGCGGCGGCAAGGAGAGAGATGTACTTGGTCTGCATGTTGGTGGTTTGTTTGTTATAAGCGAGCGAGATATTCAGGAGTGAACGAGAGAGATGTTCTGAGAGAGATGCTTTGAGAATTATGATTTGAACAATGTGTGAGGACACAGGCTACTTATAGTAGACGCCCACGATGTGATGAGTTAGGACATGGCCGCTACAACGTGCCATTCCCGCCTGGGCAAAAGAGTCACCGGCCAGTCTAAGGGAAGTTTTGCGAGGCACAGTTAATGGGAACCGCGGAAGTATCCAATGAGGAGAATGGGATTCATCTTGGCAGAGGATTCAGAAGATCACCCCTGGCAAGGCTGAGTGGGCGCTACAGGTTGATCGCGTCGCAGAAGCGAAGCGAGGGTCCAGAGCATCTCCACTGAGTTGTTGGTTCATTGCGGTCTAGGTCAATGCGTTGTCTAGCCTAAAGATGAAGAAGAGGTTAAATGCTTACACTTATGACTCTTTCTTCTATGCAACATTCCTCGTGAATGGATAGTCTGGGCCATATCTCACCGTCACATACATCAATCAATACACCGCTCGTCACCTCAAACAGGAGACAAAATGCTAAAATTAACCTTCTGTGCAGCAGCACACTTGTTAGGCTTTAGCTGCCTGGCCTAGCCTGGCAAGGCTAATGTGGCGTATGGGGACTCAGTTGTGACCAATCGCTTAAGGCGGGAAACCTGCAACTCTATTCGTATCGTTTCCTCATCCGTCGGCCGTTTCCTAACTCAGAAGGTGGCTGAGTTTTCTCTGGTGCTGCTTATATCCGTTTCATTAAGACCACAGCCATCGGATCTGCTTTGGATGTTCATACACGTGCCTCAAAGGTCCTGCTCTGTGACTTCATTCGGGATCGGCGATATTGCCTCACAAGGTGGGCGAAGCAAAAGTCTTGGCAAGGCAGGAACAGGCGATTTGTAACTGCACTGCTGCCACTGGACTCTTGGCAGAAATCACGAGCGGCGTAGAACAAAGCCAAGCATGAGGAACCAGTCAACACCAACACCACAACACAACCAAAAATGATGAATGCGATACAACCAAAAGATGAATCACTCAGAACAATGAAGATTTAATGCGTAATCTGGGAATCGAACCCAGGGCTCCCCGACGCTGCTCGAATGGCAACGGAGAATTTTACCACTAAACCAATTAGGCGGTTGAATTGTTGAAGGTCAAGACGTCAATTTGATCCCTTGTTCGCTGGGCGGAGCTATCCGCCGGAGTTGACAAGTCCATAGACTCAGGTGGTTCAAAAATAAAGGACGACAAAGAGGAAAGAACACAAAAGAAGAACCTAGTTCATTTCCTAGAATTAGATATCATGTTTCAATATTTTTCTGAATAAGTTCCTTTTATTTTTATTATACCTCTCATTGGGCTACAGTCCCGGCGCACTCTCCGCTATGGTCAGCCAATCACAGCTCGAGCTATTCTCTTCAACAATATTCGTCATAAATACTACGCGAGTTGTCTAATCATAAGCTTCGGAGCAGTAAACTCCACAAATAAATGATGGCACTCTTAAAGTACTGAGAGTTTGTTTTAATTGCGGTCTTTTGCACGTTTTATGGTTGTGGGCATTTCTTTGTTTTAAGAAAGTGTCTCCTCTTATGCCTTTAGTTTCCTGGGACTACGCCTCTCAATCATCAGATGAGACATCTAGGCCTCAAAATCTAATATTTTTACAAACTCTGGTGCAAAGCACTCCTTAGATACCTCTCACTGTCTTTATTGCATGGTCAAGCCGACTACTGGAGAACCTTCTACGTTACTTATCGTTTATGCAAGTGACCGGACGCAAGTAAGACAAACATCTATTAAAAGTCGCGTCAACGATCACTGCGATCTCAGATCAGAGAAGCTATTCTTAGGGTTGATTAAGAGCAGACTCTGAGCTGTCACCTTTTGTCTCTTTGCTCACCGTTTACCAGTACCACACCAACAGCAACATCATCAGATCAAGGATGCCACACCAACAAAGAGACACAGAGAATTCGCAAAAGTCCACGGAGCCAGGGATAGATGAGATTGAGGAGAGAATTAAATACATGGAACAGAAGCTCATGATGCACATTGCCATTACTGAGGTCTTGTATGCTGGAGCATGGGAGGATGCAGTTGCTCTCTTGGACCTTATCAGAGCTGGCCATGATGTTGAGACGGTATATTATGCAGTTTGTCAACTAAGAAGAAAGGTATCGAATGGAAAGTAGGCTAGCCGCTTGAATTTGTGTTTGCAGATGAAGTAAATATCAAATATCAACGTTCCAACACAGCAAGCCGTGGAATTAGCAGAAGCCATTTAAAAGTTGAAAATGGCACTGCCACCTGTCTATATACAGTTCAAAAACTTAGGGCACCCAGAGTATTCCTCTTTATTGACTAGTTAGTCCTCAACTTCGAGATGAATACAAATGCATCTTCACCTATCCGACAGAGCACACGATTACGTCTCTCTCAGACTAGAATTTAACTGTAATACCGATATCGATATGGAAGAAAGCCACTGAGCGATGCGAGCAAGTTATAATTCTTTGACCGTTATCGTCGAAGCTGACGTCCCCCCTGCCAACAAGACGACACGTTTTCTCTTTGGAGTCTTTCACCTAAACGTCCTTGAACCTTATTGACTCGTCCTTCTCAGTACACTCCGCCCATCTACGAACCTTTTTCGTCCACAATCCGTCACATTGCAAGACTGCTTCGTAGAAATCGTCTTTCAAAGGGTTCTCCTCGACCCAGTCCGGACACAGGTCATCCAATTTGGCTTTGTAGACTTTCCGTAACTGCGTAGTCTCATACTCCATCTTGTGAATCCAGTACAGTTCATTCTTGCCTTCGTTGTCCAGGTAATCTGGGTCGTTGCGCCTCCCCGCTTCTTCGGCAGCCTCTTCTGGTGTCTCGTCCGCATATACGTCGCGCTGCGGCTCATCTTCACGAGGTTTGTCATCAAGGAACTTGGGAACTTGCCTCGCCTTCCAGAGAGGTAGTGCCGACACACATTCCCAGTCGATCACAGCTGTGAGTTCTCCTTGTTCGTCAACGAGAATGTTGTCGAGGTGGAGATCATGGTGATGGAGAGCTGATGGCTCTGGCCTGCTCAAATCCGGAGGGAAAACTTTAGGAAGATAAGCCAGAAGGCTTTGCGCTATTGGCAAGATCTCTTCCGCGTCTTCAATATCGTCTTCATCCTTAGATTTCTCTAGAACCAAGTTCTGATGGCGTATGATGATTGCCAATACGGCGCTTAGCCAATCATGAGTAGAGAGAAATGGCCCCCTCGGGATGTCGTATGTAAGATGATCCCCCTCGAAGAACTCATGGGATATCATGCGCCCAGGTGCCGCCGTAGCTTCAGGCGCCTCGGGGTCGGCCTCGAGGTTAATCTCAGGAGAATCCAATGTCCCTATACTTTTGAACGCTGATTCTTGCTTCTCGAGACCTGATAGTTCAAACTGGAATGTCGCAAATCGCTTCGTGAGCGCGATCTTCTGCTCCATCGACATGGTACGCCATCGCTTTTCCGCAGATGTGCCCTGCATAAACTCCATCAAGATCCATCTCAAAGCCGATCTCGTTGTCGTTACTATCGTCAAAAGCGAAGACCTTGGGGACGGGAACACTGGTGTTGTCGCGCACCCATTTCAAGGTAACGACCTCGGCGCGTGTTTTATGTCGCGGGTAGACAGGCAAGGTGACGCGCATGATGAAAGTACTCCCCTCAGTACGAACGAGATAGACCTTGTTGAAGACACCTGCTGCGTGAAATGTGACAGTGCAGGGATTATCTGACGGTATCTTGAGCTGTTGACGGGATACGCTTTCAATGTCGCCTATGGAAGGCTCTCGCGTCCATACTGGCAGCAAATACAGCCATGATTGTTGCCATTCAAGGCCGTCCTGGGCCGCTCGCTGCATGCTGGAGGTAATTGGAATTTATTTGTCGGCTGTAATATCAGGACAAAGAATTAGAGATGAGGTGAAAATGATTGAGCTTGCTCAAGGAATGAGAAGGAAGCGAAATTATGGGGCAAACGAAGTTCCGATCACGCTCTTGTTGAATGCAGGCTTTGAGCCTCTGAGGTAATGCCTGAAAGGTAATGTTAGCCAAGAGACAGACTTGCTTGCATCGGTATCTTACCTTGTGTGTTTTTGTATGCTTTGAGTTGGATCGTCTTGACGGAAGAGCAGCAGGCAGGCCGTCATTTATACACTATTAGAGACAGTCATCAGGATATCTAACTTTTCAGCCAAAAGTTATATCTTAGGCACCAGCGAGGGCAAAGAGTATATTGCCTATATATATTAATTTGTGTTCTTTACCTTTGTGTTGGGGCTGAAGGCTCTTTTAACCTCTTAACCTTATCACAGTTAGCCAAGAGAAATAGGTATATTTGGCCAAACTGTGTATGTAATATGTAACACACACAATTGTAGGTAAGTTCTGATCATTCTGAGGCCACCCACCGAAGCAATGCCGGCCTATCGCTGGGTTGTTTGTTTGGGCGAACCAACCATAGTAACCTGTAGCATGCCTGTTCACCAACATTGTGTCACCCACCATTTGTCGTCAGTACATGTTGAACTGGTTAAGGGGAATTCTTGTGTATTGAACTGTTGTTGTTCTTATCATCTATCTGGCTTCTTGCCCCCTCAGGCACAGGTTGCGCCACATGTTGTTGCCGGGCAGAAACTCTGTTCGGTTCTCATTCATTTTTCAGACCGTACTGCGCTTGGAGAAATGGGTCCCTTCAACGCTGGCCTTTTCCACCATGTCAGTAATATGCCTGCGCGTCAGACAGTGTTGAAGGACGCTCACGAAGTTTTCAAGGCTTGTATTGCTACAGAAGATTGCTCTTGGAAAGAAAAGTTTCTGAGAAACATTGAGTTCAATACTCTTGGTATTAGCGAGGCCCATGTCCTGAAGAATACAGACCACAGGCACATGAAGACATATGTGGTGGAAAAGGAATCAACAGACGAGATTCGACAGCTGACATCCCAACCCGATTTTATCTACGGATGGATTCCTCCACAGTATTTGCTCGAAAATCATGAAATACCCCTCTGGTCGAGAATAGAAGCAGAGGCTGTCAATGGAACAAATCTTTTCTATCCTTTTCTGGTGGTCAAATTTGGTGACCTCGGTATCGAGCAAAGCGGAAGCTTTTCTGAACCAGTATCCAACTGTATTCAAGGCGCTTCAATCGGCGTCAGAATGGTCCAGAGACTGTGCCATCGCCTTGCAGAGCGTGGCTATCATGATGTAGGGCATGTTCTAGGACTCAATAGCTCTGTGTATAGCTTTGTGTTGATTCAGCACACAGCCTTTATCTTTTTTTAGTTATGCGTGGGATGAGACCAGTGAGCATTTCTGTCCGGTAGGAACATTCGACATGCGAAATGAGGAAAGCCAACGACAATGCGTAAGAATAATCAGTAATATTCTTTTCTAGGGCACGACAACCCGACTTGAGAACATTCAGAGAGCTATCCAAATCATTCGCAATGATAATTTGAGTTGTTATCCACGATATCAGCAAACAAACTAAAGCTGAACGGAACATCAATTATTTTGTTCACATTTGCAACCGCCGGAACTCGATTCTCACATGCTGGTAGGATAGAACGCAAGTAGTGCTAGATATGGATTGGATGACAGAGCGGAGGGACTTAAGTTTTGCTGTTCAGTTGGAGAAAGGAGGAAGAGTTCAAGACCCGGTAGAGGTCATAGAACATCTCAGATGAGGAGCTTGCGATGGTTTTCGCGATGAGTAATGCTGAAGGCCATTGTCGGTTATGTGAGCACGGGTATGGGTACTGGTGTTATCATTGCATTTACTTGATTTTTATTAGACATTTACGGTGCCAATGTAAAGAGAAAATACAGGCAGATTCTGTTGTAACTTGCAACTCTTCGATGATATACAGAATGAATACATGATGTAACTGTCATCAAGCTGTGCTTCTCTCATGGATGTTTCAAGTACCAAGCGGTCAGCCCGTGCGCATGCACTTTGTACAGCCTGCTTTTCCTCTTCCAATGAGATGATGAGCTGTATGCCTCGTTGCTTTTTTCTGGCATGGAGATATGATTTGGAGTCACGATAACCAATGCTTTTTGCAGGGTTTCTCAATTCAAAAAACCGTCCAAAACACGGGCAAAAAAATCGACAAATTTTGAATTCAGTTTACCATAAAAAGCTGAACAGTCGCGCAATGGATTCTTACCTTTCTTTTCATTTCAATCATGCACATGTCTCTACTCTCTACCTCCGCCATACTATACATTTCTATTACTACCTAGAAAATGTCTGACTCGGTAGATTCCGCCAAGGCTGGCGGTGCTGCTGGTGACGCACCCCTAACAAAGCCTTCGCTAAGAGTGAGTTGCTTCCATATGGACCGGACGTACGTGCAGAAGCAAAGAGATACTTATGCATAAAATTAGGTCCCAGATGCGGCCCTCACTGGTGTGACTAGCCGTGAGCAAGACCTGGCCGATGGTCCTTCACTATTAGGCATCGGTGACGGGCAAGGTGACCCATACACTGATTTGACCTGGGAAACAACGGAGAATTATGTTCCACAGGCAGGTGTACTGTCGTCGCTTCTGTTTAGATTGCCACAGCCCGGGCCCACAGAGGTCATGTCATCTTCTGAGCCTTCACACTCAGGGCCTTCTTAAACTGTTCCAACCCAAAGCGTCTCACACGCAAGCAATTCACACCACAAGGAAGTGCTGCTTACTTCAACTGATGGACCAAGGATCAACCACTCATTGTATTGGACCCCTGAGTTTTCATGGCAGGGCTCTCACCTCTGTTTTGATGATCAGCCACTCGAGCTACCAGAAACACGCGATGGCCAATCTTCCAGAGCCGGCCCTGACTCAGAGCACGCATTCTCGTTATCTCACAGGTCCTTGCCTCATATAGGAGGGCTCGATCGTGGCAATGACGAGTTTCAGATATCTGCAATTGCTGGTATTGGAAGTTTCGCCCAGTCTGAAACCGTCTTTCGCGGAGAATTCATCGAAGCCGGATTGCCAGCTCACGTGGAAATTGCCATGCAGGAGACCATCAAAAACATAGTGGAAACACTTGTCGACGACTACTACAGATCCTATGCGCCACAGAAACGGACTCTTGCAGCAAAGCGCAAGCAGGCTGATCGAAGCTCCAGTAGTTCGACCAGGAGCAGTCGAGCATCAGTTGCACGGAAAGGTGCTAAAGCTGGAAGCCGCAAAGGTCAGACTATTGATGGGGATGGGGGAAGTGAGGATGAGGAGTCTAGTGGCAACAGGCAAAGCCCGTCCGATACTGATACATCTGTCGAAAACACCCTCTTCTGGGCTTGTCCTTTCATGAAATGGGATCCCAGAGAGCACAGACACTCTTGTGTCAAGAAACTCAGGGACATACATGGCCTCAGAAAGCACATTCAAGAGAAGCAATTTGGTAAACACTGTCCTGAGTGTTTTCGAAAGTTCTCCGAAGACACAACTGACGCCCCTCCGCACCCATGCGTCGAAATATATGATCTTCCGCCACGTCCAGAGGCAGGACTCATCACGATGGATATGCAAACTGCGATCAAAGAAAGACCCGACCCTAGAATGAGTCAAAAAGAGAAATGGGAGAGACTTTTCAAAATTGTTTTACGCTACGAGCCGATTCCTTCAAGCCACTCCCTCGATCATGAGATGGCGCTGGTTCTTTGTAAAGTAGACGACCTCTTCTGTCGGCCATCTGTGCAGCGCAGAGTTCGCCATATGATACACGAGTCTCAACTTGCGTCTAAACTCAATCGTATATGGAGAAGGCTTGATGAGCTTGTGTTTGAAAGATTAGTACAATGGTTTTTGGACGCCCTCAATGCTAATGTCATTGAGATGAACGCTCGGATAGCTTCCGAAGAAGAAACAGTTGATCATGCACAACCCATTTCGACTATGGAAAACGGCATACCTGATCACTCATACACACTTGATTCGAGGGGCACCGGGTATGATCAGAATGAAATCACCACAATTCAGTCTGGCCTCTTGATAAAAGTCGACGACACCACCACTCCGATCCCAGAACTATTTGCGGACCAGTCAGAAATCGGAGTCGGGGAAACTCATGGTCGTCTTGAAGCCACTGATACCTACGGACTTTTCTGTTCAGACGTGGCTGGAAATGTGACTGGAAATGTGAACTTTGAAGAGACTGGGAGTGATCCCTTTTTGAGACCCGCGGGAGGGGATCTTCCTTGGTACAGTGGACAAGGGATGTTTGAGACGGAGCTTGATCAAATGTGGAGTGATCAGAGTTTCCCCCAGGGGACTTAGTTTAGGAGTCATTTCTTTCAATTTCGTTTACTCTCCTCGGTTATTTCCTGTTCTCAGTATACTCGTTTTGTTGCAATTATAGAGGGTTATGACAACACCAACTGATAAACTTTATGCTGAGCTCATAGGTCTTGATATTAATCTACCCAAGGAAAAGCAAAGTTGCAATCGAGACTCTGAGATGGCTCAGATAGACTCTCATTTGAAGACGAGTCCTCCGAATCTATATCGTCGCTATATTGAGCCTTGAGTCTCAAACCCCAAAGTCTTGATTCCTCCGACTCGAGCTGAAAAGCCCTTTGTTCCACATGAACCATATCATCTAGTAACCGCTTCAAAGTCCGTTGTGTTTCTATCGTGGACGAGCAGAACTCCATGTCTCTGACGCCTTCTAGTAAGCTTTTTGATAGTGACCGTCGCTGGAGATATAGTTGTTGCTTCTCGTGTAATAGTTGATGAACTGCCAGTGATGTTAGAAGGGTTGCAAGAGGTCTGGTTAGATAGCTTACGGTTTTGCTGGAGATTTGGCCAGTGGCAAGTTTGGCATAGAGCTGTGCATTCAGAGCATCGTGCTTGCCCGTTTACTCGTACGCATTTTCTGCGGTTACGGAGACAGAAGAGACATGATGATAGAATTGTGCTTTTGGACTTTTGCTGCTTGGTTGTTGAGCTTCTTGACTTGCGAGCTCGAGGCTTGCTCGTTTGCTTTTTTGTTTGGCTGGGCATTGTGAAGTGTGTGTAGTCAATGTTGGGTTTATTCTGGAAGATTGATTTGGACCTCGTCGCGATGTTGGTAGCTAGATAGTATAGATTGAAAGTATCGTCGGCTTATGCAGAGCGGTGACTTGGGGTAGGTTCTATAGCTATGTCATTTACCGAACTTCAGTCGCCGCATGATGTAAGAGCCGAGGAATTAGTCTATGGCTTTGTTCCCATGATTGACTGAGACTATTTGGAGAACGGCCGGCTTTAGCTCCAGACGCCGAAGCAGAGGCCGAATGTCGGTAAGCGGCAAATGCTTCCATAAATAGCCAAGCCTCTCATCAGCCCCTCGATGCATGGAATGAAGAATCATTTGCCGTAATATCAATAGAAATAGTGAATACAATTTTGTGACCTCATGAGGCTAGTAGTCCCTCCAAGTAAGCCGTGTCTTCAGATGCCGAGCAGCGCCCCCTTGACGCCGCTGGCTAGCTGTGCTCTCCAAATCTTGTGCTCGTTCAGCATAAACAACTCCCCATTTCTACCAAAACAAAAGTTCGCAATGCCTCCCGAAATGAGAATCTTTCCGAGTAACACGCCGCCTGGTGACCAGACGTTTACGCCATCGCCACAGCCACTGTAAACGTTGCCCTTCGTATCGCATTTGATGCCATCGGGGATACCGGTGTCTGCCATTGCGAAAACTCTCTTGTTGGTGAGGAATGGCTCACCTGAGATGGTTGATAGGTCAAAGGCATAGCTATTGTAAATTATTAGCAGGTTATCTCCATGGTCTTGTGGCGTTGGGCGACTTACATGGTCCTTGCTCTAGTGTCATCAGTAGTTCCATCACCATGAATCCAGTCGGTATCAGTGATGTAGACAACCTTCTCATCAGGACTGAATGAGATGCCATTCGGTCTGCCAAATCCATCTGCCACGACCCGCACAGACTCGTCTTTCGGATCATATCTATAAACCTGGTTTCGTAGTTGGGGGGCTGGCCTTATACCCTGCTCGTATCCATAAATTGGATCCGTGAACCAGACAGAGCCATCAGAATGAACAACCACATCATTCAGAGAATTGAAATCACGTCCGTAGAAGGAGGTAACAAGTGCTGCACATCTGTAAGGTGCGATAGGCTGCATGAATACAAGACCTCCTGGCGTAGTCAAGGATCCTTGGGAGCAGAAGAGTACGCCGCCCTTGTAGTTCACACCACCATTCGCCATGATAACATCAGGAGAGTTGACTTCTTCGCAGCTAATGAATTTTCCATCGGGAGAGAGTTGGACCTTGCTTATTTGGATCGTCTTCTGGCCGGTCGTTGGATCTGGGAATTGGTTGCTCGTGATGAACAGGGCATTTTCTTCTGGAATGAAGACTCCAGCTTCGTGGGCAAAGGGATATTGGTCGTTCTCATGAATCACCTCGATCGTTGAAGAAGCGTCAAAGATGGCATTTGCACCATTGTTGTAAATCTTAAATGACATCGTGCCGAGTAGTCAGGGTTGTATCCGGGGTTGCAGTGCTGGGGTAGCTAGAAATGCGGGATATGAAGAGGAAGATAACATAACAAATATTGGGCATCGGGCTTTGGAATTTGGAGGTTGAGCTGGGTTACCTGCCGTTACCCCTCAGCGGCTAATGCCAAACATAATTCCGTTCCCAATCTGGAAATGTCTGCAGCGGGTGGCTCATATGCCGAAGCCACACAGCGAGAATACGTAAACTCTATGCATACGGACGATAGAATATCCAACCAAGCATTATTCGGCAGTAAGCGCCTTTCATGTAACTTTCACATGACATCATTAAAGATATGCCAATCGTATTGATTACTATTCGCCCCTTTCTCCTCTTTGAAGCCCGTCAACTAAATCTTCAGAACTATCTTACAACATGTGAATAGTGCATCCTCAGCTCTCACTTCTCAATATGACTTCTGGATAGGTTAAGCAGCAGTCTTGTTTCCAACAGACTCCATCATGACAACAGCAGCATTAGTCTTCTCATCAACCTGGCTAATAATATCCTCTCCACCGAAAAGGTGATCAACATCCTCCAACTCAAGACCCTTGGTCTCAGGGAAGAAGAGGAAGATGATAGGAACCCAAAGACTGTTCAAGACTGCGAAGATGATGTATGTCCTCCAGCCAATGTTGTCAATGGAGATGGGAGTGATTTGGACGATCATCTAGAAGGATATCAGCATAGCTATGTGTTACAGAACTGGGTGACATACGTAGTTGAAGATCCAGTTTGCGGCCGTGGAGATAGATGAACCGCGCTGTCGGAGGCGTAGAGGAAGGATCTCAGAGCTGCAATCTGTCAGTATTGGACAAGGAAGTTTGGTGTGGAAAGTTCTTACGGATAGACCCAGACGGTCGCCTGGAAACCAATAGTGAAAGCACCCTGGAAGACAAACAGCATAGCTGCAGCTGCAATACCCGCGGCATGTGCCGTAGCGGTATTGTTCTCGACCTGGTAGATCAAACCTGCCTGGACGGCCATAGTAGCAGCCATGACGCTGATCATAGACAAGAGCTTCTCAAGTTAGCTTAGCATATAGTGACAAGTTCGAGGTGTACTTACAAGAGGTCTTCGTCCAATGCGATCAATCAAGACCCAAGGAATGAAAGAGGCAACAAAGAACCAAGTCTGGAGGAAACCGGACATGAGGGCTGACATGTGAGCAGAGAAACCGACACTCTTCTCAAAGAGGGTGCTCGAGTAGTCTATATATCATCAGTATAGTTCAACAACGTAATAAAGCAAGGTAAAGACTTACAAATGATTGCGTTGATACCTCCGAGTTGCTGCGCAGCTTGCAGAAAACAAGCCAAAAGAAGTCGTTTGCGAGACTTGATGCTATCTTCTTTGAGAAGATCCTTCCAAGAACCTGAACCAATGGAAGTCTCATAGGCGACAGTCTGGGTGATGACGCTATGGAGAACCTGAACCTCAGGATCATCAATGGAAGTGCCCTGGATTTGAGCAAGGACTTTGAGGCACTCCTCAGGCCTGTCATGTGCTGCCAACCAACGTGGTGTCTCGGGAATAACAAACAGGAGACCCATGATGACCAGAATAGGAAAACACTGAAGAATGACGGGAACGCGCCAAGCATAGCTGCCGGTATGCGATGACAGGGCATAGTCGATCCAGTAAACGAGGAAGATACCGAAGTTGAGAGTCGAAAGCTGAGCGCAGACGTCTATAAGACATTAGAAAGGTATTACTTATTATCGAGGACAATAACTTACAGATACCACGGCTTGACTTGGGACTAAACTCAGCCTGCATGACAGGAACAGTAGAGTTGACAGTACCCAGACCAAAGCCCGAAACAATACGGCCGACGATCATCATAGCTCGTGTATAAGAAGCAGCTTGGAGGACGGCACCAATGATCAAGAAGACGCAACCCACAAAGACAGAGCGTCGACGACCGAGCTTCTCACCCCAGATAGAGGAGAAGACGGCACCAAAGAAGCATCCAACTATTACATGTAAGTGGCTAACATAGTTCATAGGCAAAGTGGAACTTACTCTCGAAAATGGCGACAATAACGCCGATCATATCAGAATCGGGACTATCAAAAGTGTCCTTGAAAGCCGAAGTGTTGACAAGACCACCCATGAGGCCATTGTCATAACCGATGAGCATAAAACCCAACGACGTCAAGACACTGACGGTCAAGATGAGGCTCTGGCCCTGCAACTCCATGATGAGCAATTGATCGTGTAACAAACAATAAAATAGAGTGTTGATATGCCTTGTATCGTGGAGAACGAAAATCAAATTCAAAAGGCAGAGACGGAAGATGGGTTAATAAAGACAAACCCACATTCCAAGCTTAATACGACTCTACTCCGTGGGGACCCCATGTTTGCGGGGAAAGGGTTACCAAACTTTCTCCAGGATTCATTAGAGCTAATTTCAATTGCCGTCGGTGTTTGAAAAAGGAGTTGCCGATGGTAAATGGCTTCGGAATAGCGGCAGAGCTAAGTTTACTAGGTTTTAGCTCTCGCCCTTTATAAAATGAGCAAGTAAAGTCAATGATGAGCACTTGGGTACAATTAAACTTGATAATGCGAATCATACAAGGATGTCGCTTCGATTGCAGACGATAGACAATAACCTCAAAGGCCGATTGGCTTTGGTGACGGGTTCAAGGTGAGTTTGGTATTTGTTGTTGGAGGTGTATTGTCAGCCAGGCTAACGATTGTAGTGGCGGAATAGGTTCCGCTGTTGCAAGAGCCTTTGCTGCTCAAGGTTGTGATGTTGGCTTGCATTATTCTTCTAGTAAAGGAAAGGCAGACAAACTTGCACATGAGCTGAGTGAGACATACCCATCTCAGCTGTTTGTGCCTGTGCATGCAGATCTTTCACAAAGAGAGTCAACGAGAGCCTTAGTCTCAAACTTGCTGAGTCAAGATGTTGTATCCTCCAAGCACAAGGCAGTATCTATTCTGATTGCAAATGCTGGCTTGGGAAGACGGATCCGCGATGTTGCGGAGATTGGAGAAGATGACTGGGATGAGATGATGGAAGTCAACAGTCGAAGCCAGTTTGTCGTCACAAAGGCTTGTCTTGCTGGTATGAGACAGCAAGGTTGGGGGCGAGTTATCCTGGTTGGAAGTATAGCTGCCCGAGGAAGTGGGCTGAATGGATGCCATTATGCTGCATCAAAGGGTGCTCTGACGTGAGTAACACGGAAATCCTCGTATGGTCACGCTGACAAGTCATAGTTCAATGGGTCAGAACTTGGCCACTTTGTTGGCACCCGAAGGCGTTACAGTGAACATCGCAAGTTCTTCAAGCTGTCTATCAGAATTCTGTGGAAACTAACGATTTGTGTAGGTCTCGCCAGCTATGATTGGCTTCACGGGCATGATTCCTCCGCCCATCTCAGAGTAAGATTCTCGGGCTATCTCAATATTGCAACTTGGCTAATCTTTGTCTGTAGAACCTGGAGTAAAGGATGTGATTTGGAAGAGCTGAAAAAGACTGATCCTGGTCTTGCCATTGCTGCATCTATTCCAGTCCATCGCCTAGGCTCGCCTAATGAGGTTTGTGAAGCGATCATCATGTAAGTCCTGTTGAGCGCAAATAGCCTTCACTCGTCTAATAGGTTCGATAGGCTGGCAAGAAATGGATACATGACCGGACAGGATATCCTGTTGAGCGGCGGTTTGAAATAGGTTACTAGATTACAATTAAAGAGCCAAGGGCAATGCATCAACTGTAAAATTAGCTAGAATAGATATTTCTTACAGTGTAACTCGTATAGATTTAAATCAAGACATTTTGGCTGCGAGTTTATCCTCTTATTCCCGATCCCTTTTCAATATCAGGTGGTTCAAACTCCGAGCAAGAGGAAATTCCACAACTTATTCCCTTAGCCGACCCATACCCTCGGAGTAGCTCGCGCTTTAGTGTGAGACGATTGACGACCAGGGTTCTCAGCTTCAATAGCCATCACCAATAATTCTCAGCTTCCATGTCATTTTCTAGAATCTAGACCCCCTAGTCACTTTTCGTAGCGGAATATTCCGTCCTAGCTCAGTATCTTCAAGCCCTGTGACATCGGTACTTGTCCATAGCTCAAAGCTTAACCCAAACCATACCAATCTGGGCCTCTTAGACCGATGTCGTCGTATGATTAGTTAACCAAGACCCTCATCATATTCAAATGCCGCGTTCCCCTCTCCTCTCGGTGTTTGAAACCTCCACGCATAATGACACCACCGACGGGACCAGAGACCGAGAAGAGGGTTTCGAGAGCTTGCGTGAGCTGCAGATCTCGTAAGACCCGATGCGACCTGTAAGTCGTGGCAATTGCCTCCACTGGCTAAGAAATCAGTTGACGTGTGAGAAGTGATTCTAGTGGCGTGCCTGGAGACCCTCCATGTCGGCGATGCATCGAGAAGAACCAAGAATGTATCCTCGCTACATCTCGACGCGGTGGTCGTCGCATCAAGGGCCAACGTCTTGGTTACTCTAGATCAACAAATGATTCTCATCAACCATCGCCAAGCAGACCCATCAACCGAATGAATCAGGTGCCAGCACAAGAACCCCGTGAACCAGACCAACATAGTGAATGGTTGTCGTCAAATCTTGGATCACCTCTTGATCAACAATTCGAGGATGATGAAGAGCCTACAGGTGATGCGGTGCGACTCAAAGGTCACTTCACATCGTCAGATCTTTTAAACCCGTCTGATGCTTTGGATCTGTTGGCTCATGTGGCTGATATGGAACCTGAGGGGCATGCACAAACACAAGACGCAGAAGGTGACCCTGAAAACTCGACAAGGATGGCAAACACATCCCAGGGTGTTTGTGCCTATCCACCCATTACCTCTGGAGCATTGACTCTTTCTGAGGCAGCCTTTCTTATCGAACAGTAAGTTCATATATACACATATTTCTGATGCAGGCTGACGCGATAAAGCTACCATGATAACTTCCACATCTTCTTCCCCATCGCATACAGCGCCGCCTTCGACTCCAGCCGCATCCTGGAACTCGTCGAACACGAACCATACCTAATTACAGCCATCCTCACCGTCGCCACAAAAGATGATCCCTCGTGGTCCAGAGCCCATAACGCCTGCGCTAGGCATATGGAGACACAGATCTCCAAGCTGATATATACCGGCTCGACCACAGTCGGTGCCGTTGAAGCTTTATTGATACTAGCAGAATGGGCACCTCAGCCACTGGAGGAGAACCTCATGATCGGTTGTGGCAAAGAGGACCAGGGTTCATGGATGCTAGTTGGTGTTGCTATCCGTCTCGCGTATCTGCAGAACCTTGAGCAGACTGGACTTGTGCAAAGAGTTGAAGGTGCGCAAGATAATCTCTGTAGAAAGAGGATAGCTTGGGCTGGTAAGTAATTTTATCTCCGCCATGTGGCGCTCTTCGGCGACTGACGGGAAGACAGCTTGCTATATGAGCGATCGTCAAGTTTCGATCCGTCTCGGAAAAGGGTTCTGGTCTCGTGGTCCAGGCCCATCCGTCAACCTTCGAGCCGCCGACTTTCCATATCTCCAAACTCAAAAGCTTGGAAACGATAATCTAGCCTTACTCTTTCAAGCACATCTTGAAATTACTCAGCTATTCAGTAATGCACATGACATTCTATACTCATCAACAAGTCATAGAGAGCAATTATACATAGGAGGAGAGTACGTGAGATACATTGTAAGCAAATGTCTCTCCAACTTTCATAGCGTCGTATAGCTAACTCTATAGGATGACTTCTCCTCCGTTCTCCGCAGATGGAAACTCTCCTGGGGCGGTCTCAGCTTCATCCCCCGCGTCAAAGCATCTCTTATGCTATCATATGATTTTCTTCGTCTATATATCAACGCATTTGCTTTTCAAGCAAACCTCAATCGCATTGTTCGTCGGTCAAAGAAGAGACCGTCTGGTCCCTTGTTCTCGGAACTTGCCGCTGCCCCAGATGCAAGGTTCATCTACGAGTCTATCGACGCAGCAAATTCTATCTTATGCACGCTCAATAGCTTTATAGACCCCACTGAAGCTTTCAAGTATATGCCGCTCAAGTTTTATCTTTATGTTATCTATGCTGCAGTATTTTTATTCAAGGTGAGCATTTCTTCACCTCATTCTTGAGCAAGTCTGATAATAATCGTCTACAGGCCATTTTTGCTGGGGCTATCAAACCATCAGAAGCACGAGGTGTGCGCCGTGCCATCTACGAAACTATTTCTCGTCTACAGAAAACGTCGAATAATCAACAAGGCCTCGGTCAGCGCTACGCTAGATCTCTTAGGCTTCTCTGGTTGAAGATGCTAGGAAAGTCAAGATCACGGAACCCTGAAGTTGAAGGACCATCAGACTGTTTGGCCTTGACTAGCCACGGAGCTTTACAGTCGCAGGCTGAATCGAGTGAAGGAAATATGAACTCCGATCCATTTAATAGCTTCTCATGGAAAGATCTTCATTCATTGGGTGAGTTTATATCAAATGATGGGACATCACTTTTCAATGATAATTTCATTATAAGTCCAGAACAGGACTCGGTACAAGGAGCGGAAGGACCTGAACACTTCAGTGGAAACTTTTACTCTGGCTCATTGGGTGAGATCGACATAATATTCTAATACATTATTCAGGAGTATACCCACTTCAGAGGATATAATCAAAGTTTGGTGTGGAGTCTTGCAGTGAACTTTGCGTGATAGAACTCGGGGCTTGACTAGATCATTGGGTTTATATCTCATCCAACCCCACCAGCCGGTAAAAGCTCTCCTGTCCTCACTCTCGTCATGTTGTTTGACTTGAATGCGTGGCAAAAGAGTCCTAGTGCTTATTCCATCCGCTGTCATGACCCCACTCAAGGCTCTTCTAACCCCTCAACATCATACGTACAGTAGTAGAGCCATTCTTGGTATATAAAGGCTTCCAGTGTCAGCTTACGGTGACCACAAGCCATAACTCGACAGCTCATCAGGTCAAGTTTTTACAAAATGGCAACATCCCAAAGCAAAGACCTCCCCTCTTCCTCATTCTTTTCTGCATTTGCAGCAAATTATCTCCAACAAACTGGAAGAAGCACATACCGTGTCCTTGACTTGGCCTTTGATGACATTCAAGCCACAAAACCTGTCGCCAAGGGCTCGGTGGTTCATGACAATGCCGCTGGTCCAGGGATAGCCGCTTCGGTTCTTGTTGACAGACTCGCGGCTGATGGCCTGCCTCAGATTCTGGTCACGGATAATGTACCACCAATGGTCCAAGCCGCCCAAGATTCTTTCACTTCGCTCCCACAGATCGAGTCAAAGATCCTCGATTCTCAGAACTTGGAGGGGATTCCTGACGAGCACTTCACACACAGTATCCTCAATTTCAGTGTTTACACCCTGGCTGATCCTGTCAAAGGCGTCAAGGAAATCCACCGTACGCTCCAGCCTGATGGTCTCGCCGTCATCTCATGCTGGAAGCGCTTTGGAGTTGGCGGACTCATTCACGCTGCCCAAGCACTTGTCCGACCAGACCTTCCACCTTTGAAAATGCCTCATCCAGAGTTCTTTGAACCTGGTGTTCTGGAAAAGACGACCGTTGAAGCTGGATTTGACTCTTCTAAGTTTAAACTTGTGGAGGACAGTATTATTGTTAGTGGACCTGAACTGGAAGATGGTTTGAAGAAGTTTATGCTGGGAGACTTGATGCGTCCTGCTCGTGCTGGATATACTAGTGATGAGGAGAGAAGATGGCCAGAGGCTGTTGATGAGGTACTCAAGAAGGAAGTTGAAACTTATGGGGGGGTCAAGTTCGAGAGTTGGGTTCTTCTGGCTCAGAAGTAGAGGTATCAAGCTTCGAGATACCTAAACTTAGTTTTTGAGAATTATCTGATCATGAAGAGATATCATAGCCACCATTTCTCCATCACGAATATGATACGTCGACTGAGGATATATCTTAACCATCCCTGATCGAATTCCATTCTCCCAAAGAGTATTAGGCCGGTACAAATCATTCTTCTCCTTAAGAATGGCAAGATGAGACTTGATACCTTCTATATCATCCTTCCTGACTATCCATCCAATAGTCAACGGAGATGAACCCTTCAGGTTCGGCTTGCTTTGGAATGCAAGTCTAGCATAAAAGAGACCATCTTTAGGGGGGAGAAAAGTAAACGATTCCGAATCCCAGCTCTTTGATCCTGATGCTTCGAGGATTGTCAATGACATCGTCTCCATAGCGCAACCAAGAACAACCGTAGACGGTCGGTTTCTTCCATAGAGTGGAGAGTTGTGGCGGATGAAATGCTGAACATAAATATGTGTTGGCTTGATCGAAAGCGTACGCGTCGTTTCAACCTCACGAACCAACTGTTCACCCGTGTTGATTCGAGCGTATTGACCACAACTATCCAGCCGTCCAAGCTTGATGCCGTACCATATATCTTTCCTCGGATTTGACTGGTGAGTAATATCCAAAATGGCGTGGAACTCATCAGATCCCGGATCATGCTCAACAAGACGGACTTGTAGATGCAGGCCCTTATTCGTCATTTCAAATGGTATGTCGACTTGTTTTGGTAATATACCACGGCATTGATCGCTGTAGAAATTCCTTGGTGAAGGAGCAAGCAGGCCGCTGAATGTTCGAGCTGGCGAGCTTGGCTCAGAACGCCATGCAAATAGTGTATGGTCGGGCTGCTTCTTGATAATCTCCTCTTGCAGTCGTATAAAAGCATTCTTCCCTTCACCGTAGAGGAGTGGCATGTGAACATCAAAAATTCCCAGCAAGCAGTATGCCTGATCTTCGATGCGAGTCGTCTCACGCCTTGCAGCCCATGACATTCTCGTGGCAGCTGAGAAGGAGCCAAGATCGCCGATATAAAGGACCTTTCTGGGAATTCCAGTGATCTGAGCAACTTGACTGGCAAGACTCATCCGCTCAAGCTCTTGGGGATCTCCATCTTCTTCTGCGGTCATATCCATGCGAAAGAAACCATTGACTAGGTGTTCTCTGTAACGATTCTTTGATATCTCTCCGATCATTGTCCAGTTTGCATCGAAGAATTGGCGAACTCGAGGAGCCAAGAGCTCTTGTAGTGTCCAGCCACGTGTGAACCACCGTGCTTCTCCGAGAGACTCATCTATTTGATTTGATTCTTCCTCATGGACCACGTCTTCTAGGTATATATAGCAGACGGCCGAGTTTCGGTACCACGAGAACATGGAGTTGATAGCTTCTGAGAGTTCTGCACTGCTTGACTTATCGATGCAGCAAGTATCTACCCAGCAGTAGTCGAGGCCGTCTTTCTTAGACTGCTTGGCACATAATTCGATCTTTTTGTACCCTTTTTTCAGTTTCACGTCGGATGAGTTGGTGCGTATCTCTTGAAAGAGGACCTCCTCACTAGTGTGACCCCACGTGTGTGACAGGATTGCATATTCGGGAATATTGCTATAGAACTCTTCAAGTTGCAAAGTCGAAGCGTTGATAAGATACATGATGATAAATATACTATGTCAATCGCGAAGGGCAATAAAGGAAGAAGAAAATGAGGGGAGTCAGCTTGAGGAGATGGATCCCATAAATAGCCGCATGGTTGCAGGGGCTAGCTACTCAGCTCATTGGACAGTGGAACCAAGTTCTAAGTGAAGCTAATACAGCCTCAATGGATAATGGTTACGATATCTAACAGTCTCATCCTGCAAGGTATTAACTGGCTAATTAAGTTCAACACTTCACTTTGTTTCAAGGGACGTAGATCATGGTCAGTACTGTAGATAAAGTATGGTCCATAACATTAACACATTGAACCTAAGATTTAACCATAGGAAAATAATGAGACCGAGGTGGTTTTCCATCCACAAGAAAGTGAAGCCTACTATTGACGTTTCTCTAACCTCGACCAGTTGAGAGTTTTGCTCCTTCAGTGACGAAATTAACCCCTGTCATTGACAGCACAGTTCCAGTGGGGTCCATGCTGAGGAGGAGTTACGTCGATTCGAACCCTTACGATCATAAAGCTGGCACTCTTGCCGGAAGATTCCGTGGAGGACCATGGTACACCAAGGCTTGGAGGCGCAACGCTTGACGCAAGCCTCCATCGTGGCAACATAGTGCGTTTCCCGTTGGCTAGAAGGGCCATGGACTGTATTTTCTGTCAGCCATTTTGCTGCGTATGGCAACTGGGTCGTGCCTCTGCTTGCTTACATCTTCCGCACCAGAAGCGGTACCTGGTTCCTGCCACCGTACTGTACTTTGAATGCTGGCCAGTGCCTTGTATCATGTTAGTTCATGGGGACTCTAGGTTCAGGAAGACTTGGCTCTTACAACTAGACTGTTGGAAGTCTTTGAGAAGAGCAGAGTCAGCCAGAATGCTATCGCACTCTGCTTTGCTAGCGGCCGGCTCGGCCTTCAAAGCAGTCTCTTGCTCAAGACAGGCGTCTTTCTCTTCATCACAAGTCATAGCAAAGGGGTCTTCTTCTTCATCCTTATCCTCCTTGAAGGGATCTTCTACGTCTTCCTCGACCTTGACCATATAGTAGGCATCATCGTTTGGCTTCTCTGTACCACCCTCCCTACCAACGACACATTTCTTGGATGGGGGATGGCAGGTAGAGGCGGAGGCACCCAGCGTCTCTGGCGAGGGCGGTACACTCTGCGGGAGAGTCGATACCACTGTGGCTCTTTCCGATGCGTAGCCAGTTACATTTGTACTCGACGACGTAGCCAGGACTAATCATCTCACGAGTTCCTGGGACACATGTCGCCTGAACTTGAGTGACACTCAGTAAGGGGGAAGGAGGTGAGCAGCTGAGGCTTTCATAGTGATGAATAGTGCAGTATCAGAGTTATAAAAGTTAAGAGAATATTTCGAGGAATGGCGGTGTAACAAAGGAATAAAGGGTAATCCTAAGTAGAAAGACTTGGGAAGAAAGGATGAGATGGTGGTGGTGAGAGATTCTGAGCATGGTTGAAGGTGCGAGGGTTTAAATACTTGTTCCATCTCTGTCAATTCCCTTTTGAAATCTTGTTGACGGCCTTAGGCAACATTCTCTTTTCTGTTTTCTCTTAATCCGAGCAATAAGGGCATGTACGGTCTCTGAAGTCTTTCCTGCATATCCATATTGCCGCTAAGGATGAATGGAATTCCCTTTGCTTTATTGTTTTAGACGGCTGAGCCAATAGTTCATGTTAACCAGAGCACAACTTTCGAGATCTACCTCAACAAGTACATGAGGACCCTCTCATTGTCCCAGACTCTCCAAGACGATCCCCGAAATTGGCCAGCTGCCAGTGTGAGATACATCCCTTATCGGTGTTATCGCCAGTTCGCAACCCATTCTGTCAACTCGATTCAGCCAGCTGCATGGAAACCTAAAGTATCCCTTGGTCATTCTAAAGCTCTTACAGTTCTTCCTCAGTATCACAGTCACTGCCTTGTGTTCCTATGGAACCCATTCCCTGCTCTTGTCCCTTTAAGCTGAATGGCCCGACTCTGCCGTGTTTCAGACCCCGCTCCATGGCTTGCAAGTTGTAGGTGATAGGCAGACCAGGATTGTCTTACCTCACTTTCCCAAAGACCTCGGTTATCTCATCTGCAGGATAGCAAGATGAGATTCCGAAAACCTGTGTCAGGGGACTTGAACCAGCACCAGTTTCTTCCACTTATCCACAGCTGCAGGTTGTCGTGTAACATAAAGGCAAATTTTTACATCCCTTGCGTAACAACGAATTATAACTTCCCATTCGAACTCAGTTTGATCTTCTGCGGCCCTGTATGACACAGGAAATGCGTGTTGATACCTTTTTGGCTCCCCAGATGCTAGATATCAAGACAAGTGACGGTATCCCGTCTCGGACGCTGTATCTTTTCGTCCCTCGATCTGAGGCAAGTCCTTGTCTCTACACAGAAAAGGATCAGACTGTCTCTGAATTCCTTCTGCCCTTCACGTTTGCAACATCTGGTTGGTGAAAATATTGAGGGTCAAGCTGAAAGCCCAAGCAAATTTGACTAGGTAATTCGCGTTGACATCGTTGATTTGGCCAGCCGTCCCGATCCGCCGCTAAAATCATGGGCTGAAAAGCATCCGCGGCATTTCATTTTGTCTCAGTGCGCAGTATGTCTCAGTTCTGCATATCAACGCTAATGGTAACTACAAAACAAGTACCTGGATGCCCTTTGGTACGAGCAGATTGCTGGGATCAACGTAATCCCTGAGTTTTAGTCTCAGCCAACTGCGTTCAGGGATGTGAGCCTGGCCTTGTCTCTGAAGATGCACTTTCTGTCTCAGTGCAGCTGTGACAAACCGATAATCTCTGCCACTTTCGACTTGATAATCTCTCGTCCAAAGTTTTACATGAGATAAGACTCTAGATGGATGTGAAGGAACTTGGGGGGAGTTGATTGGTAGTTTTGGTCATTATGTCTAGGTCACTGTGAGCATAGCAATTCATAGATGGAATGTGGACAGCGCCCAAATGGTTGTACCTCAACCAGACTTTATCAGTTCTCGTAGCTGTTGTGGTTTCGACTTCTTTTCATTTAGACTCTCAACATGTCGTGACCTTGCAACTTCAAGCGACATTCCGCGATAAACTGACGCGGGGAATCTAAGGACATGATCGGTGTCTTTTGAAAGATAGAAAGAATATCAAAAGGCGAGAGTGAGTTCTATAATAGAATTCGATCAGAGTCTTTCGAATAAGCGTCATTATTAGGGAATAATGAATATTCCATAATATCATGCTTGTCACAACTTCTCGTCGAGTTTCTTAGCGTACATGACTTAGGAGCGATACTCCGCGAGAGTGGGGAGATGGTCCGATGGATCTGCGTTACGCCCATATATCATGGATCCGATGATCAAATCAGACTCGTCTGGCTAAACGTCTCGCTCTTGGTCTGTTAGTAAAGCAGACAGGTCGGTACAATGCATGCGGGGTCAGAGTATAAGTTCTTGCGTCAGCCAAAGCATGTTCACTTCTTCAGGTCTCTGAACTATTTTTGAATTTCAACTTTACAGAGCCACCAAAATGCCTACGATTCGCAATCCTGTCCTGCCTGGATTCAATCCAGATCCTTCGATAATCAGAGTTGGCACTGATTATTATATCGCCACGTCGACGTTCGAATGGTTCCCTGGCGTCCAGATTCATCATTCTACCGACCTTGCAAACTGGAAACTCATCACTCGTCCTCTGGATCGCAAAGGTCTTTTAGATATGAGAGGAGATCCAGATAGCGGTGGTATCTGGGCTCCTTGTCTTTCATACGACGGTCAAAAGTTTTGGCTTGTGTATACTGATGTGAAGAGAAAAGACGGCACATTTTGGGACTTGAAGAACTATATCACTTCTTCCGAGTCCATCTATGGACCTTGGGCAGACCCCATTCATGCGAATTCTTCAGGCATCGATCCTTCACTATTTCACGATGATGACGGTAGAAAGTGGTTCGTCAATCAGCGAAGAGACCATCGTTTTCCAAACAGAGAACATTTCTGTGGCATTATGCTACAGGAGTTTGACCCAAAAGCTGGGAAGCTTATTGGGCCGCAGAAGAAGATCTTTGATGGGACTGAGATTGGTATCACAGAGGGGCCACATATCTACAAGCGGCACGGGTGGTACTACCTTCTTACAGCCGAAGGTGGAACTTCATACGATCACTCATGCACTCTTGCTCGATCTCGAAGCATTTGGGGTCCTTACGAACTACACCCGGACAAGTACATCCTTTCCTCACGTGACTCTCCATCAACCGAACTCCAACGTGCTGGGCATGGAGATCTAGTCGCGACACCAGACGGAAGAACCTATCTTGTTCATCTTCTCAGCCGACCGATAACAGAGAATCGCCGCAGTGTCCTCGGACGAGAAACAGCTATCCAAGAAGCATTTTGGAAAGATGATGGCTGGCTATACGTGAAAAATGGACCGGTTCCTTCAACACTCGTCGATGTACCAGGTACTCGAAATGAGGACGACAATTGGCGAGAGGTTCGATACACTTTCGAAAATGGGCTGCCTCTCGATTTTCAATGGCTTCGCACCCCAGAGCCAGACAGAATCTTCTCCACTGACGCAAAACTGGTTCTTTACGGCCGTGATGCTATCGGCTCCTGGTTCGAACAAGCCCTTGTAGCTCGTCGCCAAACCCATTTCTCATATGACGCCGAGGCAGTCATCGACTTCCAGCCTGAGAACGAACGCGAGTTTGCAGGCCTCACTGCCTATTACAGCCGCTTCAATTTTTTCTATCTTCACATCACAGCTAATGAAGATGGCGAGAGACTCTTATCTATCATGAGCTCGGAAGAATCTTGGCCAACTGGGTCACTCGGAATCCACCATCTGGATCCAGTCACGTTACCAGCCACGGGTAAAGTCAAGTTGGCGCTTACTATAAGGGAGGCAGAGCTACAGTTCTACTACTCTGTTGACGATAAGCCGCTCGAGAAGTACGGGCCTGTCTTGGACGCTTCTCAACTTTCAGACGAGTGCAGTTGTGGCCCTCGAGGTTCTGGAGGTTCTTTCACTGGTGCATTTGTCGGTATGGCTTGTTCGGACTTGAACGGGAATGGCAAGTCGGCAGAATTTGGCTATTTTGTGTATCGTCCTGTGAAGGCATAAGAAGAGGGTGCTTTAATGCTTAGCTTGAAATTGAATGGTCATGTTAGCCATTATAATCGTACTCAGAAAGTTCATGAACCTTTACTGAAGTGTATCTCGAATGACGCAACTTTTGAAACTGCCGAAGGTAACCTTCATCTTGAGTTTCATCTCCATTGATTAGTATAACGTCTAAACACTACATAAACTCAAAGTCTCAAACATCAATGGTTTGATCCGCGGAGCTCTCGGCCTCCGCTTCGGAGCAATTGACAGAATAATTGCATCCTCAATGTCGAAACTGCTTCCCGAAAGAGTATCCATTATGGATCAAGACCATTGCGGCGCGTCTTACGCAGGTGTCAGCCTTATCGGCATTCCGCAGCACACCAATTCCATACGCGTATCAAAGGATAAGCCTCACTCGCCCCTCGCGATTGGCGAACTGGCGAGTGGTGAAGGGGCGGGTAAGCCGGAATCGGAATATTGGGCGAGCTAAGCCACGACGACTAACATTGACGCTACGTAGATGATCATGCTGATCAGTAGAGACAACGACTCCAAAAATAACGATTTTGTCTTATATAAAGTCTCAATCTTCAATTGAGAAGATGGTAATTCGAATAGGTCATTCCATTGTATTCGTCACTACTACTCCATCATTTGCATCACCGCTTCTCATCATCTCAAAATAAACCTTGCTCAAATCTGACTTTACAACATGTCGATCGTCATGAACCATATCAAGAGCTTCTTATCAGGAAACTCATCTTCAAACTCGCCGAATCAGTACTACTCGCCATCTGAAAAGAACGCAAGCTCTTATCAATTAAAAACTGCATCACACAACGATCCAATTCCTCCACCGCCATATTCTTCAGGACCTGCCTGTGATCAGTACACGCCAAAGCCAGTTATCCTAGAATTCCAGCGGCCGTCGCAACAAGGCTACCGGGTATCTCGGCCAGAGGGCAGTAATGGTCAACGGTTTTTATATCGTCATAGTTGAAATATTCTTCTATCACCGGAAGAAATGATACCATATCAACTATTTCTGTTATCTTAGGAGGTTTCGAAGCTCAATAGAAATTGCTTTCAAATTCTTCGCGGATATCATGCAATTATAGCGGAATACCCCGCTGTGGATACTTTTTCAGGCACCATCATCACTGAATCGGCCGAAAGACAGTGGGGTCCAACATGAGGGAAGAGTCTGAAACTTGAAGGAATAGACAATCTCGTTCCAGGATTGATCGGCATATAGGGTCTGTTACAGGGTGCGGGACCCCTCAAGGCTATAAATTAAAGTGTAACTGTAACGTCAAAACAGGGCTGAAGTTTCGTATCAATTGCACTCTCGTCATACTTGTCCACTTTTTAAAACGGTTCTTTTATTCTCTGGAATGAATCTCTTTGGCTCAGACACTATCATCACGTGAAGAAGACCGTGTACCTGTAACGGTTGCACTGAAAAAACGCCAACGGGCGTGCTAACGACGCCATGGCACGCTGACAAGACCGCTGCGCAGCGAATCTTAGAGCTTACCTCAGATCTGAAATTGGACAAGTGGGGTTTTGTACGCCATCCCCCTTACTACGTAGTGTACTATCGATTTCTCTCCCTGATCAAGTTTAACACTCAACCCCTATCTTTATCTATATTTACCTGGGGAGATCCTTACTTAACACAATGTTTTAAGTCTCCTCTTCTGATCTGGGTCGCTCGTTTCTTGCATCATTCATTCGCTTCTTGGTTGTGAAAAGAAAAAAAAAATTGGCCATCGCTGCCATGTCGGAAAAAACATCGCCATACCGCCGAACGGCTATGGTGGCTGTATGCGTGTTGGTCTTTTTTATCCTATTTGAGACTTATTATCTTTATTCAGATGCCGTGGGTTTCGGCCTTTTCTCATTTGCTGCCTCGTAAACTGACACTGCCGCAGTGGACACCTACACATGGGTTATCGTCCGGATCCAAATCGACCGGGGCTTCACCATCGGTCCATGCGCCCTCGAAACCGAAGAAGAAGGTGATCAAGACGTCGCAGCTGCATTTCTTGCTGCCCGCCTCGAATCCGAATGACATGTTCTGCGCCATCGTTACCTCCGCCCTTGTCAACCGATATCCCGCTCCGTATATGGTCGGCTGGAAGGGCGAGGGTAAATACAACGCTTCCGCTGCGCATACCGCTAAGCTGTACTCGATCAAAAAGTACCTCGACGAACTTCCCCAAGGCGGCGACGATGACGACCTCGTCTTCTTCGGCGATGGATACGATGTTATGGCCCAGCTACCCGTTGAGGTTATTATTGAGCGCTACTTTAAGGTTGCTGCTGATGCCGACCGCCGGTTGGCTGACCGTTTTGGCATAACCGTTGAAGAAGCCCACAAACGCGGACTGAAGCAAACTCTATTTTGGGGCGCCGACAAGATGTGTTGGCCAGCCCTAAATGAGGCGCAGTGCACCAAGATCCCCGGATCGCATCTCCCTCGCAATGTCTATGGTCCCAAGACTGGCGGCGGTGATGTCACATATCGCGATGCCAAGTACTTCAATTCAGGAAGTGTCATTGGACCTGTAGGCGACTTGCGCAACTTTATCAACGCTGGTATTGCCAGTTTGGAGGAGACTTTCGACCCTAACTTTAAATACAAGACGTCGGATCAGATTTACCTCGCCAGACTTTATGCGCGCCAGGAACTCTCGCGCGCTGAGCAGATTGAGAATGAGTCGATGATGGCCAGCTTTGGCGACAACGCCACCACTATCGAAACGAAGAATATCACCGAGTACCATGCCGCCATCGATTTCGAGTCGGATTTCGTGCAGACTGGATGCTTCGCCCATAGATGGATGAACAAGCTCAACTACAACAACTCGGACAATACGGCAACCATGTCAAAGGATGTCTTCGACGTGGGCAAAAACTTCAAGCCCTATCGCATCCAGATGCCAGCGAATGTATACCGATCTCTCATAAAAGTCTTCAAATCTCTCCCTGCCGAGCTGGCCACAATGTCTGCCCGTGACTGGGTAGGCAGCCTAGACCTCGACACAAATGTCGCTACACGCAGCATTTTCGGTTTCTACCACGCCACCTGCAGCAAGCGAAACCTCATCTCCGACTTCAAAAAGTACTGGTTCCATCCCTACGCCGTCCCCCTGCTACAGGCTGGTTTCAAAGCTACCAAGCAAGATGAGCCCATTACTGAGAAGCTCATTGACGGACGCAAGTGGGTTTACAAGACAGTATACCCAGATTCAGGAGCACCTGAGGATCAACTCGGTGGTATCTTGACAGACTTCAAGAACGAGACATACATTCCCTTTTCGACCCTATGCGGCGATTATTTAGACATTCTTGAGCCTCGACACTAAAATATGAAATTGTAATGAGGTTGGTTAACGGAGTAAAGGTGTATTGGCATAAAGGATCAGGGCAAATTGGGGTTACCTACTGTATAACACTACACACGGCTTCAATGTTTTTTTTATATATATCTTCAAACATTCAGGGAAATCTGGCCAAGAATATATCATCAGTGACTTGAACAAACCTCCACAGCGTATCTCGTGCCTCAACATTCGCCATATGCCTACAGGTGTATAAAAGTAGATGACTCTTAAGCATACCCGTCTCGTGATCAGGTATCTTTCTTCTCGCTTGGAGGTCTATCGCTCGTGCTACTTTGTACATCACAATGTTCCTTTACAAAAGGTTTATGTCAGAATAAGCTGTCTATAATTTCTGGAGCGGAAGTCTGATCTCCGAACTTGGCCTTGTAATCCAGCTCATCGGCAGACGTCTGTGACAGCTTGCGCTTCAGTCTGAAAGCTACGATGCAACAGCTTGGTCATAAAGGTTGTCAAATATCATAACGCCTACATGATATATGCTATTGAAGATGCGGGGGTGGATACGAAAACCCCAATAAGAGATGATGCTATTCGAGTATAGGTAACATTGCGACAGACGCATGACCAAATCCGTTCATACAGGATCAAGAGTCTATCAGGGCTATTACATATCGGATGATGACATATGACCATGAATTAAGGGGAATGGCTTCTTCCGGGAGTACCTACAGGTAGGTATCATCTATCTGGGAGGAAGACCTCCGGTCCATTTTACGAGAGAGGCCCTGGAGCGGGAGCGGGTGGGGCGGACGGAGCGGACAAGGGCCGCTCGAGTCCGCTCATGTCAATATCACCCGCACTGAGGCAAGCAAAACACCGGCGCTTTAAATTCAAGGCTTTGCAATAAACTAATTGATATCATTCATGTTGAACAAAAGTTCCGAATTACAAATCATTGCCATAGGCTCTTTGTTGTCTCCCACCCGACACTCATATTCACTCCCGCATCAAGGGGCGGCTTCAACCAGGTGCTCGTCACCCTTCAAGACCCCCTTCTCCTGCAGATCCTTCTTCAAGTCTATCGGCGCATCCTTGTTTGTTTCGACTACATACTTTCCCTCCTTCTTCTCGCATACCCATGTCCAAGCCCCGAATCTGTCGCAGAGAGCTTTGTAGAATTCTTCTTCATTCTTTACTAGCTCTTGGGGAATCTTGTGGGTCGCGAAGGGAAGAGTGCGGGTAAAGGTTGTTTCGTATTCGGGAGCCATGATGATATTGTTTGTTTTCAGTTTGGTGGTTTGGTCTAGGATGGTGAGGTAGTTTATGTTGTAAGGTAGTAAGTATACCGCTGACGCGATATTTATACCCAATTCAAGGCACACTGAATCATTAAGCTTGAATTGTCGATGGCTACCAATATCTTCACGATATGACTTGATAGTGATCAATTTCACTAGTCAGGGACGCGCATACAAGCATGATATCCATCATCTCAACTGCACTACTGAATCCAGCAGCTTCATATCAGTGAAGAAAGCCTTCAATTCTCACTATCGAGCAGTCTAGTCTTGTTCCAGAACTCCCAGCTTTTGCAGGTACTCTTTCACGTTTATCGATTGATCATCGTTTGTTTCGACTGTGATCATTTCCTCTTTTGCGTCGTAGCGATTGACGAAGCTAAAGTCCCAGGCTCCAAAAAGTCCAATAATTGCGTTATCAAGCTTAGACTCATCTTTCACCAGCTTCTTTGGAATATAGTGTTTGTGAATTGGAAGATTGGGGTCAAACACTTTTTGGTAAGCAGGTTCCACAGGTTCCATGATGGGGCTTTGTATTGCTGTTCGGTGGGAGATACTTGCTCTGTTGCTGGGTAGTTGGTGTTTAACGCCATTGCGGTCCTTATTATATCTGAAATTGGCCTTCAAAAGACCGTGATTGACCATTGCAGACTGCCATGTTCACCACTAAGTCATCGACGGCTAGAGTGACCAAGTCCATCAGCTAGATCTGTGAATACCATCAACCAGGTAAACAGCACTTCGCACAATCACTCCCCATATCAACCACAGCTGAACGCTCACGAAAAAGAATTGGAGAGTCGGAGGCTGGTTCCTCCGTCATTCGAAAACGATAATGAGATTGGGTTTATTACGCCGGCTCCGGACCCACTCCCCGCTCAAGCCGGCCTATTTCCTGGAACATCCCGAGCGGCAGAGCGGACAATTATGGGGCCAAGAGCGGCATTCGCTCCCGACATCTTCAGTAACGGCATGACCATCGATGGCAACAGCAAGAGACTCTGTTGATGCTGATAAAGCAGAGTTGCAGATTGATCATCACAAATGTGCAGTCGTTGTCATAAGATTAGGTATATAAGAAGGGCTTCGCTCGACTTAGACAGCACTCATCAACTTCACTCAACGACGTTCTATTCACTTTACTTCAACTCTCTATCACAACTTCAACCATGCCCTCAAAGCTCATCGTTATCCTCGGAGCCACAGGCAACCAAGGCGGTTCCGTCGCCGAAGCCTTCCTCTCCGAACCAGGCTGGAAAGTCCGCGCCCTCACCCGCAACACCTCCAGCGCCAAAGCCCAAGCCTTGTCTTCCAAAGGCGCTGAAGTGGTCCAAGCCGATCTCGATGACCCTTCTTCACTCAATGCGGCTTTTGAAGGTGCTCACGCCATCTTCGCTGTCAGCGACTTCTGGGGTCTCTATAACGAGGCCAACAGATTCAGAACTAAGCCTGGTCAGGCTCTCAATGACTGGGCTTCTCAGCATGAGGAGCAGCAGTTGAAGAACGTCATTGACATTGCTGCCAAGATCCCCACGCTTGAACGCTTCATTCTCTCGTCTTTATCTCATTCGGAGAAGTGGTCCAAGGGTAAATATACTCGTGTATACCACTTTGACGGTAAGGCTCGTGCGACAGAGTATGCCCAAAAGGAGCATCCTCATCTGTGGGCCAAGACAAGTGTCTACCAAGCTGGACTTTTTCTAAGCAACTTCATTCTCTTGCCGCCGAACCAGCCTTTCAAGGTCAATCCATGCTTTATTCACAGTATGTGAACCCAGCTAACGCATGTTTAGAACGCCGAGGGAGTTGCTCAGTTCGTCTCAACTCTTGACGTCGACACAAAATTCCCCTACATCGCCCCTGAAGAGGACTCCGGTCCATTGGTCAAGGCACTCATCATCGACGAACCCGCAGGTCACAACCTCATCGGCTACAGAGAGTGGCTATCCGCCAATGAGATCGCTGCTGCCTTCACAAAGGCTACTGGTATCCCGTCAAAGGCCATCAAGGACGATGGCGCAATCCCCCCCGGTATATCCGATGAGCTGTTGGGCGAGATGATTGACTGTTTTGGGTACTTTAATGAGTTCGGTTACGAGGGTCGAGATGACCCTACTGTGGTTCATCCTCGCCATGCAAGTTCACAACTGTCTTTACTTTCAAGCAATCACTAACCTGAGCTCAGCTTAAGTCTGCGCCTAAGCTCAGTACTGCTGAGGACTACTTCAAGAGGCAGGACTGGACCAAGGTCTTCGGATCTTAAGAGAAAACCCCTGAAAGGTATTGTCTAAATACTACTGCGATCACTACAGAAGATGGACTGTGGATATAGTTGTTGCGAAAAGGTTCTTGTTACTTATGTTAAATCTCGTAGAGATCAGCTTGAATCGAATTATGTATACGCCTTGACCTCCTCTTGTACATTGTAGCCACCTCACATCACTTCTTCCCTTTTAGAGCATTTCGCTACAGTCACTCCCCACCTCCGGTCGCTTCTTGGTCGATCCGCTATCTTTCTTGGGGACCAGCTCTTCCTAAGTGGCAAGCTTCTTCAACTTGTCAAATCGCGGGGTTCCGAAACCAGTAGCGGGATCCCATCCTTTGACCGCATCCCATCCCGCGTTGGGAATTTCGGAAGAAGGGAATCCTTCCAGGCTAATACCGGGGCAGCCTGAGGTCTTTCCTTCCAAGATGCTAGAGCCTTGATCAGCGAATGTTCAACAGCACCAACTATTCGGGTACTTACTCGGTAAATCCTGCTTGGCCAGTTTTGTAGAGCCAGGGGTTAAGGAATCCCATCGCAGACTTGCCCTTCTTGAATCTTTCGTTGTTGAGCAAAGCAATGATCGCACCGATTGTAGGAGCTGCCGCACTAGATTCCTCATGTCAGCTATATTGCATACGCACGAACACGCAACTTACCTGGTTCCGCCTGCAGTGAACTGTTGACCATTGACCATAACCTGATGGCCACTTGCGAGAGCAGAGACGTCGGGGAATGCTCTTCCATCTTTGTTGATATAATTCTTCCATTGCTTCCACTTCTTCTCATTCTTCTTCAGATAGTCTTTCATAACCTTGTCCTGGTACGCGGGGCGAGGGAAGAGATCTGAGAAGCCGCCGCCACCAGATTGATCGTATTCAGTATCTAGCCAAGCTCTCTCGGGGCTGTTGCTCTCTGTTCCGCCAACGGAGGTCACATAAGGGCAAACGCTGGGCCAGGTCGGGAGGAACTTGGTTGTGTTCTTTCCGTCATTTGACTGGCATGAGACACCAACGCCAAAATTACCAGCTGCAACTAGGATCGAGACACCACGTGTGCCGATCTGACCAAATTTGTTGCAGACCTGTCGGGCATATTTCTTGGGGATATGTTGCTCGTAGTTTCCCCACGAGATGGAAACTACTTGTGGAAGCTTCTTGTCTGGCAGGTTCAAGAGATACTCCGCCAATCCGAGCCAATTCTCAACGGACCGAGTGAAGTCTCCAGGGACTTTGAGCAAGCTACGACATCAGTTAGCGGTGCCATTTCTTGGGAGACCCAAAGATACTTACTCCAAGTCTGGGTTGAAATCGTAGTTGAAGCCTCCAACAGTAAGGTGTTCTACTGGGACTTGGTGGGCCAAAGAGATGGCATACTGGGTATTCAAATTTCCCTCGTTGCTTTGAATCCTGGCACTCTGCGGGTTCTCCCCACCTGCAGCAGATGCATTGCGGAAAGTGACGCCCTCGAGGTCAGGGGCGAAGCGTCGGAAGAACTCCTGGAGTTGAGCGTTTTGGGCAGTCATCTAAGATTCATCAGTACATAGCCTACCCGGATACCAAATGTACTTACGTTGAGGAAGCTGACGACCGTGAATAAGGAGCCCTTCTCCGCCTTTGGATAGTTCTTTGGCATCTTGTAGATCTCTCGAATGCAGGAAGGCGTCAGTTCCGTCTTGCACTTCTCCAAGTTGATCAGTCCCGGGCCGCCATTATTACCGTCCTTCGGTGGCTTCTTTCCGTTCTTGTCGTCCCGCTTCGTGAGTCTAAGTCCAGGTCCCTCAACATTCCCAGCTTTGTCGAAGATAGGAAAGAATGTGGTTGGCTGAATAGTTGCAATATGGTGGACGATCTCATGAGGAACTGAGTACTCCCTGGTTCTGACAATTCGTTCACTGTCGCGAGCAAAGACAGAGAAGCGAGTGCTTAGCATGCCTTCAGCCTGACCGACTGTGGTACGTACATGAAGCCATTCGCCTTCGTCGCGAACATGATGCTCAGGGATTCCAGCATCTGTAAGCCAGCGCTTGACAGATTCGGTAGCTTCATCAGATGGGTTGAGGAGGGCTTTGGCAGATTCCCGAGAGAGATAGTTGCCATAATTGGGGTGGTCGGGATCTGAGACTCCATAGAGAGCAGTATCAAGTAACTGACTATCTTCAGGATGGAGGCCAATGGAGACGTCAATGATCTGATCAGGGTCTGGTGAGTCGGATTCCTGCCAGTCGGCAGGGGTCTCATCCAGAGATTCGAGGACAATTGGGCTTGCCAGAACACAGGTGGCACTGAGGAGTAGACCCCATATTTTGAGGGAGTTGTTCACCAACATGGCGACAGAAATTGAGTTATAAAGAAATCTCGATGTGAAGATTGCAGGTTTGCTCGTCAAGTTGAGGTTGAGAGCTTGCTGATATGCTCAATTATCGGAGGGAACTGGCTGTCTTTATATCAAGTTTTGGATATCACATTATGACATCAAAAGCAAGATATCAATCACATATCACCACTTCAATTGTGAGCATGTTGGTGTTGGAGTTGTGGCTATTCTTCCTGTTCCAATTCTGGAGGTGGGAGCTGAAGAACAATACTAAGCCACTTCATATTGTTCATGGCAGGTACCACCAACCAGCACCTACACAATCCTTCCCAACCGTTCCGACAGAGCGGGTCCTGGGTATTACTCCTTCCTAAACAGCCCTTTAATCTCTAAAAGTGTGGTCCCCTTTCTTCATGCTGAATATCATTCGCCATATTAAGAAGCACGGAGCTTGAGGCGTTGGCAACCCTCAGCCATGGAACTGGTAAAACCATATATTCTAGAAGAACGGGAGCAGCCTGTACTGCAGACAAACATCTGCGACAGTCGCGTGCCATATCAACACCCTCGTGAATTACATCCCCATCGAAAGATCAAGACTTCGAGTTTAGGGGTCTTACCAGGCTCTATCGAAGGTTCTTTGATGTGTGAACCCTGACCTCGTGTCTTTCATTCCCTACGTGAGGCGCTCACAAGCAACACATGCTGGTCGTTGCGCCTCTCCTTGCGTTACTCTGGTGGCCAAATGCTGTCTAAGCTTGACCTGTAAGCCGACTCATTCGGTGTCTTCCCGCTTGAAGATCGTCAGTTGACCAATGTTTCGACTGTTGGTCCTTAGATGCTTAATATTTGCTTGGCAAGGGGTCGGGGCGTCGCTCGTCTATATCTTGCGGGGGATAAATGCATGCTTGCGTCAAAGCCAAACCATTAGCTGAGGGCAAAGACCAATGATGCCGCCTAAATATTGGAATGTGCTGGTTGATCACTTTTAGAGCCAACGGTGTCTCATGCCAGGAAACCACTCGCGGGCCGCATCGGGAGTCTTCAGGCCATCCGTTTCGAGGACGCATGAAGCATAGCAGATAGTATCCAGTATCAGAAACTATTGGGAAAGCTAGGCATGCATGTATCGGACTGGCCGGTTTCCTCGTGAAAAGTTCTTGAAACGGCGCAACGCACGATGGGCATTCGAACAACACAACCAACAGTCGGTGTCGAAGCTTGGCGAGCATTGGAACTCGGAGCACATTTAGACCTTTTTCAAATACAAGCTGGCTGCAGATCGTGAACGTAGAAGTCGTCTCTAGTGGTCAGGATGTGAATCCTTGTTGGCATGGATAGGAGCATAGCCCCAAGCTTTGGGCAAGCAAGCTGCATCAGGGCAACATTTCAGGAAAGGAAGTTCGAATCGACGGAACAAGCTTCGCCTTGGCTGAATATTGGATTTCGAAATAAGCCGACATTTGTGAGGAGTCACGTTGGGGAGATGAGGTTGTGAAATGCGGTATTGTTTTGTCAAAACTTTCGGTTTGTACCTGCACAACCATGTTCTTCGAGACGGCTTGCAATGAACGCACTTCAGTACGAAAGCAAGCTTGTAGTCACGTTTTCTTTTATCTGTGTTTGCCCATACAAATAAATGAGCAACTCGCCTTAGCTTCATAGAAAGCTTCTTCTTGTATCACCATGCAATTCATTTCTGAGGCATCAATTCGCAAAGCGCAAGCAGCCTCAGGCCTAACACCAAGCTTCTCTGCCCTGTACCCTCGCTCGCTCAGTGGAGCGCTCCTACCCACAGTGAATCAACAGGCAGCACTCTCAGCCTCCTCAATCCCGAATTTTCATTGGCCCAGATTCTGCCGCTCTCAAGATCACTCGCTTCCTCACCGCCTTCAGAGCCAGTATATAATCTCGCCCTACCCCTCTAAGCTTCGCTTTTCCTTTCTTCTTTTCTCTTTAGCTCTCTTTGCCTTTTGGCTTAGATCAAGTGTAGTATCTGTTCTTTTCAGTTTAATCTCTGAAAGATGTCTAAGGACATCAATCGTGATTATTCCTATTTTTGGTCTACGGGTGGTCTCCGCTGTGCTTGCACATGATTCCGCCCACAGTGTCCCTGGTATTACACTGCCTCCAGGTGACGCGAATGCACTTTTTGACCTCCTTGTTTTTCGTTGCTTGCTCGGGCTTGCCTGGGCAGTGAGGAAGAACTCCCTCCATTTCCGTGATCTTGGTGCTTGTCGAAATCCCTGATGGTAATGGTTGAATGTAAATGCCCGTAGCTAAATTAATGATGCGCCTCTGCACCTCCATTTTATCGCCGTGGATTCTTTTCGTGATCATCTCGTAACCTCGTGCTAGGCAAATAATATCCGTCGTCTAAATAATAAACGACCCTAGCGTAGCTCCAACCTCCATCTCTTCCAGAGTTTCATCCGCAGAGCCTCATTTATCCTCCCTCAACCCGCCATCATGTCCTCCGACACTCCTCTCCTCGATCCCTCCATCTTTTCCCACCTACAAGAGAAGCTCGATGAAGAGACCACCGTCCGCGATAACCTCACCCAGATAATCCAGCGTCTCGAGCGCGCCGTTGCCACCGCTCAAGGTCTTCTCTCTCGCGTCCACTCTACGCCCCGCGCTCGCTGTCAGTTTTTTCTCATGTCTTAGTTCGTGATGCACAAAGCTGATTAAAGGAAATTGCAGACCCTGCGCTTGTGTCACAGGTTGAGGATGCTATCAAGGAAGAGGTTACTATTGTGAAGGAGCTGAATGAGGTGGCTAGCAAGCACCCATACTACAAGTACGTTCACGCAGCCATGTCAAAAGGCTTCAAAATCTGATTCGGTGATAGATACAACAGCAAGTGGGCGAGAGCTGTCCAAAATGCCATCGGCACCACTGTCTACACTGCCTGGCTCGGCGGTCTAGGCTCTGACTCCCAGCCTGCTTCTCTCGGCCGCCTTCTCACTCTCGAGCAAGTCGGCGAGGTCTTCCAGGGTTCGTGAGCCATCTTCAGACCTATCTAAAACCTTGAAGCTAATATGCCCCAGTCCCTACAAACCTCAAGGACCGCGATGCCTTCCACTTCACCATCGAAGAGTATCTCCTCTCTCTGACGGACCTCACCAACGAGCTCGCCCGTCTGGCCCCCAACGCTGTCACCCTCGGAGACTTCGAGCTTCCTCTCGTTATTAGTGGGTTCATCAAGGATCTCTTTGCCGGGTTCCAGCTTCTCAACCTCAAGAACGACATCCTCCGCAAGCGAGCTGATGCCGTCAAGTATGACGTCAAGAGAGTCGAGGATGTTGTCTACGACTTGAGTCTGCGTGGGCTTGTCAAAAGGGCTGGTGAGGGTGACACAGAGATGGCTGCTGCCGAGTAGGTCGTCTATCTAGGTAGAATATCCGATATCTAAAAGCTGAGAGCATCAATCAATGATTAAAACTGGTCGCAGTTATCAGGCCTATGGACAGTTCAAATTAGAATCACAATTATGCAAAGGACGTGAAATATGAAATATCTTTGTTCTTCATGTAATGGCACGGAATACGCGCGCAGGCACACAGTGTAGGAAATTCAATGTCTTGATCCCCGATTGACCTTGGCTGATGCGAATTTTTGGTTACAGTAAAAATACACCATGATATATCCCACTTCTAAACTCCAAGTCAGGTTCAATATAGTAAACAAGCTTTATATAGCTCATCGTTAGTCGTGTCGGAATGTACACTTGTCTCCTCTGGCACACTTGCCCTGCTGCCAGAAAGTGCAAGGCTTGGTGCCAATGAGTGCTTTGTTAGCAGGCTTATGTGGTGGTAGAGTAGGCTTCTTTTTTCTTCCATCTTTTCCATCACGGTCCCCTCTGCCCCCGTGATGATCATCACGGTCATACGTCCGTTCTCGGTCCCAACCTCGATCTTGGTCTCTATCTCGGCTGTATGCTCTGTCTCTGTCCCATTCTCGCTCCGCTGCGGGTGGTGGAGGCGGAGGAGGGGGAACTTGTTGCCCTTGTGTCATTTGGCTGAGCATCATGTACTGCTGGTATGATGGATCGTTGGGGTTGAGATAAGAAGCGGCATTTGAAGTCGAGGCCGAGGCTTGACCTGAAGCCTGTGATGGCTGGTTGATAGCGGCCAGGATGGACTGGAGCTGGTTGTCAGGAATTTGCGGCTGCTGCTGTGGAGGTGCAGCTGTCGTCTGGGGCTGGATTTGCTGCAACAAGGCCATGTAAGGGGCATAAGCCTGTTGCTGCTGAGCATAATAGGCGGCCCAGTCCTGGGGATTGGCTGGTGCTTGACCAGACGAAGCACCCGCTGCGGCTGCTTGCAGGGCGTTGGCCTCCGCTTCTGCGCGCGCACGTTCTTCGTCTGCCCTTTTCTGTCGAGTTGCCAGTTCTTTGTTGTGGCCCATCTGCCACTCACGGACCTTCTCTTGATCATGGAGAATCCATTCTGGAGGCGAATTGCTGGGAAATGGCATGCCTGAGAGAGACTTGGCCACACCCTCAATGGCACCTCCGCAGAGGCGAGTAGGTATGTCAGAGTAATGGAAAGCACGCCAAACATCGTTCGTCATTGTTTTAGGGTCTCGCCAGTTCTTGACCTTGTCGGATTTGAGCAGCGTAATGACCTGTTCCAACACGGTACGGCCAGCGACAAGAGGCAGAGTATCATTAGCCAGGGCTGGATGGTGGTGTGAGTGGGAGGCATGTTGAGGGGATGTGCGGGGCGCCGAAGAGGCGCCTCGGAGGTTGCCCAAGATCGAATCGAGACGGTTTCCTGGATTGTTCTTCGCCTCGATACGTTGTAGGGCCGTGTAGAGTGCTCCATCAGATCCCATTTGCTGCTCATCGCGCCATCGAAGCTGGATCTCTTGGAACTTAGAATCATCAGGCAGATATTGTGTCTTCTGTTGATCAGTTCCAGCAGCCTCGGGCAATGGTGACTTGGGTGATGGCGGTATGTCGTCGGGGTCAGTATAGATAGCCATGAGCTCCCGTTGCTCCCTATCTGCAATGCGCTGCTGTTCGTCTGTTGTAAAGGTGACATTTCCGCCTCGGGTAACAAAGTTCTTGTTTCGGACGTCTGTTGGTAGCCTAGAGAGGTCGATTGCGACAGGTCCCATCCAAGGTTGATAAGGAACGTCTTCGTCATCCTCTTCTTCCTCTACGTTCGCACGCTGTTTCAGTACCATTCCTTCAGATCGGTCGTCGGCGGCATCTCGGATCATGTTCGACTCTCGTCCTTCGTCCTCGGCTTCTTCCTTCTGAAAGATCTTGATCTGAACGAGCTCAGTTTCAGGCTTCCAGCTAACTCGAAGCTTGCGGCGAGCCTCTTTGCGGAGACGCTTGGCCTTCTCTTCAGGTGATTCGGAGGTTTCAGGGCCACTTGTCTCCTTCGGTGCAACAGGAATCTCGGCTTTGGGTGCGTTGATCGAGTCCAAGAGCGAAGCAATGCCGGACAGGGCGCTGGCTGAGCTTGAGGTCGGAGCGGCAGTGGTCCCATTTCGAGGTGCCGGTGGTTTCGTCTCAGTTCGCGGTGGCTTCGGTTCTGTTTTTATCTTGTCGTCACTTATGACCTTCACGTCTGCTTTGGCTTCAGGCTTTGGTGCAGGTTTGGCTACTGGTCTGGGTTTGCCAGGCAGAATAGAAGCTGCTGCTGCCTTTGCTGCACTGGTCTTGGATGCTGATTGAAGTTGAATCTTGGGCTGGGCAAGTTTCCTGCTAAGAGCATTGCCGCTTGATTCTACTGCAATCTTCTTAACCGTTCTTGTGTCAGCCTCCTCGTCTCGCCCACGCTTGGCTGAAGGCTCCATCCCCGGTTTAGCCTTTGCTCTGCTCGACGCGGAAGTGCCCTGATAGCCTGTGCTTTCGAGCTCGCTGGCCTTGAGCTTCTTGACTTTGACTGTAATCTCTGATACAAGCTCTTTGACCTCCGAGTCTCCCTTGTCGGCAAACCGTTTCCTCACTGTTTCAAAGTTTGTTGTCTCGGCGATCTTTTTCGTCATAGGAAAATGTGTAAACATCTCGAGGACAATCTTAGGGAGCTTGCCCGAAAAGTCACTCGCTTTGATACACATGATGAGCGCATTCACCAAACTTAAAACTAGCTTTTGGTGACCACCAAGGTTATCCAATACCGCATCATCTGCATGCTCGATAGTGGCGTCCAAAGCTCGGTAGAGTATTTCCTTCTTCTGCTCGAAGTCCTGTCGTTCCCTTGCAATCACAACTTCAGGCTTCTTATCCTTGATAGCTTGGTCGAGTTCCTGCTTGGCACGGTTCATTTCACTGCGAAGTTTGATGAAATACTCGCCTGCTTGTTGAACGCGGGTTGCAATTAGGGTGTTGGTACGCGCAACAGACTGCTCGATGTGCACCATCCCGATGGCATCCCAGGCAGCAGCTTCAGCAGGGTCGGCTGGACGGGTAGCTGCGCGGATCTGGACGTGGTTAGTCACAAGGCCTAGGAATGACTATATCGAATAACTTACTGGCTTACCACGTTCTTCCTCAAGCTCTTTTTTTGCCTTTTTCTCAGCTTTGTTCTTCGAAGCCTCATCGGATTTAAGTTGCTCTTTGAAAGCATGTGGGTATTCCGTGTATTTGGGACGCCGTTTGCCTAAGCCCTTCATGGAACGATCAAAGTCATCCAAAAGCACCTTAGCCTCCATGCGCCTCTCATCAAGCCCACCCTTGTCTGGAGAGGGGCGGTATTGGCTTGTGAAACGCCCCTGGACTTCACATGGGAGGCTGTAACCAAGTTCGGGGACCATCTGTCTTCCACTACGAGCTGGCAGTGCCACGAGAGGGGCAAGCTTGTCATAGCTCTTAGGTGCGGGAAGCTTAATTGTTCCCTCGTGAACCAAATGAGGAAGCCCCTTGATAGCAGGAAATTTGGCTTGGGCGGCCTTAGTGCGCTTATTAAATTGATTGATTAACTGGGCTTCTTCAGGCGTGGGAGTTGGAGCTGAGAGGCCATCGAGATCATCGATCTTTTTCACAGCAGGAGACCCAACAGGCGAGTCGATATAAGCTGAGGTGGGCTCTGGAGTGGGGGTAGGAGTGTTGATTTCACTCTTAGCTGCTCTCTTCCTCTTCTTAGGAGGTGGTTCGTTCGTTACGGGTTGAGGGACCCCAGTATCTTGATTCGTGCCAGGTTGTGACATGAGATATTGAGTGTTAGCTGTGGATGGTGATGAGGCGTTGTTGATGAAGTGGTGTGGCTGCTGATGATGTATCGACTGCTGGAAATTCTGGCCAGACAACGGCTGCGAGGTCTGGGGGTAGACCACAGCTTGCTTGGGGGCGAACTGAGGCTGCGGTGGTGGTTGTTGTGGTTGGTTTTGTTGGATCTGCTGTTGAGACTGAGGAGGAGGTTGCTGTCGTGCTTGCGGATGACCTTGTTGGAAGTTCAGCTGTTCATTCGGTCGCTGTTGAGGCGTCTGACCATTCACTGGAGGTGAAAAGGCAGCTTGGTTGTACTGTTGCTGATTCTGAACCGGGGATTGCTGGGGCGGTTGACTGAAATTATGACCTTGGCCATAAGCAGGCGAGATACCATCAAACTGCTGGACTGGTGTGTGGCTCTGCTGCCTACTTGTCTGTGGCATTACATGTTGCTGAGAAAACTGCTGGATAGAAGGTTCGAAGGATGACTCGTTCGATGGTGCCATAGAATATGGAAAATTGGTAGAATGATGATGACTTGATAGTTGTCCAAGACCAGCCATGGCGTTATCCAGGTTCATTTTTCTGTGCTGGCCGTAGATATCAGGATGAATTCCACTAAAATCTGTATCCATTACATCTTGTGACTGTTGTGAAAATTGTTGATTCATAGAGAGAGAGTCATGGCTTGGGTGGTAGCCTGCTTGATCCTGTTGAGAGCCATGCAGAGTGTTTGACAGGAAGGAATGACTTTGATCAGAGTCGAAAAAGTTTGACGCGGAAGCATCTTGAGGATTAAGTTGTGAGTAAGCAGCCTGGTCGCTCACAGACTGCGACCAGGGCTGATGAGGGTCAAATTGGCCATTTTGGCCTGCAAAAGCATAGTTATTGTGCCATTGATGTTGTTGTGCCTCATCGGCGCCGTTTTGGCCATTGTTTGACCAAGACTGCATCTTGTGATTGATGCTGTGTTTAGTAGAGGCAGCTGCTACAACAGCAATACGACCACAGAGACCAAGAATCAATTATCTTTGAACAGCTTTAAGAGCTAGCGCATGGTATTAGCAATCATTGCTACCTTTAGATGAGGTGCGAATGTGTAAACGCGAAGGATTCGATGAAGGAAATAAGTAAGGTAGTTGAGCCTCGTGCAACAACGTGAAGGTGTGGGAAATTGTGGCTGGGGGTTGACGTAGCCTTGATTGGAGCTACCATTCATGTATCAAGAAAGCGAAAAATAACGTACTGACATACAGAAATTAAGCTGGCAAGAGACTTTATGCAAGTGTCTCGCTGTTAGGGAGAGGCTTTCGGCTATCGCAGCTGCAGGTGGCCCACCATAGAAATACGCTAGTCGATAAACGGAAAACTGACAAGGGTCCAGGTCTTGGGGAAAGGGACAAGGTGATTGAATCTGAAGTCTAGAGCAAGAAAAAAAACCATCAGCAAAGTCTGCAATAAGAACTAGAAGGTCAGTAGTGTGATGAGTGATGTGAAAGAATAATATAAAGGGATTCCCGTAAGTGTTCTGCAAAATTATGGCGTAGAGAGCGTTGATAAAGAGCATCCATCCATCTTCCATTAAGAGGTCGTTGGTTAAAAAAGGGTGTATGGCTGGTTGATTAAAGGTTGGACAAAGAATTGAGAGTGCGACAAGCTCGTCGACAAAGAAACTCGAGAAAAAAAAACTCGAGAATGATAAACTCAGGGAGCCAGATTTAACAGATTGGCTTTGTCGCAATAATTTGGCCTCTGAAGCAATTCAAATTGCTTTGTTGGTAAATAGTGGCATTCTGGAATGATTTTGGTGGTGGAGCCACTGTTCCTTCAGATGCGTGTGCACCCGCATTTTAGTGTAGCGTAGTCCCTGTGATGTTGCTGTCTTGGGGTGCTGCTGAGCAGAAGTTGGGGCTGAAGACAGCGTTATTTCCAGCCCCCTGTACCAAGCAAGCGCCCGAAAGACAGAAGCCTGCAACGTCGCAAAGACGATGATCAACAGCCATGACGCCCTTTTTGACTCTGTATGAATGAATGAATGAATGAATGCTCTTTATATCATCAAATACTCGTGCCGCGGCTTTTTAGGTACGCGTTCGCCTGCAAACTGGCCAGATTGTAGATGCCTGGTTTTCGTCACCTGGCTCTCTCTCTGGGTTACCCAGCCCACAGCTCTTCGCCCCTAGAAGACGATGCTGAGGAGCTTTATCTCCAAGCAAGTCTCCACGACGGTCACCATCTCTTCCTCTTGCAATTTAAATGCTGCAGAGAGTCCAAGTGGTTGGTTCCATTGTTATAGAGAAATCACAGATACAATGCTGCTGCTTTGGTTCATGATGGCGATATGGCCGAGCCATGCAGAATGACGCGACAGAGGTAAAGAGGTTGATGGGTGCAGGGTGGAAAAGGGAATGGGGTCAAGTTTGGGCATACCCTTTGATTCAGATAAGGTTCCTTCAGTACAGTAACTCTGTCCGTCTTCCTACCAAAAGATGCAGAGCAGCTCTATGCCATCTGTATATTGCGCAAGTCGCGTGGTGTTTACAACATTATCGAACGGAGGTGTGACCTGTTGGAGAGGCAAAGAGAGCAGCACAAGGGTGACCCGTTGGTTCGCCAGGACAAGGCGTTTAACGTGGGCGCAGATCGGGAGGATGAACACGAAAAGATGGGAATTAAAAATACCAAGCGCAGCTTATATATAAACGCGTTTGACCTGCTGAGCGCCAGTCAGCGTTTGTCGCGATGGTTGATGGTGGTTGATGAAGAGTTCGTCGGATCGAAGAGAATGAAGAGAAGTCCCTGGCGATTTCGCATGGAACTCAGAGAACGGACCTGGACGTGTTTGGCTATGATGTGGCCCCATATTTCAGGCACAAACACGATCATGACGGTGGGCAACTGAACTGGCAAGTGCCCCTTGGAACCAGCGGGCCCAGCACCGTGGCACTTTCCATGTCCAATCGTGTCGGCGCTTGTATCGGTCCGTGCTTCCAGCTTGCGCGCCGTTGGGGGAGCTTTCCAGCAACCGTACTAGTATTGGATCGTGGCCTCAAGCTGCCATCAATCGCTACAGTTTCTTGAGTTGAAGATTGGCTGAAGATTTTGTACCTAAGTTCCTTCAAGGCTACAATATCTTGCTTCGACATACGTATCCTCTTACAATCGAGTCTGCTGTGAACAAGCGACCTGGCCATTCTCCTGAATTACATCCCACTATCACCATCTTAAGCTCTCGACGCCCCGACGTCATCTGCCAGTATGGCAACCAAGGGAAACTCTCTGCGCGATCGCCAAATAGGTTTGTGATGCTGAACATTCAGAGCGCTGCTCGTTCTTTGACTAATGTATTTCTCAGCTTCGCTAAAGAAAATCCTCAACTTGAACGAGAGTGTCGAATCGTCCGAAGCCGACGAAGCCCATGCCAACGGTCTACTTGCTCCTGTTGCGCCTATCCTCGATGCTGATGGCAACCCTATCTGGAAGGTACTGGTCTTTGATGACCTCGGTCGTGATGTTATCAGCAGTGTCATGCGCGTCAGCGACTTGCGGTCAATGGGCGTGACCATGCACATGTAGGTTGACGAGCCCCGCGAAGATATACAACATTAACATGAACTGCGCAGGCACATTGGCGGTGCAAGGCACCCTATCCCCGATGTCCCAGTCATCTACCTCCTCGAACCGAATGCGCAAAACCTCCAAGCCATTACGTCCGACTTGCAGAAGGGACTTTACACTCCCGCTTACATCAACTTCCTCTCCTCCCTCCCCCGTGTCCTTCTCGAGGACTTCGCTACACAAACAGCTGCTGCTGGAACATCCGAACACATTGCTCAACTGTTTGACCAATATTTAAATTTCATTGTCGCTGAACCAGATCTGTTCAGTTTGGGCATGCAAAAAGAGCATACGTATTGGGCATTGAACAGTGCAGCCACCAGTGATGAGGAGCTTGATCGCGTAGTGGACAAGATCGTGAGCGGTCTCTTTAGTGTGGTCGCTACTATGGGTATGCCTGACATTCTATATTCATGCTCACTATGCTGATACATCTTACAGGAGTCATTCCCATTATTCGATGCCCCAAAGGCGCTGCTGCAGAGATGGTCGCCGCGCGACTCGACCGAAAACTCCGAGACCATATCCTCAACTCAAAGGACAACCTCTTCTCAGGACCCCGAACGAACGCATCATCCAGTACTCACTCTTCCCGGCCCGTACTCATTCTTCTCGATCGAAACATTGATTTGGTGCCAATGCTTTCTCATTCTTGGACATATCAAAGTCTGGTCCACGATGTTCTCAACATGAAGCTCAATCGCATCACCATCGAAAGCCCTGCGGAAGAAGGAAACCCTGCCAAGGGACCCACGAAGAAGGGTTACGATTTGACTACAAACGACTTCTTCTGGGCCAAAAACGCTGGCAGTCCTTTCCCTCAGGTAGCGGAGGACATCGATGCTGAGTTGACCAAATACAAAGAAGAAACTGCTGCGATTACGAAAAGGACTGGTGTTACAAATTTTGAGGACTTGCAGGCCGATACCAGCGCGAGCGCTCAGCATCTCAAGGAGGCGATAACGTTGCTTCCTGAAATGAGAGAGCGCAAAGGCATTCTCGACATGCATATGAATATCCTGGCGGCTTTGTTGACAGGAATTAAGGACCGCCAACTTGACAACTATTTCCAACTGGAGGAGAATGTTGTGAAGCAGACCAAACCTCAGATTATGGAAATTATTAGTGACAGTACCAAGGGTTCTGAACCCGTTGATAAGCTGCGATTGTTCATCATCTGGTATTTGAGCACAGAACAAGAAGTGAGCCGACAAGAATTCGAGGGCTTCGAGAAGGCCCTCTCAGAAGCTGGCGCAGATGTGTCATGTCTGCCCTATGTTCGACAGTAAGTTTTTGATGCAATGATTTGTCTTACGCATACTGATTATGACAGGGTTCGCGCAACGACCAAGATGACACAACTCACTACCATCAACAACAACACTGCTCAACCCGCTCAAACTTCAGATCTCTTCGGCCGCTTCTCATCGATGTCATCTCGTCTCACTGACCGCCTCAAAGAATCAGGTGTGCCCACTGGTCTGTCATCAAACTTTGAGAGTCTCATCAGCGGTGTGAAAAACTTCCTTCCTGCCGATCGCGATTTTACTGTTACGAAGATCGTCGAATCGATCATGGACCCCTCATCAGCCTCCTCTTCAGCTATTGCCAAGACAGAGCACTACCTCTACTACGATCCTCGATCCGCCAATGCTCGAGGTACCATGCCTCCACCAAGTGCCATGCGATCTGGCGCTGGAGCCACACCAGGCGGCATGCCTGGCTCTCAAGTGCCTGGACAGACTGCTAGCTTTGGTCAAAGAAGACAAGGCTTCAGTGAAGCAGTCGTGTTCACAGTTGGCGGTGGCAGTATGGATGAGTATGGTAACCTGCAAGAGTGGGTAAGCCGAGCTGGAGGCGACAGGGTCAAGAAGAGGGTTGTATATGGCAGCACAGAGATGGTGAATGCTGCGGAATTCATTAAGGAGGAACTAGACACACTAGGAAAGGAGGTGGCATCATAATGCTCTGACTTTTAAGAATAGATAATGAGATTTTCAAATCATAAAGGCACAATAAAAGCTAACAACTTGGCTCCAAACCATTATTTGCAAAGTCTTCTCTCATAACTCATCAACTGTGTGATAGTTCGCTGACTTCAGGTGTTTCTGAATCACTAAGGTAATTAATTACCTTCCCTGACTGAACCTATGTGGATCTACCAAAACAACATTAATTACTAGAATAGCAAGCAATCTAACAAGAACAATTTTCTCCAACTTCCTTCTTTCGTCAACCTTACACCTCTTATGATATCCTCAAAGTTGCATTTACTGTCGCGTGCTACCCTAGGCCTCTCCTTGAAGTCGATGCGCGGAACATTTTAGAACCGGGAGTGGGAGAAGCTGATCTGGGGCAACTGCCAAGGGTGCCTGAGCTACTGTAAGGTACGTACCAATCTAACGTGAGAACAACACCACCTGAGGAGACCCATAGGTCCCGTCACGGCCTGGTTTGGCCCTGAACAGAACTGAATGCGCCAAAACATCAAATCTTATTGGCAAACCCTGTCACTCTCTACCTGTTCCATTGTTTCCCTCAGCATCGACAGCATCGACAACCCATATCATCAACAAACACCGCGCGATTAATAATTTCGTATCTCGATTATATTCGCAACCCCCAGCGCGTTTCATTGACGATATCTCTCGCCCGGTCGCGCGTCGATCACAGCCTCCCTCGCAATGGACGAGTCCCCCGTGAAAACAGAGGGCGCCACTCGTCATCGCGCTGGATACAAATCATGGAAGAAGAAGTATAGAAAGATGCGCATCGTGTTTGATCACAAGATGCATGACGGTGAGGAGTTGCACAAGCAAGAAGACAAGGCTGCCGCATTGGTCAAGCGCTTGGCTGTAGAGAATGAGTAGGCTATCTCCAAACCATCAACCACCAACAGATACAATACTGACATACTATCCATAGCCGTCTATTGGATCTATTACTCGAAATCAACAATTCTCCCCAAATTCCTCCCGAGAAACAGGTCGATGTATCCCTCGAGCCGCCATCCCAGTCTGATGCGCTTGTCCATCCCCTGGATGAAGAACATGAGCTACATAAAGACACACCCAAGAAGAAGCTTGAAGACCTCGTCAAGAGTGTACCACATTCATCATATAGCAGTGCTAAGGAGACATTACCACAAATCGTCAACGATCTCAAGGCTGTCGATGGCGAAACCTATCCTGCCGATTTCTTATCTGCCGATGACATCGACAACTACATCTACGAAATCGATATGGCCCTCGACCCTGAGAATATGCTTCCCACACTCGCTCCCCGCGCTCACCCTGGCAATCATCACCAGTCACACCCACATCTCAAGAATCCTACCAGTGTCACAAATTGGCTGCGCAAACATGCTCCCAAGATTTTCCTCCAGGACGGAGAAGCACATGGGGACGCAGACGATGCTGAAGGTGGTCATACCGGTGGGCGTAAGACGCGTGGGTCACGAGGTGAGCGCGGCGGAAGAGCCAGCACAAGGGGCAAGCGTGTCAGCGCTGCAGCTCGCTCAGCAGCAGCCGCAGATCGCGATGTGGACGCGAGCATGGACGAGGATCAAGAATTTGCCTCAACACCTGCTGGTCGGGGCAAGCGCAAGAGGAATGCAGAAGACGATACGGGATACAAGCCTCGCGGCTCATCAACGAGGCCAACGAAGAAGAAGCGCAAGAGCGAAGCAGCAGAAGGGACACCAAGCGCACGCAAGTCTAAGAAAGACAAGGAGGCTCCTCCAGCCTCTGCGGAATAGGTCCGGCATAGGACTGATCAGATACGTCTGTGTCTAGATACGTGACCTTACCATGATACGTGCTACTTGCTACTGTTAGAGCGAGAGTAACCGCTCTCGACTGTGTGGTCAAAGCTTGCAAAATTGTATTACTATCGAAATCGAAGAACTGAGCACTACGGACAGAATCCGTATGTAAGCAAAATCCCCGGCATCAGAAACGCATGCCTCGACAACCGCGGTTTTCCTTCCGGCCAACCGAGGCCATCTCGATCGGGTCAACCCGGGCCTACGGGTGTGTTTATCCTCTGTACTTGTCAGCCTTCAATGTCAGCCTTTTATACGATTCTTTTCATTTTTATATACACGTGCGGGCTTAGGCCGAGGCATTCCCCACCATGGGGCTGCATAGAGACGCTGAAGCTAGGAACATGCACATCTGTTTTCTTTGGAAGGGGGGAAAAGGGAAATAGGGAGTTGGTTGTTATTCTTGCTTTTCTGAAACAGGGAATTATTTTGGAGATTGGGTGTCGGTTACGCTAGCTACGGACAACTACCGAGGTTTGACAGCAAGCAATATGACAAAAAGAGGCGTCTGAAGCGGCATCTACCAAGAGCAGCTGTGCATTGATGTATCGTACATGTGAGAAGAGGTGCAGGGACATGTTTCAAGGTCCAATAGATTTGCTTTAAGCTCAATTTGAGTACATCTTATGACTCTACCACCCATTGATCCGCGACTAAAGAAGGACTAGGAGGAATGCACTATGGGGAACGAGTAGTCACAATGCGAATGGCCGGGGGAGATCTAGGTGAAGAAAACTATAAAGCAGGGCTGGGTATCCCATCTTGTCTATATGCGAAGAACAAGCTTGCTTTCTACATGACATCTGCTTTCCAGTACTTGGTAGCATGATACATGCTGTCTCCTCCTCAAATCTTTGCTTTTACATATTCAGAAACCCAACATCCTATCCAACCACAATGACGATGGAGGAATGCTTTTCATAAGTCGTTAGCCAACTGCATGTGTCCGTGCAGAAGGTTCCGGTTCATGATTGCTCTTGACGACGCCAACTTCCTTTCTGCTGAGGAAATGAGTGGTCAAGAGATCGCAAGAGGTGACGCTCTTGTGGTTCTCAAGACTGTGAGATGCTATTCAGGCTGTGACAACATATTCGACGCCGATTCTTAAGAGTTCATGAAATAGTGGCTACTCTTTGCAGAGGCATAAGAGGCCAGGAAGTGGAAGCGGAATAGAGGCTAAAGGGAGGCTGTGAAAAACGACAGATGACAATGCGTTTACAGCTTCTCCTTGAGGGTTCGCTTGAGGCGGCGCTCAACGGCATCCATGTACTCGTTGGTGGTGACATAGTCCTTGCGCTCAGACTTGCCAGTGGCAAGGGCAAGATCCTTGGTCATGATACCGTCAATATCGACAGTGTCAATGCAAGCCTTCTCAAGGCTCTCAGCAAAGGCGACAACCTCGGGGGTGTCGTCGAGCTTGCCACGCTGGACGAGACCACGGGTCCAGGCGAAGATTGAGGCAATGGGGTTAGTGGAGGTCTCGTTACCCTTCTGGTGCTCACGGTAGTGGCGAGTGACAGTACCGTGGGCAGCCTCAGACTCGAAGGTCTTGCCATCAGGAGTGATGAGAACGGAGGTCATGAGACCGAGAGAGCCGAAGCCCTGGGCGACAATGTCGGACTGGACATCACCGTCGTAGTCTGTAGTTGTTAGTTTTCCTGCGTTTTCAAGTAGACAGAGCCTGAACAAGCGTTCAGATCGCGAAGAAGGATTGACTTACTCTTGAGGGCCATGATGTAACCACCAGAGCTCTTGATCATCTGGGCGACCATGTCGTCAATGAGACGGTGCTCGTACCAGATCTTCTTGGCCTCGAAGTCCTTCTTGTAGGTGGACTCGTAGATCTCCTGGAAGATATCCTTGAATCGACCATCGTACTTCTTGAGGATAGTGTTCTTGGTGCTCATGTAGAGAGGGAGCTCCTTGTCAAGAGCAAGCTTGAAGGAAGCGTGGGCGAAACCAGTGATGGACTCGTCGGTGTTGTACTGGGTCTGAGCGACACCACCGCCGTTCTTAAACTGGAAGACCTCAATCTCTTGAGGCTGGCCACCCTCAGGGGTGTAGACCATGGAAAGCTTACCAGGGCCGGGAAGGACAGCGTCCTTGGCGCGGTACTGGTCACCAAAGGCGTGACGGCCAATGATGATGGGCTTCTTCCAGCCAGGAACAAGACGGGGAATGCGGGGGATGACAATGGGCTCACGGAAGACTGTACCACCAAGGGCATTTCGGATGGTTCCGTTGGGGGAAAGCCACACTGGATATGTAAGTTAGCCGAATTCGATTTTGTTAAGCTTACTACTGCAGGTTTCATTCGCTTTACTGCTGCTTGTTTCCCCTCATGTTGCTTTTCCTGCATGCCTCATGTATGCGGGGTTGCGATTGGTGGGGTGAACATCGAGGCGCAACGCGAACTAAGACAGGGTCGGAATGGGAATGAACTTACTCTGCTTCAGCTTGAACTCTTCGACACGAGCCTCATCGGGGGTGATGGTAGCACACTTGACACCGACGGAGTACTTCTTGATAGCCTCGGCGGCATCGATGGTGACCTGATCGTTGGTCTCATCACGGTACTCAAGACCAAGATCATAGTACTTGAGGTCGATGTCGAGGTAAGGAAGGATGAGCTTATCCTTGATGACCTGCCAGATGATGCGGGTCATCTCATCACCGTCAAGCTCGACGACGGGGTTCTTGACCTTGATCTTCTGGTGGGAAGCCATTGTGCGGACGGCGAAGGGAGAGATGGTTTGGATAGCACCGAAGGAAGCTCGGACAGGGCGGACGGCGGATGAAGTAATAGCGACACGGCGCAGCGAAGACGAGAGAAGAGATCGCTGAACGGAAGAGGCGAAGACAGCGGCGGGCATGATGGGCGAAAAAAAAGAAGAGGAAGAAGTTGGGAGTTTATAAAAGAGGTATAAAAAGGGTCTGGTACGGTAAGGCAGGCAGGTACGGGAACCAGACTCGGGAATCGTCGCCGGAAGTTTGGCTCGACTTGGGACCTTCCTTGAGTCGCTAGTCGTTACAAACTGCAAGTGCAAGTGCCCAGCGCGGGGTGTAACTGCAACACGGACGGGCAAGCGGTTGGTTTGGGGTCGGAAGTGGAGCGGGTTCAGGGTGTGGTTTTGCACTCTCAGACTTCAACCGAGGATAGGTTGTCGGTTGATGTGGCGGCGACCGAGAGGAAAACCGACGATGCGAGAGAATATGGGGTAAGGTAAGGTAGGCAGGTGTGATGGATGCGTGGTTTCCCCCCAATGAGACGGGGTGAATTTGATCAAGAGGCGCCGCTAGTCGATTGGAAGCTGGGGAATTTCGTCAGGTGTTAGTTACAGATGCGCGCGTAAGCAAGAATGGGAAGAGGGGAAATGGTTTATGAGGCGATTCATGTTTTGAGTGTTTTCTTTTGCCTCTGTCCTCTGTACTGTACTCTTGAGGGGTGTGAGTTTTAGGAAACGTCTAGAAGACCACGAGGCTTTGGTAGTGTATTCTTTGATTCAGCAGAAATAGGTATGATCCAATCTGAGATCAGATCTATCTTATTTAGCTGCTAAAATCCTCAGATGAGGCGAATCTAGAAAAAAGACCTGTGGTCTTCTAAAATGCTCATGAGGAATATCGTTGGTCAATGACGATACAACTGTATCATGACACCTATTGTGGCTGACAATTGACCACTGACAACTAGCGAAGCTAGCAACGACATGACATATAAAAGCTGCACTTACAAGATTCGATCGAAACGTCGTTTTCTTCTGGTGTTGAAGCTGTTGACGAGAAACAATGTTGATGATGTAGAGATGGGATTTCAGCCGAAATAGAGAGAGAGAAATAGGAAGGACAAAGGAACATTCAAATCCAATTCTTCCGACAACGGACTGTTCTCTTTTCCTTTTAGCCTTGTAGGGTTCAAGGCCGAAGACGGATGATGCAGTGCGGGATATCAAACGTGGCTGACATGATCTTTTTAGACAATCGCATGCTGTGATATGACAGGGGTCGAGTCCCTCTATCTAAAGTGTCTACATATGACGTTCTTGTCCAACGTGAAGCTCAACTTCACCTCAATTGACCATCTCACGATGATTTTCAAGAGTCTTTAGACCCCTCGTAACCTCCATTACATCCCCCCAACTCTCAGGGTGTGTCTCGAGTATTCTTTTTCTCTTCTTGCCAGGTTCTTTTGGGGATGAGGCTCGGTACCTGACCGAGCTGGGGCACCGCATCAAAAGCTGCAAGCAGAGAGAAAAAACGCCCAGCCAGTCCCAGCCTCGACGGTTAACACTAGTGTCGATGGGTTCCGCACTTGGTCCCCCGCTCAGTGGGGGAAGACGACTACCGCCGGACGCTATGGTTGCTTGGCTTTAAATTAGGCGCTATATCTCGTGCATGACAGCTGCTCTCGTTTTTTGCCTCATCTCGGTGTTACTGTCGCCGAGTGCGAGAGGCTTCAGTTGCATTGTGATATGGTTACAGGTGGTAGACCATAGAATATGAGCCGGAAGTAAGCGGGTCCGATGCAAGCCTCAGAACCTCAATTTGGTGCAGGTAGCATGATGATGCTCTGAGCTTCATAATGATTGATTTATATAAACCCTTTTGGCACACTCTACCGGGAATAACACTTCCCGGCCTCTTGCATCTCGGCGCGGAGCGCATCTCCGTTCTCCAACTCGGATCTCCGGTAAGAGTATCCACTCTCCGCGCCGTCATCGGGGGACGATATTCGGTTGATGTCCGAGCAAAGGGAATGAGATACCGATACTTGATGCCGGGTTTTATAATCGGGATATGTAGTGATTGCGAGCTTCCGAATATGGTTCCTTATTAATTATCGCCTGGGTAAGCACATTGCCAACATGCTTCATACCAGTTGTGTGTTTGGTAAACGTTCCGTTGTTCGAATCGGATACGTACTTAAGGTCCCGCGGGAATCATCAGAGTTCACGGGCCCTCCGACAAATAGGGAATGAACAGGCATTTAAATACCTCATCCTATTGAAAACCAAGTGCCATCGTAGCAGAGCTCAGCCGCCTTTCCATCCTATTGTGTCTATCAGCCCCAGGGTAGGAGATCATCAATCATTTTATGAAGTCTCGGAAACAAAACCGGAAACAGATATGCCATAGTGGCTGAAAACAATCATCAATGTCCTTTCCGTTTACCGTCCCGGAATCTCTTTCTATTCTAATATACATTCCTTACTTGAGCTTCGGCCACCCAGCAACACTGCAAACATCCAGCATCAGCTCAAACGTCGAAGATCTCACCAACTCCTTCGTTTCCCCCCCTCCTGTTCTCAACTATATCCAACCTCCAACCTTCCCAATGCTTAAGTGATCTCTTAATCTCCTTGATCCGCTCGATCCGTCTCTTTGACTCCTCCTCTTGCGCCTTGCGGAATGCATCCTCGTCAAAGTCCATATCATCGTCCTCAAGGAAATCATCATCATTGCCACCAGCAAGAGCATTGAGACCACTGGTAAAGAAATCCCCAATTCCTCCTCCAGGTCCGGATTTCCTACGCTGAGTTGGAGACATTACTTGCCCAGGAGAGAGGTCGACATCATGGAAGCCTGGACTAGTTGCCTCCAGTTCGCGACGTTTCTCAATCCATGCTCCACTTCGAAGTTCATGTACTTCGCTTTCCAGCGCTCGGATCTTTCTCTTGAGTTTCTGACGTTCCTCATCCTCAAGTTCATCAACACCTTCATCGTCCAATCCACCGCCACCCTCCATGGACTTCCTGCTTCGGAGCTTTGCGTTTTCGTTCTCAAGCTTCTCGACCTGTGCCCTCAACTCTGTGACATCGTGTTCTGCCTTCTCCTTCTCCTTCTTGATCGCCTGTAAGCGAGAATCTTGCTCCTTATGTAATGTAGTCAGGGTTGTCGCCTTCTTATCCAATGCCTCAGCCTTCTTCTCCAGCTCATCGCGAGCGCTCTTTACCTCTTGGAGCTCATGCTCGAGAGTCTTGATCTTGGTCTCAGCACTTGTTCGTTCGCTACCTTCGCGGACTGCCTTCTCAGCTGTCCTCTCAAGATTATGCTTGAGGTCCTGTAGTTCGCGCTGAGCCTTACCCGCCGCAGCCTCAGCACGGGCTAGTTTGTCCTCCAGAGCAGTAACTTGTTCCTTTTCGGACGATGATCCACTGGCGTGTCGCTCTGCCTGTGCTCTCAGTTTTGAAATTTCAATTTCCATAGACTCAATGGTTGCTGTCTTGGCCTCGAGCTCAGCCTTAAGATCTGCTGGAGGTGAGGCCACAGACATGGAAGGACGGTGACCATGACCAGGTCCTCGCGATACCTGTTGTTGGAGCTGAGTATTCTGACGTTGGAGCGAGGCGACTTGGCTCTTCTGTGAAAGAATTAGCAGATCGAGCGCGGTTGTGGCTGCATGTGTTGTCACCTACCAAACTATCCCAAAGCCCATCTTCGTGTCCGCCTGCTTTCCCAGTATCTTCACCATCAGCCTCTCGTATGTCGGCCAATTCGTTTTCGGCCTTCTGCCATCGCTTTTCTGAGTCCGCCGCCTCTTTGGATAATCGTTTGTTCTCCTTCTCTAATTCTTCGATCCTAGCCATGTGCTTTCTGTAGATATCTGGTGCAGTTTCGCCATCGGGACTAAAAGGGCTGGCAGGCGCAGCACCTCCTGAGGTAATGGAGCCGGCGCGGAATGATGTAGATCTCAGTTTCGACTGTTGGGCCAGGGAGGGAGTAGCTGAAGCCGAGGTCTCTTCATCACTGCTGCTGTCTTCATCGCTATCGTCGTCTTCGTCGCTGCTCTCCTGGGTTTCTACTTTAAGTGGCTTCGCGGGCTCTTTAGCAGGTGGCTTCTCTTGAGCTTTCTTCTTGGATTCTTCGACAGCTTTCTCTTCGCTCGCTGGGGCAGCGTCAGCCTGTTCGGCGACAGGTTCGGGCGCGGCGGTTTCGGCTGGTTCTGGCTTTGTCTGCTTTGCTGCTGGAGTAGCCTTCTTATTCTTGTTCTTCTTCAATTGCTCAACCTGAGATCGCAATGTTAGCGAAAGTAACCTGAATAAGAAGGGAGGGGTAATCGAACACGCTTCTTGGCCGCAGCAATCTTCTCCTTGCGGGCCTTCTCTTCTGCGTCGGCCATGATGAGGTGTTATTTGGGTTCAGTGTATATGAATTCAATTCTGTATGGGGTGCGTTGTCGTTCTTGTTGAAATGTGTCGTCTTGGCGCTAAATGCTAATGGAAATGTAGCTCCACGTTCAGGGACTTGACTGAAGGGAGCTCCGTCATCACGTTGAAGCTTAGCTGGCCTGTGCATGTACCGTGCATGTGTCATTTGCCTCCAACTAGCACTGTGTAGATGATCGTGTAAGTGAGCAAAACACATTTCCTAACATGAGGTCACGAGTATATGCAATATGCAATATCATACTTTTGAAGAGGTTCTCGAGATAAAATTATAGAGAATCATATTTTATTGAGCCCTTTTCATACGATCACTAGGGCACCGCACGTTGGATCCGGCATGACAATCCATTGTATTTGCTTGATGAGTCCAACAATGTTGCACTGGTCTATCTCGAGTTGTGATCGACCGAAGTCTTCGATAGATTGGGGCTATGGTTTCCTGTCAGCCATAAGATACCATCAAATCTTGGGCGCCTACCTGTGTAATCCAAGTTGGGCAAGTGAGCTTCCAATGCGAGCAGAGGGTAGCTGCGATACTGATGATAACTGCCATATTGCATCAACTTTTCACGTGCCCCTCAAGCACCATAAAAACATCCATCAAAACAAGCGATCTTCAGTAACCATCAAGCTTTATCTTACACTGAATGATTGATCTGATACTCCACGATGAACTGGACTGAAGGCGCTCTCGCCCGCCATTCTCGTCGAAAAGGCTGGGATAAAGACGCTGCACGCCAAAAGCAATACTTTGCTAAAGCCAGAGTGAGAAAGAATGCTCCAGCTACAAGCAAAGGCCTTGATATCTCATCCTTCGTACCTGATTATATTCCAAAGCCAGCATCATCTCAAGGTCGTCAGTCGAACTCCTCGACCCCTCGGAGGAAGCAAAGAGCACCAAAAGGAAAGCTTATGCACAGACAATCCGAGACAGAGAATTCACACAGGAGAAGACATGGAAGAGAAAGAGAATCGTGTATCGGAAATCAGGAGATAGACGCCGAGAACTCTTCGACAACATCCCCAGATAAACACAAGCAAGAGTTGGACATAGCAACGAAAAGACGCAGGCTACTAGAGAAGGCAGACTGGACCGGCGTCATTACTCAAAAGCCTGTAACAGTTGAATTCTTCCGACAGAGGGATCGATCCACTAAGTTGCTTTCGAAATCAACCTCCGGGAGAGACCACCGATGGAAGTACAGTCCTTATCCGAAGGATCAACCCAACAAGAGAACGCTAGGTCGTCTTTCCGAGAATGACATCGAGATCAATATCGGGAGTCAGAATCTGCGATGGAGCAGGGATAGCAACTCAGTACGAAGCTTTGCTACACGACAGGATCTTCTACCCTGTCTTGAGATTCCAAACTCCAATAATGTTACGAGTCAGGCGCCTGTATCTTCCTACCAACAATCTCCAACTCTTCGTCATCAAGAGAGGCTACCAAGAGCTCACGGCTCTCATAGATCTCGACCCCATGACGAGCGAAGCAATCCACTCCTGAGCCTTTCCTCTGCAACACGTTCCCCAGGGCAAGAGGAATGGTTAGCAAGAGAAGCCGATGAGCCGAGATACATTGTGCAAACTCATACGCCTATCATTCATCAACCTCAGCCAACACGGCGACGGCACCGGGTGATCGAAACTCAGTCTCCCGACTTAGATGAAGGTGCAAGTGCCGTAGCTGTTCTCGGTACCCTAAGACCTTCTGATCGGATCACAGCTGAAGATATTCGATGGAACATGTGGTTGGAATCAAGAACTAAATCGAGACAACAGCAGCACGCCCAGCCAAGTCGAAATAAGGGGCCTTCAAGGCCCATCAGCCCTAGTCTAAGCAACTATTTGAACACCTCCAATGACAAGTCGCATATAGGAAGTCTGATATGCACCGAAAATCAAGGACAGAACTCACCGCATGCGAACGAAGAGCCACAACCCAGGTCTTCGGAAACGTATCCATCTAGCATACCTGCATCTGAGAGCCAACACGAGCCATTAGATGACGAACAAGAACTACCTGAGCTACAAACAAGAGATCCATTTCCTAGTATCCTGCCAGCAACAAGTTCTTGCGCTCTACCCAAAAGCTCAAGCTACGAAAGAAGTGAGACCTCTCCCAAAACTGGAAGCGACTTGGTTATCCCAATGGGCTCTTTCATGCCTGTGATTCCCAATGTTCAAGACCTACTAGACCTCTTGATTGCTAGCGAGGAACAGCAGGAGCCAAATATTGAGAACCAAACGCAACAAGAAATAACACCAAATACTGACGACGAAGACGAAATTTGGAAGAAGTTCGTTCTTGACAACGATAGCGCTGAGACCAGCCGTAAGGCCCGAGAGGAGGCACATGAACAAACGAAATGCGCACTGGGTTGGAAGAAGCCAAATGTTCCCCGGATGTTTATAGAATCATCCTTGTCTTCAGGTTCGACAGCACCGCCAAGCGATATCGCAGAACCCCCTTCAGCATCCCGAGGAGAAGCACCCTCAACTTTAGAACGCAACTTTATTTTGGCAGATGACCAAATCCAAGATCTACCAGGCGCAGAATTGGAAGTCCCGTCATCGGAAGCCGCCGCAAGGGCAGATATCGCGGACGCGGCCGACTCTATCATTGCTCAACCGGCCTCGCCTCAACCGTTACAGGCCGAGTTCAAATTCCATCAACCGCAGCTCTTTGTTGGTAGATTAGCTAGTGACGTCCCCTCCACCAAATCGCCGGTTTACTTGGATGCGCCACGGAGCAAGGGAAGACGGCAACGATCTAGAAGGCGCAGGGATAAGGGGCGGCCTGATTTCCGCATCATGCCAAACTACAATGACGATCCAATTGAGGAGGACTAGCGTTAGGGATTCGGAGATAAGATGGTTAACGGGAAGTTAGCTGGAACTCTCATATCAGCCACTTTCTCCAAAATCACAAGCCTATAATTTTCGAAAGATGTATGTAAACAAACCAAATCGAGAAGGCTCGCTCTTTTGTTCATGATACTTCTTACTGCGCTTTAAGTTCACATGGATCGACCCCGGTTCATTGGACCAGGTGAAAGCAATTGCAACGTTTAAGACTTCAGGCAAGTTGTCCCTTTCCTTTTGTTCTAGCGCATCAAAACAAAAGTGAGTCAGAGGACGTCCATGCTAGAAAAGCCGCAAACTAAGTATGTGGTCACGAGCTGGAAATGTAGTGCGCCATATCGCGCAATGTTACCTGGGGAAGACACCCGGATGCTGTGGAAGGCATCCACTACATTTGAGGTATGGCGGGGAACACGGTTCAACGTCTTAAGTATCTTAGACAGGGGTCGTTTAGGAGCGATCAGCCTCTTGATTGCAACTCGTCTCTTGCCTCGTCGCACATGCTTAAGCCAGGGGAAAATACCACAGTAGATGTGTGTCACATTGAAGGGTAAAGAGATAACAAAGATTCTAACATTTCCGAGGTAAGACGCTGTAGCTATCATGGGATCATATGTACATGTAAAATACAACAGGGGTGTATACAGTAAAAGAAATCCTCTATCCGTAAATGCGCCAGAAAACACAAAACTGTAGAGCGAACAAAACTCCCACCGTCTATGTAAAGAACACCAACCTCTAAGAAATAGGATTGACCTCATATATCATCATAAACGTCACTGCGTGATCGTCCCTCCAATAACCAAGACGTCTTATCTCGGTGCCTTCAGTAGTCTTGGACCCCAGTAAGACCCCAGAAGTCTTAGCCAAGAAAAGAAACTCGAAAGAAGGAATGGAAGCATGACAGAAGCATCGTGCATGACACACACAGCCACGCTGAAATAATCCCCGCAAACCGCCCCGCTTCTAGAACAATTCTCTCAAGTCAGCCTCAGCGTGATGCAACCCCCTAGTGGGGATAAGATCTGCAACGCATAGGCGTTTTTGCTGATATTGAGGACGTCTTAGAGAGTGTGAGTGTGGATGGCAGGAATGAAGGAGAGAAAAGGCCAAGGCTGAGAAAGCCTGGCATCGAAGACGAGGTTGCAGAAAATGCTTCCCTCGATGCGTGTCCATGCATCAAAAGAAAAAGATGCCTTGCGAAGGTTGTTTTTCTGTCCTTGATGTAACAATATGTTTACAAGAGCTGCTGGCTGCTCAGCTGGGTCGATGGCGAGATGGTGTTGAGTGTCGGTGAGCTGGCCAAAGCAATAATGCACAACTGGCGATCAGTACTATGTCACTGATTTGTCTGGGTAAGCTTGCTGATAGAAGAAAGCCCAGAGTGAAACAGAACTGTAGTTTCAAGCCATCCAATGCGATACTTGGTGTCTTGTGGTTGGCTGATTGTGTGGGCAAGGCCTGTACCTCTGTCCACACACCTCAAGATCGACTGCGGCGCTTCTCCTTGCGCTTAGATTCGCACGATGTCTTACACCCGGGGCATTCGTAGCCGTGCTTTGAGATGTTGACTCTGACAAGGCATCGGGGACAGCGCCACCAAGTTGAAGGAGTATAGCGACCTTCGAGCCACTCTTCGTTAACAGTGGCTCCGCGCTTCATGATATCTTCACAGTGGTACTCGCGGAGATGGTCTCGGAAGTGATCGCGACGGTGGAATGGCTCACGGAAGCGAGTGCACCGAGGATAGTCACAGAGATAAACATCCTTGCTCGATTCAGGAGCATGCGTGTTCTTATAGTGACGAATGAGGTCGGCTGTACGCTTGAAAGGGCGAGCAGTACAACCAGGGTGAAGGCAAGAGACTGGCCAGTCATTTCCACTTGAGAAACACAAGAGTTAGCAATGCACTATTGCATAATAGGAATTAGACTTACGATTCGCCCCGTGGCACAGAAGATTCTCCAGTCCTTGTCTGACCAGAGGTGTAATGTTGTTGATAGCTAGAGCTTTGCTGGTACATACCATCGTCCATAGTTGGTGAGCCATGCAGAGTGTAGTAGCTGCCGTCTGTAGGTGACTCGGGGCCCCTGGTGGAAGCCTGAGAGTTACTGCCAGAACTACCATATCTGACCAAAGGCTGTGACTGATAATAGTCGAAGGAGTATCCGGATGGCGACGAGGCCTGGTCCTGCGGTGACGAGGCATCATACCAGCTGTTGTTGTTCCAGTAGTTGGATCCCATTGTGTCTGATGGTAGAGGAAACTTGAGCAAAGAAGCTGACTATAGTACAAGTCAATCAACGAGAAGGCGGCAAGCACGGGTGCTTAAGAGGACGAGCCAAGGGCTTGTGAATAAGTTTACGAAGGGAAGTAGATGATGTAAAGATAGAACAAGTATAGGCCGCAACCAAAGTAATATCTTGATGGCGGTCCTGGAAGGGAAGGGAAGAAGTTTGGTGCATGAGACTTGATGTTATGATAATGGTCTAACAATCGAAGCAATGGAAGGGATCAGAGAGGTGGTTATATGCTTGGGAGAGTAAAGGAGTGAAGGGGGGCAGACAACTAGTGCAGTCCAGGGTGATATTGGTCAAGGTGAGGCTCAAATCGCACATTGATTAGTGAGGCGAAGGTAGGAGTCATCCGTGTAATACACAAAGGTAAAAGGCAGTATAGACTTGAAACTGTAGAGACGCCGATTTCCAGAAACAGCCGCGGTCGGAATTGGAAGAGAGTACCAGCTTGTACTGCTAGAGCTCTAATGCTCCAGGGTCAATGACATGGCTAGGGTAGCTGTCGGGGGGAACACAGCGGATCCCACCCGGGCCAACCTTTGATCAGATAGAAACATAGTTAGGTAGCTTGATAGAATACAGCCAAGAGATAACCAGTTCTAAGACCGAAGACTGGAGAAAGGCAAGGGTGGCAGTACAACGGACAGGCATGGGTCTAAGGCGAAGCAGCATCTGGCGCAAGCTGGCTCGTGATGTGCGAATCGACACTTGTTGTTTGGGTGGGAGACTAGGGTAAAGTCAAGCTTGATGGAGACAACAACAACAAGCATGGAGAAGCGAGTCAAGGCTGGAGACACCCTATCAAGAGTGGTGTGGTCCTGGCCGGTGTCCTAAGGGGGAAAGGGGAGATAGATGGCGATACAACAGTAGCAAATGTAGGCAGCTAAGATAGCTCACTCTGAGGTCAGCTCGAGGTCCCCAGGAACAGCAGTAGTTGGCTTGCATAAAAAGCTACAAGTTGGTGGTTGCCCTATAGAATACCGGCTCAACCGGGATCTGTGATTGTCGCAACAGCATGGAGGTACAAGCCCGGGACAAATCCAATGGGAGGTGTGTAATGTGTGCATTTGGCCGGTTCAGGATGTGTATCCATAAGCCGTGGAAGGATGCTTTCAACTGCAAACTTCAGATTGGAAACTAACCAGAAAGCCAGCCTTGACTGCTCGTGTGGAACTAGGAAACTGGCCAAGTGCCTGTTTCGGTAAGAGAGACAACGATGAGTCTAAGCGGTTGCGCCCAGCAATTGACAGCTAAAAGTGCGGTATTGGTAGCTCGCTACAGTGGTCATGATCATACTTGCTGGGTGGGCAAGTTCCAACAGGGCGTGGCGATGCGCTGGGGCTGAAGATCATGTAGCAAATGATTCTGGCACGGGCTGGCGGCAGTGGATGCGGGAATGATTTGACATGATGCGCATCCCTAACAACGAGCTGTCCTTGACGACAGATAACCGAGAACCCGCACAAAGGCTGGACTAAGAGGGGCTGTGCTAGGCCAGCTCAGCAGATTTCGGTCAATACCAGAGGGAAAGTTGGCTTGGCCAATGCGCTTTTGCGTGCATGTGCCGCTAGAAGCTCACTTGAAGGGTCGTCGACAGCAGCGGAACAGGACAAATTTGGTGTTCGGTAACGGGAGGATTGAGGTATTCGATCAACATGACAAGGAATTCGTCCATACTGTTTCATCGGCAATCGGTCAACGATATTGGGTTGAAAATGAGATGGAACAAAGGACTTCAGGACTGTTAACGAGGCAGAATGCAATTATGCAATGGGCTTTCATCAGGTAGGTACCACCTTACACATGGAGGGAAGGCACTGTAAGGTCTGGTAAAGAGTGGAGGTAGAATTCCATTCCAGGGCAGCACCTGCCTCCAGCTGTCACATCCATCGCTCGCACTCCTTACCCCTCCTGCTCCTGCCTTGTCGATGGCCCCTGCGACGGTAGTGGAAAACCCTGCCCAGGGTTGCGCCTTCTAAACGTCGGCGTCGTATTGGTCAAGCTGCCATCTGCCATCTTGACTTTGCCTTCTTTATCCATCACATCATCAAAATGCACTTTTATGCGGTGGCCTAAATGTAATGCTTCGCATTAGCACCAAGACAACCGCTGGTTATGGATGGTAGCTTGTCGATCTTGGCGGTGCAAAGCATCAAACAACTTCTCGATGCTCACGAGCACGAACACAAGCACAAGCACGAGCCTCAACGCTATGGAGAAGTCCAACAGATGCACCAATAACGCAGAGAGCCCTTTGCCATCAGTGTCGATCAATTAACTCAATCAACAACGATATTTTGCTGCCTAGGCTCGGACCAGCAAAGGAATTCTGATCTTTGGTCATGGCACCTGTGAGCCATACCAGCGCTCAATTGGCAGCATGGGACAAATGGCCAACAACAATGACCTTCGAGGTCTCCAGCAGAACAGAGCACAGACAAAATTAAACCCAGCATCGTCATTCTAGCATCTCCCACACACCTTTCTGATCCCCACAAATCGGCCACTTATCTGCTTGACTTACAAGGTTGGTGGTCTGGCTTGTGTAACTCGCTGCGTCTATCAGAGCCTGGCGTATTCATGGTCAATCTGACATGTCTCAATATTTGACGAGGCGGTTCTTTAGAACACCTAAAATGATCAGCAAAAATAGCAAGCGCCTGAACGAGAACCACCCTGGACGCCCTAAAAGGCCTTGTCTCACCTGTAGTCCTACCGGATCCCTACCCGGCATCTGCAAGACAACGCTGGGGAAATCCCCGAGATAGGTGTCTAACTTACCAATGTGTTGTGCCTGGTAAGTCAACACACCGAATGGTATAGTTGAGCTCTCAGGGGAAAGTTCGAGGAGTGTTAGTGAGGCTGACTGGAGTAGCAAGTGTCAAGTGCAAGAGAAGCAGTTGAAAATGTTTCGCCCGCTATGAGATCATGATCGTTTTCGACAAGGTACTCATCACACGCCCTAAGACCGTTTCCCCATCTGTGACAAGCTCGCCGGGAAGCCAACCCATGCCACCCGAACCACGAATTGACACTTGCTTGCCAGGGTTCTCGTATCCGAATCTTTGAGAAGTTGACAAGCATGGAAGCATTCTAGAAACCTTCCTGTTGCATCGTGCATTGGTTTCGTTTCAAATCCTAGTCAACTTGCACGGCGAACGCCGATGTAGTTGGGGGCGACGATCTTGTTACCCAAATGGCCACCTTTAACTTTGTGCCTTCGACGATATGGCACCAAGCGTAGAGCTGTGCCGCAAGCTTGTCATTTGAAAGAGGGTATCCTTCACCGACCGACAAGAGCGCTGGAAGACGGACGCTGCTGAAAGTCGCCTCGGCAGAGTCTGATAGGCATAATGACGATGACACAGGAAAAGGCGCCCGCGTCACAGGCGACAAGGCAATCGGAGCACCCATTCTGCCAGCCTTGAATCCAACTGACGACGCAATTTTGGCGACCTTATCGTTGATGAAGAGCAATGAAAACTAGTGTGTCATCAATGATCAAGTCATACACATGTCAGCTCGGGTTCAACAATCCAAGGGAGTTGCTAAGAGGACAAACGAAACTGCAATTGTGTCGCTTGGGGCGGCAAGGGTCCTCATCTTGTGCTTTGTCCACTCGACTGTTTTCCCATATCCGAAAGCCACGTTGTCTGCAATGACTTGAAATGTGCTACAGGTGTAGCATCGCCCCTATAGCGGTAACGCGACCAGCCCACGCCGGTTGTGTATAAATCGTTGAGACAACAAGAGAGGAAACCTGATAAACCCGAAGAGTGTCTCGCCGTCTTCCCATGGAAATCGGGTCTATCTACATTCAAGTAGTCGAGAAATAAAAAAAAACCCTTAACTCTTTTCTCGGCCTTCGGGCAGCAATGCAGCAGCCATCAGATGTTGGATTCTTCACCCAATTTCACCTGAAATTCCACTAGTCTGAACGCTTCACCTTGGCTATGATTCAGGACGTGCCACGTCGACGCAGGCACGCTACAGTCAGTCACGGAGACATGGAACACCTCACATCATTGTACGTCACTAAGAGAGCCTTGCCTCAAACGCCTACCAAATCTGAGGCTGCCCTGGCTGAAAGAGAGGCTGTCGAGCTGTGGAAGGTCTAGACCACCCAAGGAACCAGTTCCTTTTGGAAGGACATTGACCATGGATTTAATGAGGCAAACAAGCCACACACATTTTGACCAGATACTTCAACAGAATAGTCGTCCAGGGCGACAGTGCCCTGCACTCGAAAGGTTCGTATTCATATCTCAAACAATGAGGCTGATAACGCCCCGTGTAGCATGTTGCATATTTACCTGTTCCAGAAAGCACATCAAAAGCAAATGATGAAAGCAAGATGAGGTTGCCGCTCAAGTCCTTTCTTACTCCCTCTGTGCTCTTGATAGGCCCTCTCCAAGAGTTTACAAAACCAAGGTGCGTCCAACCTAAACCCATAGCTCCGTCCCATATTTCTCATACACGGCCAATGGACTTGAATGTCCAGTGGAGAAGCACCGTTGATTAGACCTCATCTTCAAGGAACTTGTAGACAAACTTGAAGTCAGCCTTGCGTCGATTCATCCTGCACATTCATGTCAGCACGCCTCACTTTGGCATTCTTGAGTCCACTTACCATGTGCTCTCGTAGTCGAAAAATCGATATGTGCCTTGCTCAAAATCTTCAGTGATGTTCTTAGGCTCCTCATGTCTTTGAAACCAAGTCTGATACTGCTTATGGAATCGCCAACTTTGATCTTTCAGAGCCTTGGCTGCCATGTACTGTTGGGCAGTACCCTGCTTATAGTAGAATACGTAGAACAGAGTGTCAGGGTCCATACGGGAGTACAACCGCGGGTCATCGAAGATAGCGAGTGGCTCGCGGGGAAAACCTGACCCTGTTGGGGGTACCGGCTGGTCGGGTCGGTATGATCGTGGAACATCGGCATCCACAATATCGGGGCAGCTGGCCTGGCTGGCAGTCATCATGCGCAGAGCTGATGGCGCAGATGGAGGATATAGCCGCTTTCTCGACGTCTCGTATGTATCAACAAGATCCTGTAACGACGCTGGCAAGTGGTAGATGCATTCTTCCTCTTCCTCGGTCTGCTTGACACCGTTGGCTGTACCATTTGTTCGTGGAGCTACATCAAAGTCAGTTATTCAAGTCATACAAAGTTGCCTTACACACATACTCTTTGAAGATGGAGCAGCCTCGGGGACTGCCGCTTGTTTTCCAGCAGCCTTTGATCGCTTGGACTGTTTCGTGGTGACAGGCACAGGCACAGGCACAGGGGCTGGTGCAGGTACAGGTTCTGGTTCGGAGGGAGCAGGAGCTGGCGTGGGCTGCTTGGACTCTGGTTGTTGAGAAGCGGGCTGGGCAGAGGATGTCGCAGGAGAGTTGGTCGCACTGCTTCGGGCTTGCGGCAATGGAGATATGCTTGATGATGCGGCACCAGGCGGCGGAGGTAACGGAGCGATACCAACGTTGTTCTTATCGCTCGCGGCGGCGGCAGCGGCTGCTGATGCGTACTTGAGTCCTTCTCCTGCAGGCCTTGTAGGTACTGATGCAGGCTTCATAGCCGGTGTACCCGAATTGCTATTGCTAATGGTTGGTAACGGAGCATGGAGTGTCGCGAGTGCAGGTAAAGGTGACTTTGTCTGGGAAGATGTCCTCCGTACTGGGTCAGCCTCTTTCTGCGCCTTTCTCGTCAGTGTCTTTGGCAAGTCAGTGTCGGTCGTAATGTCCTCTTGCACAGATTGCGCATCCAGGGAAGAGTTCTTCTCGTTATCCGCACCCATGCCGTAGGTACCTTCCTCGTCCTCAAGGTCGAGCTCCTCATACATCTCCTCATCTTCCATAAAGTCTTCGTTCATGCCATCCGACACATAATATCGAATGCTCTCTTCCAGGTCGGTCACTTGCTCGGGCTCAACTCCGCCATTCTCCAAGGATCTCCTGATAAGTTCCAGCTTCCCCTGGTGCCACTTATGTCGTTCGATAATGCGTTCGATTTCGGCGATGCGTTCGGCCTTGGCGGTGTTGTTCTTGCCCTTCTTCATGGTCGCTTGTATCGATTCGCCCTCTGCCTCGAGTGTCTCAATCTGCTGCTCCAGCTCGTCGACCATACTGCTTAAGAATTCGCTGGCTTCAACCTTTGCCTGCTCCTTGGGATCGAGCTTAGCGGCAGCTGACAGACCTTCCTTGGAGTATGCTTTCGTCTTCATGGCCTTCTCCACGGCCTTGAACTTTTCCATTTGCTAAAACCCGATATAACCGTCAATAAAATACTGGATGGCTTTCCGTTGTCAGTGGCGGGGACCAACCGTCTCGATCAGCTTGCGATTCTCCAGCAAGGGAGCCTTGTCCTTGATGTCGTTGCTGGCGGCCCATGTTTTGATTTGATCCCTCAGTCGCTGGAGCTTCTTGATCTCGCGTTTCAGGTTATCTTCTAGCTTGTCCTTCTGGGCAGGATTACTCGATTGTTCGATCTTTTCGTAAATAGCTTCGAATTCGGCCACGCCCTCGGAGACCTTTTTGAAGCACTTGTCGACCTCTTGGGCCAGTTTCCTCGCCGCCATTATGAGTAGAAAAATGCAGCCACTCGGGGCGCAGTGTCTAGTCGCTCGTATGGATCTTCTCGTTCGACTGTTGTTGTCGATTCAGTTGTTGTGCGTCTCTGCCAGCACCGATCAGGAAGATGTGGCAGCGCAGGGAAGGGTTATTATGATATAACGGCGCGTCGCGGGAGCAATCCGATAGTCGTCGTTAATTATAATAGGGTGATAATACAGTGTCCGTCGTCCTGAGCGTCAATGCCGGGAGCCGATGGTAGATGAGATGTGGTTGCTAGAAGTAAGGCTGGCGAGCACTGATTTGGTGGTTAAGGTTAGTTCAAGGTGGGAGGTGCAGCCATCCAATGAGGCCAAAGAACCGCGGTGTCGTGATTGGCTGAGGGGCCGCGGTTCACTGGGGCGAGGCGCGGTTAGCTGCTGAAACGTGTTGCAGTGGAAATTGAGGGTTGAACATGCATCTACAGGCTTGAAAAGGCTGTAATAGTTGGAGATGATTAGTCAATCTGTAACAATAATGGCATTTCTGTGTAATCTTAAATTGCAAGCCAAATAGTGGTACAAATTTCAGGGTATTGCAATATTGTGGGATGCACTCAATGACGTGGTTTTTTTCGCTAAGCGTCTAGGTACCTTGCTGGCAATTAAGTGCCCTGCCTCAGTGCATAGTAGTTTAGGCCATGGGCCATACCTAGATAGTCCAGTTTGGAACTCAATCACAACTGACGCCAGTATCATATCATAAATATTGAAAACTCTAGGGAAAATTCTAAACTTGGTGGCTTTCAATCCATATAAGCCTATTCGTTTAATAGTTTTTGTGTTTTACTACATAGTATCATAAAAAATTCTAATCTTGATTGTCTTTGTCTGCTGTGATACACGGTAAATCGGGACCGATGCCGATCCGGCTACGGAGTAATGTCTACATACAAAGACCTTGACTCAAGCCAGTCAAAACAGTCTGATATCTCACTCAACTTGCATCTCCAGTCACAAAAACTTACACATCACAAATATGAAGGGTACGTGCAGTACAGAGTAATCACCGACACAAAGACAAATGAAACATAAGCTCACCAACAACTCAAACAGTCATATTGCAGCGTGTCCTGTCGGCGTCCGTCACAGTCGACAAGGAGATGATCTCTTCCATCGGCAAGGGCGTCCTGGCCTTTGCAGCCGTAGCCCCCGGGGACACGGAGAAAGAGGCTGATCTGATGGCGGCCAAGGTTCTGAGGATGAAGCTGTGGGATGACGAAGAGGGCGGCAAGGTAAGGAGATAAAGAGGCTGGGCCGATAATTTCATTTGTGGTTTCAAATCTGACAGGCTTTCTCAAGTGGAAGAAGAGCGTCAGCGACATTGGCGGCGAGGTTCTCTGCGGTGAGTTTTCTCTTCTCCCCGGCCGGTCGTGTGAGGGTAGCAGCAGTGGCTGAGACCAGATACAGTGTCGCAGTTTACGCTGCTGGCTAGCACAAAGAAGGGAGCCAAGCCTGACTTTCACGGTGCTGCCAACCCGGAGGAAGCACGTCGGCTATACCATTACTTTGTGCAGAAGGTCAGGGCGGGTTACATGGAGGAGAGAGTCAAGGATGGACAGTTCCAGGCCATGATGGAGGTTGCTCTCGTCAACGACGGGCCGGTAAGTGGTGAAAGCCTTCTTTTCTACATTGGAGGGGTCTGTGCTAACCACGGGATACATCATAGGTTACTCTGGAATTGAAGAACGGCGCCAAGACGGAATAGAGACGGTGAGTGGCTGTTATAGAAATGTGAAGTATAGGGAGATAGGCTATTTGAAGATAGACGGACGGGTAGACAAAAGAGAAGCGAAGTGATTATATTACATTGACGGATCTGCTATAGGTTCGGTAATAGAGACATGTTTCGAAATCAGCCCTGGCGTCTATAATCAACATGATATGATTTTGAAGAGTTCAGCTTGTCTGACAAATTGTGTTGCAGCACACAACCTGATAGGATCAATTGTCGACGGGACTGTATCCGAAAGTGCAATTATCTTACAGCAAACAACAGCCAACACAGCCATTTTCATGTATTGTCAGTTTCTAATTGGATGCATTAGCGGATGGGCTGCATCATGTGCTGTGCAACCGAGGGCTGAAGTGAAGTGAAAGTTCCGTGTTTGTGGTAAAAAGAAGCAATTCAGAGGTGGTCAAAGCGAAAAGTGTCTCTCCTCTCTAACAGGGATCCAATATAGGCCAGGGTTGAACGGGGGAGTTTGATCCGGGCGATTAAATCGGATTGGTCGTCGATTTCTTGCATCGGGATATCCCTAGTAGACGCTACAGTAGGTGAGATGGATGTTGTGCGTTGGTTGGTGGGTATGAGTTGGCGGGCAATAGTTGAGTAGGATATAGAAGGTGAGATTTGATCAGTAATAAGACCAGTAAGTGTTTTTGATAATTTGTGTAACCATTGCCAATCATGATTCACTCTCCTTTTGATATCGGCACTCGTTGACTCGGATTACAATGCCCTGAAGGCGTTATTGCAAGGAGGCTTAAGCCATCTTGACCCCTGTCTCTCTCATGAAATATCCCCCCTCCCCCGCCTTAATGAGAGTTTTCTCTTTTCTCACTTTTTGTTGATTAGATTGCAAGAGAGACAATTTGGTCATAGTCATGCAGTTATCATTACACAAATTACCATGTGTCCTCTTTAATTGAAACACAACTACAATTGCTGCATGACAAGCCACGTATCTGACCCTCAACTGCAGGGCGAGGTTGAGCCTCACTGCAGACCAGTATCTGTTTGGGCTTCAAAGTTCTCGGCTGAACCTGTCTCGTTTCAGTTGATGATGTTTGTTGTTTTTTATTGTAATCAACTGATTAGTTATGGTATCTAGTTTGCCCGTCTTATCTCTTTTGCTCATCACCGGTGTAGGAAAAAGAAAAGACACCCCGCATACGCAATTGTCTTTTGGTTATGATATTCACATCCATGCTTGGCTTGGTCCGAGGGATATCGGAAATGTACCTTGTCTGCGAGTGAATCATCAAGCATGATCTGATTGAGTCAATTGCATGAACGGATAGCCTACCTACAGTAGCCTTTTGTATAGATATATAGGTAGTGATGTTCCCGGTAATAAAGTACTATTACCTATTCAGCTGTCATTATATAGGTATCCTTACTTGGACTACCCACTTATAAGCGGCACGATCTTCGGGCTCACTTGCATCGCGACTTTTCCTCAATTGGCAGGGTAGCTCCCCTCTTCTGTTCCCTTCTGTTTGCTTCTGCTCCTCCAACTGGCAACACCCAAATAAACCCCCACACTGTGATCCCGTCTTACTCTTCAATTCTCTCAAGCAATAAACCTCACATCTTCTCTCTTCCAGCGCCTTGATTTAATCTCCTTTCCTTCTCCTCACCCAATCTATCCTCACAACCCATCGCAATGGCTACCGAAGGCAACTCCCCCGCGCGACCCCGCGTCTACTTCGATATCTCGCTCGGCGGCAAGCCCGTCGGCCGTATCACCATGGAACTTTATGCCGACCTTGTCCCTAAGACCGCTGAGAACTTCCGTGCTCTCTGCACCGGTGAGAAGGGCATCGGCAAGTCGGGAAAGCCCCTGCACTACAAGGGCTCCATCTTCCATCGCGTCATCAAGCAGTTCATGATCCAAGGTGGTGATTTTACCGCTGGTGATGGCACCGGCGGAGAGTCTATCTATGGCAACAAGTTTGACGATGAAGCTTTCCCCATGAAGCATGAGAAGCCTTTCCTCTTGTCCATGGCCAATGCTGGTCCCAGTAAGTTCTATGATGCTCCTCAATTCGGGTCATGACGCTGACGAATTACCCCGCCAGACACCAACGGCTCCCAGTTCTTCATAACCACCGTTCCTACCCCTCACCTCGACGGCAAGCATGTCGTCTTCGGAGAGGTCCTTAACGGCAAGTCCGTCGTTCGACAAATCGAGAACCTTACCACCCAGTCCGGCGACCGCCCCGCAAAGGAGGCTCTCATTGCCGACTGCGGCGAGCTCAAGGGTGACGCCGCCGTCGCTGCCGACGTGAAGCAGCCCGACGCCCTTGGCGACCCCTACGAGGACTTCCCGGAAGACTGCACCGACACTCTCGACGCCGTCGCCGTCGTCAAGATCGCCAAGGCCTGCAAGGAGTACGGCAACACTGCCTTCAAGTCGGGCAACTATTCTCTCGGTCTCGATAAGTACCAGAAGGGTCTGCGCTATATCAACGAGGACCCTGAGCTTGAGGACCAACCCCAGTCCATCAAGGACGAGCTCCAGGCTCTGCGCTTCTCCCTCAACAATAATTCGGCCCTTTTGAACATCAAACTGGAGGCCTGGGACGACGCTGCTCGCTCCGCTTCTGCTGCCCTTGACGTCCAAGGTGTTAAGGACGCCGACCGCGCAAAGGCTTTCTACCGTCGTGGCCTTGCCAACATCCGCCTCAAGGACGAGGAGGCTGCTCTGCGTGACTTGAGCGAGGCTAATACTCTTGCGCCTAACGATAGCGCTGTCACCCGAGAGCTCAACGCAGTCCGAACCAAGGCTGCTGCTCGCGCCGCCAAGGAGAAGGCTGCCTATAAGAAGTTCTTCGCCTAAGCGGCTGCAGAGAAACCGCAGCGCAAAATAGAGAGCGTCATTTTACTCATTATGAGCGGGATAGAACGCCAGTTGTATTTGAAAATTATAGCCATGTTTCATATGGAATCAGGGCGGAGGACATGGTCAGTCTTTTTGTAACATAACCCATGCGAGGGAAAAGCGGGTTACTTAGGAGTCGGCGCTGAATGAGATACCATCTAATTGCAAATATTGCAATACTCTATAAAGGGATGACGCATCATGGACATCAGCTTTGTGATTGGCTGACTGTGGCCATTTTCCAGTTCCCATACATGCTTCGTAAGTCATACAAGGTGTCCACGCATACATCATATATGGCTTCAGTGAAAAGGGGATAATTCTAATTATGTTTTGAGTTTCTGGGGGGAAATTGATGGATCATATGTCTTCCTTTCCTCCAGAGTTTATATGTCTATTGGTCATGCCGAGCATGAAGGGTACCTCGGACCAAAAGCCTTCTCCTAGGTAACTTTCGATGAAAATAGAGATAAATAAAAACAAAGAAGTAAACAAATCCAGATAAACAGAATACAACCAGTGAACCGAGATGTACCCAACCGTCTGCTATGCGAGCACGAAGAAATGGCCCGCCATTTCCAAGATCCGTGATAGTAATGACAAAAGGAAGAAACAAGTATAAATAAGGAGAGTGTGAGAAAAGATGAAAGTGGTATTTCAAAGAAGTTGTATTGTTCATTCAATCATGAATAACTAGGTCTCCCATCTAGTCATCAAAAGGTATATAAAATGTGTATATGTATAGTATAGATGGATATAAATGGCTTTTCTTCTTCACTTAAAATGCTTCGAAGAATCTTTTCCCTCAGGACTCTCACCGCGACCAACTATGCGCGTGATACCGCTGAGGATCGTACGTCCAACACGGCCGTTTTTAGACTTGACAGTGTTGCTCGCACTCGCACTTCCACCTGTGCTTGCATGTCGCTGCTTTCGATGTTCCCAGCCTTCTTTGTGGTGGTGATGGTGACGACGGCGCTCTTTGCTTCGTCTTCGGTTGCGTATTGTGTTGTCGTCGTTGACTTCGCTGCCTGAGCTTCCGGGCGTGGGTTCGTAGACGTCGTTCCATGCTGTTGAGGAGCCACCGTAGGAGATGGAGAGCGATTCGATCAGTGATGCTTGTTCGATGGACTCGGCGATGTCTTCTGTAGTGGCGCAGGTTGCTGTTTCACTGGCACGCTCAGATTCCACCTTGGCGAGACAGGCGTCGGCGCGTTGTTGTAAAGCGAAGCAGACGTCGTTGAATGCAAGAAGCTCTTGATCCACCTCCTCTTTCTTGTCGTCAACCGGCCTAGCGTCCACCCATAGCTTAACAAGACTCGCCAAGTTTCTCGTGTCGTCAATCAAGTATGGAAGGCTGGGGAAACCCTCCTTGGAAGTAGGACTTAGCCGGCCGAGAATAGTGACTGGTGTGCTGTAGCCGGCAGGAACAAAATTGGCGTTGCGGTCCGCTGGAATACTGCACACTTGGTCGATGTAGTCACGAACAGACTGCCGCTGCACATTGAGGAATCGGTTCATCGGCTCCATCCACTCCTCTCGCTTTCCAAAGTTGGACAAGTTCGCTAGCTTTTGTAGTGCTTTTGCGATAAGTGTGAATGTTCGTTGGGCATAAGGTCGAGGGTGGTCGCGTAGAAGATTGAAAAGCTTGGGCGATAGAATAGCTGGACAGATGAAGCGGAGAAACAAGAAACCAGAGACAGAGGTATATGTGACAGTACGCAAGAAGTCTCCGTAGCGATCTTCAGCAACTGCCCGGATATACTTGAGGATATGTCTTAGCTCTGGCGGTAATCGGTTGGCTGAGTTGGCAATGCACTTCCACACCTCGGTGGTGTAGTGGATGAGCACAGTCCAGTGTTGGTCGAGATCCGATTCGTGGGGAATCTTGCTGGGGTCGACTTCGCAGTCGGGGTTGATCTCATTAATCTCAAACAGCTTCTCCTGTAAGATCTCCTCTAGATACTCTTTGCCCAAGCGGCGCATGTGAAATTCGAGCGATTGTGTAAGTAGAGAGTTGCCTCGAAAGAGTAGGTTTGCTTCCCCAGCAAGTGACTTGCTCATATCTCGAACAATGAGTTCACGATCAGTTGCAGCGTCAATAGAATCGTTGGACTTTAGCCGGCTGCTGAATCGATATTTCTTCATGGTGGTCTGATTTCCAATGCCATCAATCTCATCTTCAACCAATGCCATGAGCCATTCGCTGGCGGAACCCGACACTTGGAAAATATTGAGGAATAGTTCTGCCAATCGACGTAGCTGTCCGGGTAGAACCGCTGATACCTGGTTCGTCAATCCTGCTGGGAATCGGTGTAATAAGTCCGTGAGAGGTTGGTATTCCTTCGACAAAAGCACAACATGTTCATCGTGATTTACTTTGACCAGCATCTGTCCAACTGACTGGTGCTTCTCGTCGAATATCTGAAGCCATTGCTCGCTGTCCTTTCCGCGGTCCAGTTGGTCGAGAGAAATGTCGACGGCACCAACCACAAACTCCTGCAGATTACGTGTCCGAGGCAGTCCAACGGATGCTTGGAGAAGATTACTCGAGCTGTCCAAGTTTCCTTCCACTCTCTTCAACACGATGGATAATAATGGCGTGGTTGGCGGTAGATCAGTGAACTCGCACTCCTCTCTCCAAAAGGGGTTCTTAGTGGCTGTCTTCGTTGTTGTTCGTGCTCTCACTTCGCCATCTAAAATAACTTCTGCAAGATAGTTTCCAATCAAGGGATCGGGCTCCGGTCGTCCGGGTCGTTCTGGAATTGTCGGCTCAGTTCCTCCACCACCGCTCGGCCTAGCCTTAATCTTGGCTTCAGTAACCCTGACGCTGATAGTCTTTTCAAGCCGGAAAACTTCGCCCTCATACTCTGATTCAATATCCTCTAGTTCCACAATTTGTGATGTGTTGGGGTCGTCAAGGCGGTATATGTCGGGTACCGCAAATGCTCGGAGTAGACATAGCCAAACTTCAAAATGAACTCTGCTGTCGAGTGCCAAGTAAACAGGTCGGAAGATAGAGAGGTGAGTGGATGTCGAAGAATAGATGGGAAATATGGCGATGCAGTATTCCTCGTCCAGTACTGTACGGTCAAGTTGTTGAACTGCACATCGGGAGAGCTGTGAAAGGTCGATAATGGAAAGAACCGTAACATCATTCTCTGTCATGAGCTTGAACTCGCCGCTGTCCTGGAGAATGCAGGAAACTCTCCTCCAGGATGTCGTAGGTGATCGAAGGTCTCTCGTTGACGGTCTCTTGACAATCGCCCTTGGTGAAACAGCTAAGCCCTTGTCCCAAAGCATCACCTTGCCGACCTTGATAATATTCGTAGGTTTGTTCTTCTCTTGTGACCAACCATGTCTCTTGAGTTCCGGCCTCATCGGCGTCACCTGGTTGGCTGGCTTTCCATTGGCAAGCTTAATACCCGTTGGGCGTAATTGCTGCCAGCATAGTAAAGCTGCCAGCCACAAATCGAACTCTTCTGTCACCAAAGGACATATTAGAATTTCCACTGGAGGTGACAGGCACACCAACTCCAAACATTCCTTGGTTAGTTCGGGATAATCGACAGGGAGGACCCTGCAGCCGCGCAGATCAGAAACAAGAGGGATATGAAAGGGTCCATTTTGTCCCGAGTCAAACATGAGACAGCCCTTCTCCTCTTCAATATAAGCTACGCCACTATGCCAAGGACCGCCCGTTTCGCCTTGATATTCGATCTCGCCACGCATTCGACCGCATAGAGTTCTCATAAGAAGCAGGACCTTGTTTGCGTCATCAGTAGCTATAGGTAATGGAAGTGAGTCGACGGTAGGTGGTGGAGAAATGAGAGGTGAGGTAGGTCTGGACGATTGTCGCTTCATAAGTCTTCTTGACTTTTTGTCTTTCGTTGGTACTAATGATTCTCGCCCCGTTATCACAGCGTGATGTAGTGAGTCTAATGAGCTGAGCTGTGGCCTTAGCTCATCTGAAGGATGCAATGACCCCGATGAGCTCACACTGCCAACCCGGTGTCGTTCTGATGTCGGCGGTGGTACACTTCTTTGTGCCAGCATAGATGTATCCATCGTGCGCGTCCTTGGCCGGAGGCTGCCGCTCGTATGCCGTAAATGTTGTCTCGGAGGGCTAGATTCGCTGCTCTCGTACGACTCGCTGAAAACTTCGTTGAAAACCATGCCTTGTCTTCTTGTAGGGCCCGGAGGTATAGTCCGGGGCGAACTCTGCTGTGAAGAAGCACCTCTTTGGGACTGTTGAGACTCAGCAGTCACACTGACAGTTGGAGGCTCGACGGGATCGGGTGTGACAGCGCGAACGGTGGAGGTGGCATTTATCAGTGTATGGCGAAAGGCTGACCGCAGGTTGGATGCGCTGGAGCGCTCCATCTTTGGGTCCCGGGGTAGGTTGAGGTCGGAGGTGGAGGCCTGGTTCCAGGATGTGGTATCACTGGAGGTGCCAGATCGTGAGTGGTCTTGTTCGTCCATGTTTGGCGGTCGCAAGCCTAAGCCATTGTGTGTCCACGTCCACATACAAGCGCCAGTTCCGCATTGAGGAGAGAGAAAGCAATAGCAGTTGTTTTTTTGTGAATAGGTCGGTGCTTTGGTGATTGATTGACGGGTGGAGGCGTCGAGGGCTTTCTTTGTTGGAGACTAGTCAAGGGAGGGGATTATCGATGTGATCGGTTCGATTATGGTGACCTCAGCAAATAATCGTTTGAATATGACGGTCGATTGTAACAAGATAGTGCGACTATCTTTGTTATCGTCAGATGTTGTATCTGATTGTTGAGATGAGGGATCTCTCACAAATCAGTCAGTGACTGGTTGCGGGGAGAGGGCTTGTTAGTCTAGAGTCTGGGCGAGAATCGCAATGGAAGCTGGGAGGGGAACACACCTACAGTACTACACAGCAGCTGTACCAGTACAAGTCCACTACAATTGGATTGGGTATGCACTAATCGACCCGATAAAAAAATGAAGTAGAAACCAAGAGTAGGAATAATCCAATAGAGGAATAAGTAGAAAATAGGATGTAAATGGGATGACGATAAGCGT